TAACCTCAGCTAACGTCAGTCCTTTGTTTTATTTGTCAGCAACATACTGTATTTAAATTCGAAATTATGATTAAAAGGATGAAGCTAAATTCGTGCAAACATTTACGTAGATTTTGTCAAGGACATTTAGTGTTATAGCCATAGCCAAGCCAAACAAAATGGCGTCATCCACAAGTGGCGTTCTCGTCAGCTTTCATTTTGTTGGTACTCTCGTTTAATAAAACTTTGTGCAATAAAATGATCCACTAGAGACCCTCTACGTACAACGTTGAATGGAATAACATTTTTAAGTTGCAGTGGAATCAGATTATTCTGGACTGAAGAAATTTGCAAGAAATGATTTGAAACAATAAATGCGGTTAGATATGTAGGATTTGCCTTGTTGATTATAAATTATCTGTCTTCTATGATTTTGAGTTTTGAGTAATTGTTGATCATTTAAGCTCAGTGCCGCCGGAACGAAATTCATTTTTGGGGGCTGCCCATTTCTTGATCCTATTAAGTACACTGTTATAGAGAAAATATAATACAGTCTGATAGTTTTCGAGGGGCTTCATTCCCCAGCCCCCCAAGCCTTCGACGGCCCTGAAGCTGTAAAGTAAATCTGTAATGAAATAATATTATCAACACACCAGTTCTGTAAAGATTAAAACTTTCAAAATGTTTTGAATTTTGCCTTATATGTCCACTGCAACGTTGAAATCTGAAAATTTAAAGGCTGGCCCCAGCCAGGATTTTCTTTCATATCCGGTTAAACTTAAAAAAGAACCATTTCAATGTTGTAATGGCAACATTTTGCAAAGATTTAGATACCTAATTTTAAAAGTTTGTTTTGACAGACATAAAGGTACCTGACAAGAAACTGAACTTACCCAATTGAAGCAAATTTTGGGGCATCTGGCTATGCTATGATATGCCTGCACATTTCTAACAAGCAACTTAATAAGCAACTTAATAAGCAATTTAGGCAGGGGAAGAAACACTGTTGAACAACTTTAGGACTCGTCGAAAGCTGTAAGCAACTACACAAAATACTAAAGATAGAAATAAACTTCTTTTTTTCGCAAACTCTTTGCCTAAACACAAACGTTTTGCAAAAATTAATAGTCACATTTTATTTCATGATATTGTTATTTTTTGTGTTTTGTTTATGACATGGTGGATAAGTTGACGTCAAAGAATCCACTGGCTACATTTCCTAGCACATTAACAAGATTTTTGAAACTAGACTTTTAGAAAGTAAAAGATCTGCTCCAATGCTACTTACTAGGGAGGGCTGGTACCTGCCCTTTAACGTGCTAAAAGTAAGCAACTCGTAAGCAACTTTGTAGGCCGAAACCTCAGAAAACTCCAGCAGGCACCACACAGCCATTGGGCTAGCAGGAGCTATAGCCCCCCCCCCCCACTTTTTTGCAATAGTAGGCTAGAGAAGTTTTTGCAAGATTTACCCTAACGCAACTTTGGATAGTTTACTATGTAGTAGAAGTTCTTCTGGGCTGGGAATCTTTTTTGTTCACTTTCTAGGTGTTTTATCTTGTTTAATGATGTGATGTATTCTCTAGCTTGGTGATTTATTACCCTTTTTATAGTTATTGATATCTTCTCTGAACCAGACTGTTTATAAAAATTCAATAGAAATAAGCAAGAGGGCGTGGCCTAAAAAATAATCTGGCACACCTATTTCAGCCTCTTCACTCTTAGACTGGTGAGCGGTCCCTGATCTAAAGCCATTTCAAATCAAGTTGCTTGATATTCAAATTCCAGTCTCGAATTGGGAAAGAGTGCACTTGCTCAGTTCCTAAGTGTTGGAATGTTTTGAAGATAAACAAAGAAATACTTTATTAAGGTATTTTGAGATTTTCATATTCATGCACTCAAAAATTCGTTCTGGGTTGATAAGATTTCAAGATTTCTACCAACAATGAAACTGTTTTTCATGATAACTCATAAAGGTTCCGAAAATGTAAACTTACTTAGCATTTATTTTTAAGATTTTAATTAAACAAGCTGAAATTTTAGGAAACAATGTAGGCAAAGGACGATTTTTGCGACAGCAAATCAACGAAATGTCTGAAAGAGTTGATATCTTCTGAGAATCATAAATTTAATTAAAGGTATCTTCCAGTCATGTCTGGAATGATTTGTTTTTGGTTTGTGGTGTTCTTGTGAAAATTAAACCAATTTTGCCAGCTTTGAATACATGATTGTGCTTAAAGGCAGTCTGTCCCCTATTGTGTTCAACTTTATTTTCACGGGAGTGAAATTCACACACCGTTGAGCTTGATCGAAAACAAATCAGAAACAACTTCGATTCCAGAGCTTTTGGATCAAATGCCTGTGTTCCCGTTGTAGTGAAGCTGTGACTAGAAAAATATTGCTCCTCCCTGTTGGCTTCTGCGACAAATTTGTCAACAGCGAAAGGAAATGTTTCCATTATCAACATTCAATTCCAGTAATTAATTCTTCTTGCCATTCCCGATAGCTTTTTGCACGCAGTTTCAAATGTCTTCCACTACCGCAGCTAGGCCAGCCAAAGCAAGCATCGTAATCCGTTATCTGTTAAGGCGGGAAGACCTATTGTTCATATTAGCCAATCATCGAGGGGACAGACTGCCTCTCTCAACACAAGAATGTGGTGAATGGTTTCTCTTCCAAACACTTATACTGGAGAATATACGATGCTTTTTGAAGTATTATTTTCTTTTTAGTATAAATTTGGGTTTTAAGACATAGATCGTGGTATTAAGTAGTAGAAATCTATGAATAACGGATTGAATGATTAATCTTAGAAGCATAAATGTGATGAAAATTTGTTGCTAAATGGAATAGAAAACGGTATGGGGTACACTTGGAGTGTTAGCCTAGTTAAACGAGTTCTTGTTCATTTAAACCAATTTCCAAAGGCGCGTTTGTTCGCATAGATTCTACTCGAAGAAATACTTCAACTTCTCTTCTCCAAGATAAGGATATAAAGCTCTAACAAAACGATGACAGCAAATAGATTTCCCTTCCTCTAGAATACAATCAACTGTTCTTGCTCTCGCAATCTTTTCGTCCTCTCCTCCCTAGCTTCTTTTCCAACCTCTTCTCCCCTCCTTCTACCCTCGCTCTCTGCCGGGGTTTCTGCCTAAATTACATGAAAATACTAATAATAGAATAAAAGTTAAAAGGGGTTTCTAAGGGAGCTCTCATAAAAGGATAACGTAATTTGACTTAGCTTTACAGTTTTCAAGCATGTCATAACAAAACTAATAATTCAAAAAGGAGTACATTTTTCGGTCTTGTTGCTTATCACAATCAACAATGCATACCAAAAATCTTGTTACACTAACGTCAATTTGCAAGGCCAAAGTCTCTAAGTACATTTGACTGGCATTGTACATATGCTAAGAAATTCTGTCATCATAAAATTTTCAAAGGCTTTCAATTAACCCAAAATCTTCGAATTAGCTCCCTCGGGGCTATTGATTGAGCAGGTTTTAAATGAAGGCTTTTACGGGGGAGTGCATTTAGAAGATATTTCCAAGTTACCATAAAAAGTTCGTTTTGTAGTGTTTTTACGATTTTCAAATTCGTTTCATTTGCAGTTTTACATAATAACTCCATCTAAAATATCTAACCAAAGAATAAATCAAAGGACAAACAGTTTCTTTGTCCAAGATATGGACAGCGGTTTCGGCGGATTTTTCCATTTGCCGCTGAATTTGTCATCAAAAATGTACTAAAATGTCGTATTTTTCTGTTCAATTTCGATTAAGCCAAATTGAAGCTCAGTAAAAGGTAAAAGATGCCATATTAGTGTATGGGCTTATAAACAATTTTTATATCCAGGGAGGCTTTTTCGAGGACGAGCGGCTTGCGTGAAGGTTGGACAATTCTTAGATATAACCAGTAATAGACAGAATTGTTTTGTTTTTATCTTAAATTTGTTTGTTGTCTAGATGTGTCCGATAGTCAAAAATATCCTGTGTTTAGAGATGTCCATTATTTGATGGTGACCGTTGTTGGGGCGTGTCCATAGCTAGTAGGCATCCCTCGTTACTGCCCCGTTCATTCTGCAAATCGATTCAAGCTGTGCAAGTCATTAGTTTTCGAAGTTGTTACGTGTTTCAACTGCATAACTGAAATCGGTGTGTCACGCGCATACCAGTCTGAAAAATTATGAAAGTAAAAGAAATTGTTTTTCTATTCAGTGAGACATTTTATCTGAACTCAATCCCACAAGTGTTTTACCAAACACCTAGCAAATTAGATCCTTTTTGTGTTACGCAAGTTACGTGACATTTTATTAGATTCTCTATTGATTAAAATGACCTCGGGCCTGCGATGTTAGGTCTGATGTCTTTTTATCGTTCATTTCTGAAACCATTTATCAACCAACTTGTGTCATCTTCACCACTACTGAAAAGGTATATATGTTAATCAGATCATCAGTTGCAAGAAATATAATGTTATTTTCGCTCAATATATTTTCGCTAAAAAACAACTGGTAAACTTCGATGATATTCTTCAATGTGTTAAAAGATCAACAGAGAGAAGTCAGACTTCCAAGTCATTGTGTTTTGCGTCTGACACAACATAGGAATTGGTTTCACTTAGGGAATAGGCAAGTTATTTGCCATCTTGGTCGGCTTGTTTTGAAGGCGGATAATGACATCGGCTTTTACTGCTTTCATGACAATATCTTGAATCCTCATTTATGTACATGACCTACTTATTTAGTGTTTTATTCAAAGGATGATTAGGCCATCTTACCTTTTGGACACACTAGTTTTCTACCAATTTGTCATATTTCTACTCAACGTGCTGCATTCAGCTATCATTCTTTGAGTACGCTTAGTGTGTAGAGCGGGAAAGTTCATAGCTCCACATCCGACTTCTACATCTTCTGGCAATGTTCGCATTAACTTCCTGCCCTACATCCAAAAGCGTCTATACCTCTATTTATACGGCGTCAAACGCTATAAAATAGACCAGTAAAGACCAATCTTCTCTTCTAGATCAAGACTACACTCACAGCTTTGACATCACAAACTGCGGTAATAAAACTTCAAATGAAGGAAGGTACTTTATCGCTGATGCAACATTTGGCACATGGGATGATCATGCATTTTGTAGGGTTTTTTCTACAAAAAAGATACCACAGTTGAATTACGCAGTAACAGCAGAACTGTATAATGTAATTGGCTATCACAGTGTTGACTATGGGTTTCCTGGAATCGCCTACAACATTGAAAACAACCAGAATTTTGATTTTGTTTTTCTCCGGTAGGTCTCACTTACATACATGTTAACAATCTATTTTCTTTGTGTAAATCCTTTGGTGGTTTATTAAAAATCAGAAATTATGGAAAAGCCAGCAAGAATTACTGTAACCAAGAAGACAGAGACAACTCTTGATAAGGCTGTGATGCAAAATAAATATTGTTAAATAAAAAGTATCAAGCACAAAGTGAAGTGTCAAACAGACAATCTTAAACATGCAACATACAATGTCAGTAATACAATGAATGTGAAACATGCATCGTCAATCATAACATGCCAAACACACAACATCAGTTATAATGTCAAACAAGCAATGTCAATCATACAGTGTCAATCATACAATGAATGTCAAACGTGCATTGTCAATCATAACATGCCAAACACACAACATCAGTTATAATGTCAAACATACAATGTCAAACAAGCAATGTCAATCATACAGTGTCAATCATACAATGAATGTCAAACGTGCATTGTCAATCACACTGCATAAATACAATTATGCAAGCACTCACTCTAACTCTTATTGGCATTTTCCGTTTCAAATATTTTCGTAAAAAACAAAAATACTGTTCTTTTAGTTGATAATATCAATGAAATAAGAATCTTTTTTGATATCGCTTGTTAATTTCAAGGCTTCATCGAAGAAACTCTTGCTTCCAAACTGGCTACGTGCAAAACAATAGAATTCAATGGATTGGCACCAACAATGGACCGTGTCCAAACGGTCCTCCGAAGGGCCGAACATGGTTCAAACTTCAGGTATGGTGCAAATATCTTTGGTGACAAATATCTTTGGTGAATCAATTGCTTGAAATACGTAATCAAAGATCCCATTGATCATTCGCATTGGTGCATTTATTTTCAAAAACATATTTGAAACCGTGCATAACGAATGACGCTAACGCTGGTAGACGCTGGCATAAATGTAATGCATGTCTTTCCTACCAGAAATTCTTTCCGTTCCAAGCTCCTTGTCGAATTCACCAGCTTTGTCCAAAGAAAATTTATTGAACACACTTTAATTTACTTTCCCATCTTCTTAACCTTTTCTATTGCACCCTATTAACCTTCCCTTGGCCTCTCCCTGACATTGCCAACTTAGGAAACAACGTGTGTTTAGATTGAGTTGTATACCCAAATATATGAACCATTATTTTGTAGCCAGTTCTTCTCAATCGAAATTGAGTTTTAATCTTTCTGAAGTCAGGATTATAACTCGATAGATCACTTGCATGGAGCTAAAATTTAATAATTTTTTTTGATAATGGCTTTGCATACCAGCTTGAAAATTGTGAGGGTATATTTTGCTTCTTATAAGATAATTTTATTTAACCAAGGCTTTAATGAAATGTGTTCAGTGATATTTTTTGGTTTTCGAGTGTCGTTTCGTTGTTTCTATTCGTTTTTTGGTACCCTCTTTATTCTCGTTCAGGTCTACGTTCGCGAGGGCGAGGCTCAGTTATTCCTAAATGACATTCAAGTTAGTGTAATCAAGCCACACTTTCCACCAATCGGACGAGGGGGCGTGATTGTTGCAGCTGGCCAGCAAAATGTTGTACGGTTTAAGAACTTCAACATCTCTGCGATTAAGCCGTATCCATTTGGAATATACAACTGTAGATCCTACTATAGAATAAGCGACGAGTATTATCGACTGGACGCTAAAGACGGCACTTGGCCTGACAGTGGGTTTTGCAAAGCTATTCGAGAAGAGTCTATATCAAGTAACAGTTACGCTATTTCTGCTAGTCTTTTTAATCAGCGAGGATTCACAGGGACACCGCAGACAGGGTACCTGGGGTTGCTCTTCAATGCACAAGACCAATACAACTTCGACTTTGTCTACTTCAGGTAATTGATAACTATATTTCTTGAAGACAAAACTATATTGCATTTACATAAGCAGTTTATGCGAGAATTTTCGGAGGGTGTAGAGACATTCCTCCTGTTCCAGTTACCCAGTTACGTACTCTGGTTACACTAGAAGTATTGAAATCTGATGATTACATCAAGTTTACTGATATTCTACAACTGAGTAATTTCAACTGATTTTTACTGGGCATATTTTATCAAATTTTCCATTGTTAAAGATAGGGGACTTATGTTTGCTGTATAAGCTGATTCGATTCCAAAAGTAATATCCTGGGTCAAAAACATGCTGCTGTGATTCTTTTAAAGCATATCATTTATAAATACAGTTGCCCGACGATTGCATTAAGCATCAACCTCGAAGTTGCAACAAAGAACAGTTCTGTTCTATGTACCAAAGCACGAACCATTTATGATATAAGTTTATTGGATATGGATTGTTTGAAAAAGAATAAACTAGGTAGAACATAGAGTCAAGTCTACCATACCTTATACCGATTCACAAGGGGCGATGAAGAATTTTGCTTGCATCTCGTTCAATTTAAACACCAAGTAAAATGTATTTTAGGCCAGGTTCTTTTGGTGGTTGCTACAACACAGGCTTTGTTCAAAATACAAATATTAACTGGGTCAATGCCAAAATAGGTGCCTGTCCTGGTGGGCAGTTCAAAGGAGCGGTTTGGAACAACGTCACTGTTTATGTCAGAGGTGATGACGTCAGCGTGGAGCTTGATGGGAAACATCTAGTGTCAACAAAAGCACACTTTCCTACTCGGTAAGTCTTTCTCTGAACTTATTAACAATGCCAGTTTCAAAAAAAGGAAGAAAAATTGATACTACCAAGGGCAGACTAACATCTCACTGCTGTTTACCCTCGAAAGTGACACATCGCTATTTCTTCCAAATAAGTAGAAATTTCATTGTTATTTATTAGATATTTTTAAGATTGTAATTCTATCAATATCTGAAAAACCAGGATGTTTCTTTGGAAAAAGACAGACAATATTTTGAAATAAGACATGCAACTTTTGACTCCAGGTTTGGATACATATGTAGCAACTTAGAAACGCCGCAACTTTCATTCCAAAATCAAACCCCATCTTTTCTTTTTGAAGTAGGTTTCAGAGCCGAAAGGTGCTTTCTGGAGCAAGAAGACCGCTTTCCTGGATTTCTTCTCGCATTTTTCTTTTGCCCTTATCTCGTGAAATTCTAGCAGCTTTTCATTTCATTAAAGCGTTCGAAGAATCTCGCACAGCTCTTGCTTACGTCTTTGATCAAGTTTACTGATATTCAACAACTGAGAAAATTCAATTTATTTTTGCTGGACATAGTTTATCAAATTTTCCATTGTTAAAGATAGGGGACTAATACTTGCTGTGTAAGCAGATTCAATTCCCAAAGTAATCTCCTGGGACAAAAAGCTCTTGCTTACGTCTTTGATCATGTTTGTGATTTCAATGCCACGTATCTTCATTTGAAAAGCAAATAGCTAACAAATGCGACATCACGACAAAATGCAATTATGCTACCAACTAGTGAGGTCTACTTGTAGATAGTTTGATCTAAAAATGATGCATTATTTACCCACAGAGCAGTTGGAGGTGTAATACTTGGCAATGGTGTAGATGGCGTGGCATCCTTCAAATATTACAAGGTAACGCCAATCGAACCAAGAAAATTTGACATTTACGACTGTACTAGGTTCACTAGAAGCACGAATAAATATCACATTCTTGATGCCAAACATGGTGGCTTCCCACAAGACTCATTCTGCAGAGCTATTAGCAAAGTAATAATCCCTGGAAACAACTATTACATTTCTGCTGAAATGTTCATGCAAGGATGGAGGAACGCAGAGTCAGGCAGAAGCTTTATTGGACTTGCTTTCAACGCAAAAGACAGCTCAAATTACGATTTTGTATACGTTAGGTGTGTGGTTTTCACTTAAATACTGTTACATTTGACAATTTTATGTGGCATTTATTTCGAATTCTGCTTTGTATATACTTATTTCAGGCACAACCTTGGATATTTTATGTGAAGCTTGATTTTCAAGATTTTCTAAAGTTATATGAAGAATCAGAAAGAAAAAAAGGCAATGAAAGATAGGAAATGTTTTGCTCTTTAAGCATGGAAATGTATTAGTTTTAGATTTTCCTTCGAGCAGATGCTCATGAACACAGTATTATATGCCTAGCAGAAGATTTATTTCATCAATAGACCTATTAAGAAATTACCTAGCTAATGATTTGTTGATCATGCTCTTTTTATCAAGAGCTTTAAATGATTGAAATTGTAGTAGTCGTTTCAATAAACCCTTTACCACTAATTTGCTTGAATGATCGTTTTCATCAGCAGCTATTGTCTCATGTGCTATTTGTGTTATTTTGTAATGTTTTCTCAAGACATATTACCCATCACCCTCTCACAGTATCAAGCTGCTTTATCAAGCTTGAGACATTTTGTTGTATCTTGTCAGTGAACTCATATCACGTATTGAATTGGTAGGCCAAAGAAGAATGGGTTCTGCTTTAGAATGGGATACGTCATGAATGGTATTGTGCAGTATTCCAGTTTATTAGAAGGGAAATGCCCAGGTGGTCCTCCACAAAAGGGAGTTTGGTTCAAAATGTCAGTTGCGGTTCGTGAATCCTCAGCAATCATATCGCTTGATGGAAGGCATCTCATCACAGCCAGTCCTCATTTCCATACCTTCGCTAGAGGAGGTATGCTCTTGATTTCCTACCTTTCATCGTAAAAGTCATAATGCATCTATTCTGATCTTAAAAAAACGCAGCTTGATGATAAATTAGATAAAGAGAGACATTTGAACTTTTAAATCGACAAAAGTTATCCAATTGACGACTTATCCATAGTTAAAAGTTTTGTCGTAAATCATTATTGGGTTCTACTTAAGTATCCTGGACCTGAAGTATAACGAAAATGACTAAAGTCCATGACAGCTTAGAATCTCTATTGAGCGCAAAGTTTTCTAGAGCTTTCTCGTCGCGTTCTTGTCGCGTTCTCGTCGCGTTCTCGTCGCGTTTTCGTCGCGTTCACGTCGCGTTCTCTTCACGTGTAGATTAATTATATATGTTTTTTTATTGGGCAGCATTTCCAAGTTTTCGCAGCACCTGAATTAATCCATAAAAAACCATGAAATATTATCACTGTTCTTGTTTTAGGTGTTCTTGTTTCTAATGGTGACAGAAATGTATTGACCTTCCGCAAGTACGAATCCCATGCAATCAAACCTTTCGAGTTTATATTTTCACGATGTGGAAGAAAAACTCATCAAAATAATGGAAGCTTCATCATAGACGGAATGTACCCGAACTGGCCACTGAATGGGTTCTGCAGCGCAATGTGGCGCCCAACTTTAAGAACATTGGCTAAGCAGTATTTCGTTCAAGCAAAGCTGAACAATGTCGAGAGTTGGCTGGGAAGCGATTGGGGAAATCTTGGGTTGATGTTTAACGCTCTAGATGAGAATAATTTTGAATTCGTTTATATAAGGTGAGACTATCGCCTTTTTTTATCTTGTCGCTTGGACTTTTTGTCATGGCAGTCTATTCATAGAACTCAACAGTAGGTCACTGATGCTGCGTTATCTGTCATTCATTTGGCAAAATCGTTCTTTATTATCCATTGCTTATAATTTGCTTGTAAGATTAGAGGCGAAGCCAAAAAAATGTTTCTTAGGGGTGAGTAATTATTTTTGCCGACAAAAAGAATATGTGTCGTTTTTTAGAGTGTGGTCATGAGATTGATAATCTCGTACAGTGCTTTAATGCTTTTTTATTTCGATATTCAGTATTCATAAAATTCAATTTCAAGTATTTTTAGTGCCATATTTTAAATAATCAGCTGCTACAGAAACGTTAAGATGTTGCAATTGTTACGAACAGGCTACAGTTTTACTAAAGAGTGAGAAAAGAAGTTTCTTTTATTGCCCCCATACCCCCATTCAGCGAGGCCCCTGTGCTAGATCGCTTTCAAAAGTGCACAAAATAGTGTGAATTTTCATGCTTGCATGTCTTCTGCAAAAATATGATGTTCAAAGTATGAAAATATGATTATCGTCATATCTTTAGGCTTCATGACAAGCAAAACTGCTACCAGTTTGGCTCTGTATTCAATGGACAAGTACGAGAACGAAAAACCAACTCGGGCTCTTGTGGCGGAAGGAGGCCGAAGAAAGACACCTGGTTTCTTCTGCGCGTGCAAGTGAATTCCAAAAACGAGGCGTCGCTGTTTGTTAATAATCTGGAAATCGGCAGATATACCGCAGCTATTCCTTGGCATCCACGTGGCGGTGTTGTTGTTGCAAATGGACATAAAAATGTCATCATGTTCAGGGAGTTTAAAACCTTTTCAAAAGGTTAATTCTTGATTTGAGTTATACTAGTAAATAATTTGTTTGTCATTTCAAGCAGTATTCAGTTACAACCTAAAATTAGTGACAATTATAGATAATTTAAACCGCACTGTCTGTTTTTATTTGTCAGAACGCTAGCTGTAATTGGTTTGAAACTAAAATTCGAATTCAGATAGTTTTGTTGTTGAGAATTTTCAAAATAACACAAACTGCTAGGAACAAGGTTTGCAACTGAAATGATGTTACGAAAGGAGATTAGAACTTTTGATAATTGCATTTCTCAGAATCGACCGGTAACAAGATTTTATGTATTCTAAAAAACATTGCATTAAATCAAATCTCGTCGTCTTCATAAGTTGTATGGTAGTTCGCTACTAGACCACTATGGACTAAAATGCCTTAGCCTTCTCGTGGTTTTGGCTGCTACCCAGCGGCAGAAGCCTCCGTTGCTCTGCCAACTGCTTATCAATGTAACTCCCATTCAAAATTTATCCAAGCCCTTCTCTCAAATCGTCTTTCTTTCCTCGCTGAAAATGATTCTTTTTCTGTCTTGGCATTTCTAAAGATAACATAACAGAAACAAAAAACCCAAATTTGAAATCCGTATGGAAAATGCAAAATGTATCTATGATGATACATTCTCCCAGTATATTTGTCTTGCCAGTAAAACTTCTCAACATACCTTCTCAAGGTGTGTCATTGTATTGCCAGGAAGACATGGTCACAGAATAGGAAATAGGCAGAAGGGTAACTCTCGTCGGTTCCTTTGTTGTTTTTGAAGCCTGAGTCAACAATAGAATTCCTTAATTCCCCTTTAACCTCGATTCCATTAGACGAACTTAGCCATGACAAATCATCATTCATTAATCAGATATAAACGAATTAACATAATTGAATTTGTTCATTATCATGGGGCATTTCGTCTCGTATAAAGTTGTCTACTTTCATTCTTTTTTTAAAATTTCCCCGACAGATACATGCTAAGCCTCGTATAAATTAACGCATGCGCAAGTTTTTTCAGGCTTCGCCCGATAGGCAGGAGTTCCCTTTCTGCCTAATTCCTATTCTGTGATATGGTGCAATTTATTGGTGTTAATTTCTGCTCCAAAATGGTTTAATAGAACTTCAGTTACGACATTATGTCTGCAAATAATTTGAAAATATGGAATAAGATGCAATGAATCTTTTCTCTGATTGTATGAACAATCTGTCAGTTTTCGATATTTTTAGCAAAGATTCCAAAAAGCAGAGATATTCATTATCACAGAATCGCTTGTCATAACTCAATGCCATCTTAATTTCTTGCACCTCTTGAACATCGTTACGAAGCAGTAGATATGCACTGGCACGTCACATTATCACGCTATCTGGCTGAGATTTGTTAGTGTAAAATTCACTAGATTTAATTTCTCTAGTAGTTTCTTAGATATGGGGCAGAACGATAGTCGACATCCTGCCTTTTGCAGGTTGCATATTGTATACTAATAAGAGTTGGTTTTGACTTTTTATTACTTGTAAATTTATATGGTTATTGAATTAAAATAACTCCGTGTATAAGTGTCATTCCTTGTTCAATATGGGCCTAATAATTGATATTATTCCACTGTCATAGTACTATTTGAGTCTGCTTACAAATTAACTCATTGTGTACCGACGCTATTTTCGAGTTTTTATTTTAAATTTTATACGCTTAGCGCCGCTAATTTTAAAGGCAGTATTCACAATATAAAAAGTCATTCAGATGTAGAATTCTGTAAAATTAAAGTTAAAATGCCGCCTGGCACCACTTCTACTTAAACACTAGTAGGTCTTGGTATTATTTTGTTCTATCGTGTGAACTGAACTGAATTACAAAGATTTCTCGATGTTTGATGTCTGTCCTGTCTCATACAAGAGCATTCGTTTCGCATACTGCTTATCGAATTTACATCTGTGTTTTTTGTTCATTAGCAATTTTTCGCTGTATTGCAAAAGTGAATTAAATGATTGCTTTTTTTGTCTCAACTGTACAAATGTCCCAACAGTACTAGCTTGTGCCCCAGTCCACAAAATTGCTTAATTTCTTCTTTAAGTTGATAGTTCGTATGCTAACATTTCATTGTTTTTCTGTTAAATCATTTTTCATTAGTTTCTCTAATTTTGGTTCCTTTTTAATTCTAAAAAGTTTGGTTACGGGCTAAATTAAAAAAATTATTCTAAAACTTTGCAAGAACTTTTCTATTTCAATGTCAAAAAAACATTAGACGAATCTATTGGACATATTAGTAAAAACATTGCCTCGGATTTTCCTACAGTCGAATTCCATTTTCGATACAGTTTCTGGCCATCCCTTAGGTACCACATCTTTAACACCTTTCTCTCTAAAATCACATTTCAAAGCTTTGAGTTGTTGCCCCTCCAATTTCAAATACGTTTCGCTGGCATAAGGTTAAAGTCAGATGAGATGAGTTTAAATTTGTTTAACAGATAGAGTAAAAAGATGTTTCGGTCTGGAGTGCTCCTGGATGGGACTCGTCCTCCGTTGTTAAATTCCAGAGAGATTTCATAGCGGGCACATGTTTTATGTCTGTGTTGGATAAATTTTATTATGTTATTGTGTCCTTGCTTCGTTTGTTATTTGAAATATTTATTTATTCTTCCGTTAACTAACATAAAAAACCACTTCCATAATTTGCATGTAGCAAAGAAATTCAAAATAATACTACAGAAATTTACGAGCAGTTACGAGCAAAAATTAAAGTACAAATGGTTACCTGGCGAGATGTATTTTACTTTTGCAATATGTACAAAATTCCCACCATAGAAAAATAATTTCTGAAGATTTGGGAGCCAAATTGATAACAGCAATATCCCGAGGGTTGGATTTTAAACAGAGAGTGTTGAAAGAAAGCCAGAATTTTGGTCGCAAAAGCAAAAATTCCTAAAAAGTAGAGTTGGAAATAGTTGGATTCCAATGTATTAAAGTTGATCTATCTATTTGTTTTCATGTCAACAAACAAGCTTTGCGCGTCAAAAAGGCCATGAAAATCATTTCAATGTTTACGAAAATGCTAAACCTCTATTAAGAATGTTCTATCTACAATGCCTGCCAAAGGTACTTGGAACACCCAGCAATTTGCATTGCATTCTAATCCTTCATTCCTTTTTCGAAAAAAATTACTACTTCCGCCCCTTACCCCTAGAGCAATGCTGATAGTTTAGAAAAATATCATAAAAGAAGCACAAAAGAAAGTGCTTTCTAAAATCCTAACCCGTTTCATAGTAAACCTACATTGTTCCGTGGGGAAGCGGGGGATGTTTGATTTTGACCTTGGAAACTGGAGTCATTGTTCCAAAACTTCTGGCAGGCATTGTACGTCTCTAATGAAATATACACATATAATATAGTCTTTTACACAAAAGGGCTGTTTTAGAAAGAAATTAAAAAACTAGAGATATGTAGTATAAAGGAATTTATATCTTTGTCTTATGAGAAAGGACAATAGACTTGCAAGTGCTTGATGGGAAGGTGATGTACGGTTGCATCAACAATGGTTTGTACAAGAAGGAAGAACATTGATTCTGCCTCTTTTCGGGCCTTGTCTTATGTTTTTTAACTTAAACTTTCTACACGCAATATTATTTGTGTGAGAAATGATGCAACACACTACTACTTACATAAACTACGAAGGTAAGTTAAGTCAATTGAAAGTTTCTAAATAAAACCGTGTTTTGGAAACCGTTCGGAACAATAACTCCGCCCCGAGGCTTAACTGGCAGGAGAGTAAAATATCTGGCTATATATACATTGTCAATGTACAGCTTCACTTCCTTCTTCGATATCTTGACGGTTAGTCGAAACCAACTGCCTTGTTCCGGCCTCATTACTCCGCAGGAACCAGAATTCCCTCGAAGTTCAACAATGTATGTATCCTCTCACAATCGAGCCGAATTGATAACAATGCTTTTTATTGTGCAACCTACAAACACGAGAATTAGTTTACAAAAAAAATATTAAACGGCTGAGCATTAGTTTCAACTGGAGAATGGGAGGAGAAGGAGGAGGAATTGGAGGAGAAAGCGGAGGATGATGATGATAGTGATGATAATGATGAAGAGGAGGAGGAGGAGGAGGAGGAGGAGGAGGAGGACAAGAGGAGGAGGAGGAGGACAAGAAGAGGAGGAGGAGGACAGGAGGAGGAGGAGGAGGACAGGAGGAGGAGATGGAGGAGGAGAAGGAGGAGAAGGAGGAGGAGAAGGAAGAGGAGGAAGAGGAGGAGGAGAAGGAAGAGGAGGAAGAGGAGAAGGAGGAGGAGGAGCAGGAGTAGGAGGAGGAGGAGGCGGAGGAAGAGGAGGAGGAGGAGAAGGAGGAGGAGGAGGAGGCGAAGGAGGAGGAGGAGGAGGAGGAGAAGGAAGAGGAGGAGCAGGAGTAGGAAGAGGAGGAGGAAGAGGAAGACGAGGATGAGATGGAGGAGATGGAGGGGAGGGAAGAGACGGAAGAAAAGGAAGAGAAGAAAGAGAATGCGGAGAAGAAAGAGAATGCGGAGAAGGAAGAGGAGGATATGGAGGAGGAAGGGAAAAAGGAGAAGAAGGAAGTGAAGAAGAAAGAGAAAAGGGAGGGCAAGAATGAGGCTTAAACTGCAATGTCAAATTATAGCTGGAAGAAAAGTGTTCGTCTTACCGTAAGTAAACGTAATCAAAAGTGCTTTGATCTAATGCATTAAACATAAGACCAGGATGGCCAAGATATACCCCAGAGTGACTATTTACGTTCTGAAGCATCGCTTCCAGGGTGTATTGTTCTGTCTTTGTTTCAAATGGCTTTTTATAAAATGCAGAACAAAACAGGTTCGATGGCCAGTACGGCTGCGCAGCATGTAGTAAGAATGTTCCGTTTATGACATCTGTTTTAGGCCCACATCTAGTTAGCTCAAATTCTAGTGGAGGGATCAGATACTGCTTGAACTTCCGGAATGTAAGTATATTTCTGTTACCGTTCGAGACAATCACCCCTAGAGCGCAACAGAAATCCAACTGAGCAAACATCAAAGACTTTTTTTAAAAAAAATTTTCATCAAAAATATCAAAAATTTTTGAATGGTTGCAAGATACAGTATTTATTTCATACCGTTTTCATTTTGAATTGTATTGGTCAATGTCGGTGTGATATCGATTGAATACAGACAGTATTAAAGCGAGGATGTTAACCGCCGACTCAGTTCAATAACATGATCGAAGGACATAAAGGGTTAAGATTGCGCTAAAAGATTCCAAGGCGCTCAAGGCACTATCTTATCTACACTATAAAGCAAATTAAATGCAAAAAGGGGGCAAACCTCCTCTAGGGCTATTCTGGAACTTCGGTTTTATAGTCAAAATATGTTTTTCTTCCAAATATATAACAGCCATTGATTGCCAAACTGTAACAGACATTTCGAACCAGGACCCTTTCTTTGGAGGACCATTTGGACATTTGCCGTTCAGAGACTCATCGAAGTTTACAACACCATTAAACACATGTCCAATGCTATAACAGCTGTCTTTGTTTGGCCTATTTACAAAAGCACATTATTAGAAATTAGAAAATGATACATGGACAGAAGATAGAGCTTTATTTTTTCATTTAAAAACTTATGCTTTATGCAGCATTATGCTTTTCAAAAACGTCTTTCTTTCAGAAGCTTGATCAAGTCTCTGGTTTCTGAAAGAATACTATTAACTAGTTCATTTGCACTTCAAAAAAGAATAAATGGAGTGTGCATGGAGGCCTGATGCCTTAGGAAAGATAGAACGTTTATGACACAATTTTTTAGGACAATACTAACAAAGTAAATTGTTCAAAGGATTTTTATGATATTTTGAGGGAGCACGAGCCCTACGTAAAGAACGGGGGGATGTGTAAACTGCATGCAAACTTTGTTTCGCATTCATTTATATGCACTTAAATGTAAAACAACATAAACAAGCTAAGTTGCTCCATTGCATAAGTAGGGTAGGCACATAGACTGGAAAAGTGCTTTTGATAAAAAGTTTTGACTTCTTCGTCTCCTAACATTAGAACATTGATGAATGATCTGTTTATCTTAGGTTTCAGTTAGCAAAAAACAACCTTTAAATCTCCATTCTGTGAAACTTCAATGCATATTCCTCTAAAACAGGGTGAAAGGGATTTCACGGTGGGGAAGGAACAGTGAGCGCAGGGGGTCTACGGTTGAGCTGCTTTTATCAAAGTTCGCTATTGGGCAGGTTTTGGGTTCTAAAATATTTTATCATAAATTACTACTAGTTTATATCTTGAGTAAATAATTACCTTAAAACGATGAAGTCGTAGTTCAAAGTATTGCGTATGTTGTATGCTAAACCGTAAAGCTGGTTAATTTTTTTGTCGACTTTACTTTCAGTAATAAACATCTCAGCAGAAATCTTATAGTTATCACCATGCAGAACCTCGTTGCCAAAAGCTCGACAAAATGTGTCGTTTGGCCATACTCCGTGATTTGCATCTAACAGGTAGTAGCTGTTAGATATGTGTGTGTTGGTATGACAGTCATAGAATGTGACATCAGCTGGAGAGATGGCATTTATTTTGAAGTCCTTGAAAGATATGACATTTATTGCATTGTCATTTGAAACAATTACTCCTCCAACTGGCCTATGACAAAAACAATATAAAGTAGAAATTGGATTTTAATAAAAATCTAAATCCTTATAAAAAAAACTACAAAGGTTATTGATAAGAGTGATTTAGGAACAATTCAAGATTGTTATAGCATTCTCAGGGACAATTGAATAGACTTTAGATGGAGAATAAACCAGCATTGGGTCTACCATGGGTACCAGAGCCACATAATTTCTAAAGCGGAAGTAGAAGAGAGAAGAGGTGAAGCAGACTGCTTCTCTTTTCTATTTCTTCCCTCGATGAAATGTGGCTCTGGTACCCAGGATTCATTTGAACTAATGTTCGGTCTGAATTTTAGCGTTATACCTGAAAGTCACAACGATGTACATTCCTCTCCCCCATTCAAATTCATTACTACACCATGGCACCTGTTTGCACCATGGGTGTTCAACATACGGCCGTCAGGCCAGATGCGACCCTGGCATATTCTGTGGCCCGCACTTTATCAATAAATTTAAAAGTTTAGTCCATGTGCTTTGTTTACAGAGTGCCTTCCCCCTTCAAAATGCTTATGATTCATTATTAGGCATACTTTGTCATTGTTACAACCTTAAATAGAGAAATACGATTTTCCTCGCACGTCAACTACAAGTTTTTTGAGATGTCAATAAACGTTCTGCAAACAAATTATGTAACATTTCACATTGACCATCTTTTAATGTGACTGCTTTTGTACGTTTTTTATGTAATTTTCATGTAACTGTAAGTATTAATCAATTTACTGCTCAATACAACATTTCCTGATGGTTTACATAACTATTCATCTGATCCGCCTGTGCAGTAAGATTTTCTTTATGGCCTTTCTAAAAATTAAGTTGGACACCCCTTGTTTACATACTATGAACTCCCTGCAGAGCAAAGATGTTTCATGGACAGCTTATTGTTTGTTGAGAATGCTGCTCGCTGTATCCATCTTACGCTCGTTATGTTACGTTATGTTTGCGAAGTGATAGTTTCTCACTTATGTTAGCCTCAAAGTGCAGGTTACGACATTTGTTTTCATGGTCTCTAAGCAAGCAAATAATTAGTAGCTAATTGATTATAACCTGCTTTTGAAATGTGTTTCGGTCGATAGAATATGTCTTCCCTCTAGATAAACCACGACGTTGCTGTTCCTGACATAGATGGTAACATTGTTCCAAGCACCACCTTTAAACGGACCTCCTGGGCAGGCACCAATTTTTGCATTTGACCATGTTATCCGTGAATTTCGGACAAAACCTGTAAAATAGCACGCTCTTTGATCTTCTGGCCTGAAAAAGTATGGAAAAAGAAATTAAGCAGATTGAGACGAAAATAAACAAAAGCAAAAAATAATTTTCAAGCTAATTCTTTCTTTGCGTGTGTATTTCTATGAGTAATTTCTTTGTTTCAATGTGATTCAAAAACTTATATTATATTATGCTGTACATTGAACCTTGAGATTGAGCATAAAACAAAGTCTAAAAATGATTGAGATAGCGATGGTGCTTAAAATCGACATTTTGACACATAATAAATTTAGTGTCTCTATCGTTACTTTATCCTTAAATAGTCCCAAGCTTTCATCATATATTGTTTTGCTTACCTGAAATATACAAAATCAAAATTGTTTTCATCATGTGCGTTGAACATTATTCCAAGCCTTCCTGATTGATGACCTCCATCAGGTCCTCTCTGGTTAAACAGAAATACGCTTATTGAATACTCTGTGCTATTTATTTTGAAATTCCCTATGCTTTTGCAAAACCCAGAATCTGGCCAGTTCCCTTCTTTTGAATCAAGGCGGTAGTAATTTGCATTTATTCGGTGATATTTGCTGCATTCGAAAACATTGAGTTGTCTTTTGTAAAAAGGCGCTACAGTCAAATCTTTGAACCGTATGATATTTCCATCCCCATGCTTGACAAGCACACCAGCGCGTCCAATGGGACTAAAGTGAGGACTGAATTTCACGGTCTGAAAGCCATCGATAAATAATGTTGCTTCGCCAGTCATCACTTGAACCTAGGAGAGAATTCTAATACCTGTGCACAAAGATGCAAATACAAGGAAAGCGACCTTTGAAAACCCTTGGTTAGCATTGACAAAAAAGGAGGCGCTGTCCGCTGAAGAAAAGGTGATCATCACTAATTTTTAGCTCACGACTTCTTCGTCGGAATGACATATGGAAGTCATTGCAAAAGTAGATTGCAAAAACCATCTAAAAATGTTTTTGCACCTAGGAATTTTCAGTGGGCCCATTTTTGAGAGTTATCTATTGCCTTTACCACTTAAGCAGCATAGGTTCCCAATCTTTGATTGGCTGAGCGACCAAAATTCTGCATACCCCATAAGCCAATCAGAATTCGAGAATATGACAACAAACGTGCCTCGCAGCTAGATTTAGGCCTATTTTGGACGTTTTTACCACTACCTACAAAAAACATTGTGTTAAACTTTCATTTTCCTTACATTTTCTTTTATCCTTTCGAATCTTTTTCAGACAACCAGAGATTTTTTTCACCCAGAAAAGATAATTTTTCGAAAATGATGTATATATCATTTTCCCGCCCTTTTCATCCTTGACGAATTGCGTCAGCTTTTACAAGGCCGTAGCAGTGAACATCAGTGGACATGAGCTTCTCGTCGATCTTCAAGCATTTAAAATGAATATTCAAAGTACCTGAGTGCAAAAGAAATCGTACAATTGTGGTTATTTTAAGAGAAAGGTAGATTCCATTTTCTCTCAGTTTAATTTAGCAATTTATTTCGTCGTTAACACAAACATCAATGCCGACAAGAAAAGATTTTAACATTGGGTTGTGAAAGTAAGTTCATATTTTTTAATTACGTTGATAAAACAACTAAATTCATCAAAGATTCAATTTTTAAAAGAAAATTAAGGTTATCTTTCAGCACATTTTACACTATTATTTTTTGTGGGTAGTGGTAAAAACGTCTAAATAGGCCTAAATCTAGCTGCAAGACACGTTTGTTGTCAAATTCTTGAATTCTGATTGGCTAATGGGGTATGCAGAATTTTGGTTGCTCAGCCAATCAAAGATTCGGAACCTATGATCACTTAAGCTGGAGTGCTCAAACAATTTGGTAACTGAGCCTCGGAAAACACGAAGACAATATCTGAACCATAGAGCTAAATTCTGATCGAACAAAATTTTATTAGAGTTGATTTCACGAAGGAAGTTGTAGAATTTGATGTCGCTAGAAGTTCCTATTTTAGCTTATTTGTATTATTCTCATTTGGATGTAAATTGTCATGCTTCAGTTTTGTATTTAAGTCCTTTTGTGCTTCTTTGATACCATTGGGAATAATAGAGAAGAAATAGTTCTGTAGTTTGGGCTTCTGCACGAAAGTGTGGGTCCCTTGACTCAGATGGGTGTATTTAGTTGCTTTGGGTCTGGGTTATCGTGCTTATATTGTTATGCTGTTTCCACGCTGTTCTCTTCTCGCCAGTGTGTTTTGGCTCAGGCTTGCTGATGGAAAGGTGACTGACGAAGTATGAGTTCCTTTACTGGCTACCAGGTATGTTTACCAAGTTGTTTTAGAAATGCTCTGATGTCTATAGTTTCGTCTCCTGCAGTGAAATTCAATACTCGTGTGTTTTTGAGCCGTCTGACTTCTTCCAACATACATTTTTTCGCCTCGTGCTTGTGCCTTCTTTGCAGATTTTTTCCAGTCGAAATAAAGTTGCAACAGTTTTGAGCTACAATTTCACAATCATTTGTTTGCTAAAATTTTTACTTGAGTGGCAAGTTTTATTTTTGTCTGATAACATTCATCCTGACTTGCGCCGCGTAGTGTATCTTTCAACTATTCTGTATCATGAACGACCAGGTGTAATTGAAAGCTATTCCGGCAAGAATTCCGGCAATCATCATTATTGATTCCTTGTTTGAAGGCATGCTATGGAAGCAGAGGTTTTTTTTCTCAAAATGAAGGCTCTTGGGACAAAAGTGCTGCTGTTACAATGCTTTTGTTGCACTTTTTCTTGAAAGTTGTTTCGGAATTAGGCCTTATATAGAAACTTGACGGCTCAGTACACATTGTACGGCTACTTTTTGGAAGGTCTAATCGTTGTTATAGTAGAAATTTTCTTGTCTTTCAAAGTTGTTGTTTTGTTCTATCTAAAGATTGGACCATTTTGCTCAGTTTGCTTGATAATTGGGCGCAGTTATTTTGCTCTTAATATTTTTGTTACCTCTGATGCTGCTGGTAGCTCGTGTACTTGTGCATTTCGTAAACGTGAACGTTTCGCGGATACGTGGCCCGAGCAAAGTAAAATTGTTCAATATTATGGTCAAGGAAATAATACCTCCTCATAGTTTCAAGTTTTCATAAGTTTCTCAGGTCATTAACGAGATTGTTGCACTTAAAGAATTCTCCTTTTGGAATTGTCGTTGACAGTGCTCCTCAGATGAAAACATTTACATGTTTTGCTGGTGTTTCTTTGCATGCTACTGAAGCGACCTTTCATTGTTGTGTAACCATCTTCTACTGGAAATTTCTTTCTGTTATTTCTCCTGTCAGATCACCAATTGTACTATGCTGGGTTGCTTAGACCCTTTGTTAGCTTTTAATTTGAATTCAGACGAAAAAGCTTTTTTCAAGTCAATTTTCAAGTTCTGTACAACCAAAAAACTGTTCGCTCTATTTTTTCTTAGCCAAGCTATAAGTCGTTGTAGAACTTGGACAATGACCGATTTTTTTGACCAAGTTCTCTATTTCAATTTTCTGTCTTCTTTGGTAAATACATAGTTACCAAGCTTAGATATTACTAAGCACAGTTACTTACAGAATGGTAGACTAGATTTATTTCCACTTTGCCTAAAAATGTTGTTTTGCTCTGCAAAAAAGTGGAGGGGCCAGGAGACCTTATAGGGAACCCTCTAAACAAGAATCAAAATGAATTGGGGATGAATAAAGAAGAATGCAACAACAATTCAAGTTAATAATAGTACGAGTTATCGGGAGCTCCGGTATTGCTGTGTAGGTATATCTAACAAAAACTCAAGCACACTCCTGGGAACTTTTGAGTTGAGTCCTTAGGGACATCATCTATAGAAAATGATACTAGGGTGATTACCTCGACATTGAACCAGGTTCGTCCTTCTGGGTGCTTATAGCAAGATCCACTTTTTGATCTCACATATTGAACCGCGCCATTCTGCATGTAACCCGTCTGAAAACAGCCAAGCCTGGAGTGTAGTCTAGTGACAAAGCAAATTCATATTCTAACGAAAGCATCTGAAACAGCGTGAAAACAGGTAAATAATACAAATTTGATGTTTGCAGCAGAGAAAATTAAAGACAATGTTTCTATTTGTGTACACTGTTATAAGCAACTTGATTCGCTAACAGCCCTCAGCTCAGAGCTCCTGACTCGATATATGCATAAAATATTGTGCAGCGTTGATAAATCGTTAATCCGACCAGTGCCTTGCTGCTCCCTAACTGGCTGTATATCTCAAAAAATTTCAGAAAAGATTGTGAGTCTTTGGCTATCATTCACGGATACTGGTCACGTTTCTTAACTCCTAAAAAGTATATTCGTTAAAAATAGCAAGGACAGGACCATTTTACCACGCAATTCTTTTTACAGTTATTCTTTTCATATAGACAACCTGCCTTATTTATTGGCTTTTGTAAAGTGTTAAGATAACGCTTTGAATAACCAGTCAAATGTAAAAAGTATCATAAATTACAATGCAGAAATTCAATATTGTTCCACATAGATACCTGATGATGACAAAATCAAAATTTTTTCCGTTTTCAATGTTGAACGCAATTCCTGGAAATCCATAATACGTTCCAAAAAATGATATTACATTGTAGATTTTCGCTTTGGCCACATACTGCTTTTCCGGTATTGTGAAAGGAACAAAAACAGTGCAAAATAAATCATCTCGGTTATAAGCATGTGACGATCCGTTTGCAATGAAAAAGTTCCCTAACTTTGATGTCCCTTCGCCACAATTCTCTATTTGATACCTGATTCCAATTTCAGAAGCTGCAAAATAAATGAAAAACACATATTTACATACAATTTGATCCAGGTTTTTATTTTCGTAATCAAAAGGTTTGGTTAGTAAGAGATTTCAACAATGGGGTAATCTGATTTTTTTAATGCAAAACTGCAAAAATAGCTTAAAGATTATTAAAGTTTTATAGCTATACTTTCTTCATTTCAATAACACGTGGCTCCAGTTTAGGCCTGGCGTTTCTTTTCATCGAATAATTTCATCCTCCCGTGTTTCGTATTTTGTATTCTTATTTCGTAAACGAATTCGGACATAAAAAGTGCTTAATAAAGTAGGTAAAACTTTGTCCGGAATGTTACACTTGAAGCTGCAGTTTTATATTCAGCAAAGGAAACAGAGTCCATATGATCTATGGTGCCGAAGTGATTTTGTTTTAATGAGTAAGTTTATTTATTGTTTTCAATGCTATTTTGCTGATCACTCTCGGATGTTCTGCTACCAGTTCTATTATTTTTCAACTTCTGCTGGTTTTTTATTTCTTGAGTTTTGTTGAATATCAACAGGCCTTATTTCTTATGTTTTTCATAAGGCTTGTTCTTATAAAAATATGTAATACATTAAATTTGATATAAAGAGCCTAAAGCAGCACTTTTCTGTAAAACAATTACAGTTTTCAGTTGATAACTTCTTTACCTGTTCAGAGTTTTTCAATTTCTAAAATAATCCGTTCCTTTCAAGTTTACTGACACAAAATGGCGTGTATGGATTTGAAAAACGTGCAGTTTAGTTATGTAGCATTTTGAACATTTTTTTAAAGCTGACTTTCTTCAAAAAGGAATGAAATTTCAAGGAGGAAGTACCAAAAAATATGGAGACAGAAAAATCAAAGGTGAAGGGAAAAGTTAAAGGGAAAAATCAAAGCTTAATTGATATATGGAACGTCCAAATATTTTAAATTCTGTAATTTGATTAACTGTTTTAGTCATAACATAATTGAAAAGCAAAATGTTGAAAGCACAATGATGTTGAAAGCAGTGTGTTTCTGTCTGTTCAGAGAATGTCACTTTTTCTCTTAAATAAGATTAAGGTTTTGGTAGATTGCTTTGAGATAATATTTTGCTTGGAAAATTAAAATCTTCTAAACAAAAAAGGGCTTAGCCTTTGTGATAGCTGATATGCCATAGACATATTCAATGTTCATGAATGGTGCGATGATTTTTTGACATACTTTTGGAAAAATAAGCAAAAAGTTCTACTTGAAAGATTTGTCAATTGCTAAGTGAGAAATGTGTTAGGTATTCCCTTGTATTAGAAATTTAGCTTTGGCCTTAAAATATTACACTATGAATTTTTTCCAAAGTTTTATTGAAATAAGCTCCCATAGCAAATATACTGTAGGGGAAAAAATTGGTTGTTACTGTGAATTCTAAATGTAGTGGATGACGATAGAGCTGCAGGTTAATACACATTTAAAAAGTTGTGTAAGCAAAAAGATGTCTGGAACTCGGCACTTTGAAAAGCGTGCTAAAGTGATGACGGCACAAAAAAATTTTCAGAATCTTTGAATTTGGATCCCATAACATATAAGAGCATCATGAAATGCCTCTAAATGTGCAATATCGGTCGAATGTGTTACGAATTGGCTGAGATCTGGCCACATGTATACTGGTTCTTTCCCTATTATGTCTCTGTATTTTGGTCTCTGTTCATGAACAGAGCCAAAGCAACAGTGATTCTTTGACAAACTTTAAAAATTTAATTGGCAAGATCTCAACCGATTATATGCTAAACTAAGTTGACTGATTCTGCATATTTAGAAGTATTTCATTGTGATTACTATGCCGTTGAAATTAAAAAATTCTTAAAAGTTGGTTTTTGTGAAGTTTCATTTTAGAACTCTAGATTCGCCTAAAATAGTAGTTGTAAGGTGGAAAGGTGGGAAAATTCGAATATGGCAAATAAGACAGCGTAGATCGGAAAGTAATTAAAGGAAATAGCTAATCGGAGATCAGAAAAGTAATTAAAGCAAATAGCTAATCAGTTAAAGAGGATATATTTTTGCAAGGTTTGAGTGGTTTAGGTTGAGTGGCCGTTAATGCCATATGTGTGGTTTTGCTTTCCCAAAGCCTGTGCAGCGTGGATTACCAGAGACAAATATATTCTCGCAAATGTGAATATTAATATCGCAAAAATCTACGAGCTACTAATTAAAACGAGCTAAGTATGGTATTGCTAAAATTTTGGCGCCAGTTAGACGCAATGCTTTTAGGCTGTTTCAAATCACGTCCCATTGGGATCCAAAATTTGATATTAATACCAGTTACAAGGTAGATTGAAATAGAAACGAAGCTTGTAAAAGATGTAGATTAACATGGATAACATGATCATTTCTTTGCTGGCAAGTATGCGTGCATAAATTATCCATAGCAATATGGGGACAAACCAACAAAAAATGTTACTGAGTTTGTGCTTAGCAGGCGACAGGGTTTCTAGACACTTTAAAAACGTATACATCAACAATGATATTATTGTTAACAATGTTTCTGTATCATCCAAGATATATTTCCTCTTTTTCTTGCCATCTTCAAGACTTGTTCATAAAGACTATGTTTCTGATTGCTCAGTTTCAGTTTCATTTTAATGCGAGTTTCTAAATCTGACAAAAATGACTAAATGAGGCTTGTTACCAGAACTACCACTTTCCTGAAGAATTCAAGGAATCGCCCTCAAATATTAGTAACAAATCTATGACAGAAAAATTGAGAAACCTATTCAAAAAAATTGGGAAAGGACAGAGAAAGGCCACCTACAGACATGAAACGGTAAATGCCGATGCTTTTAATTAAATATCTGAGTTTTATCTATTCCATAATCAGATCTGTTTCAGTCGATAAATCATGTCCCACAAATTGTTTTGAATGATCATTGTATCCTTAAAAAGAAACAAAGACCTTTGAAATAGAAAACAACAGACATAAATTTGGGTTTAAACTCTAAAAAAAGACATCATAACAGCATTAGCTATTCAAAGGTCAACTTCTCGATGAAAAAACCACTCCCTTTGCCTAGAAGCAAGATACAAATGAACCTAACAGCCGGTATTTCATTCATTTTCATTTTAAAATCTTTATACACGAATTCCCTATCAGCTATAATACAAATATAAATAAACTACTTCTATTATAATTACGTCTTTAATATATATAAAATAAAGATGTTACTGTTCTACCAAGGGATCATGTTTTGTTTAGGGAATTTATTAAATTTGTAGGAATCCCTTCAAGTTTCTTTTAAACATGGAAATTGTGGGGCTCATTATGATGTTTCTTGAAATCTCATTCCATGTTTTGGCCCCAGAGTGAAAGAAACTTCTCTTAAAGAATTCCAAATTTGACTTGGGATGTCAATATCAAGTTGATTCCTTGTCGAATACCTACCTGGATATCTCTGATCTAGTGATAAATTTACCGGTATCAAGGCTCCATTGTCTATCAGACGTATTAAAGTAGCAAAAGAACTCCAGTCATCATTCCCGTGACGTCAAACCTCGTGCTTGCTTTTCAGTTTTTACATAGCCAGGTTTTACACAAATGCTTTTCGGACACTTCGGACCCTAGCTCTCTCGAAATGTCACAACGTTATATTTTCAACCTCAACAACCAAGAATGTGTATCGTAGAAATCACCGTTTTAAGAACTAATCAGAGGTGTCGTCCTAAACAACTAGAAAGGGGCACATCCATGACCACACTCTTACCACACCCATTATGTGTAGAAATCATTGAAACTATTCGATGACACAAAAAGACCGATGAAAAATTACCAGTTCATGAGAAATCTATTGTAAGAAAGTGGGTTGCCAACACAGAATTCGTCCAACTAAATATGGAATCACTTTGGTCAAGGTATGGTTTCGGCATATGGCGGAAAAACCTTTAAGAAAAGCTTCAAATCAATCAACTATGATTTTGTTATTATTATTGAAAAAGATGACTGAAATCTTTGTGGAAAGCGGGGGAGGGCATAGGCTGGCATGCGCTGCCGTTCTGTTGATGTCTCAAAAATATCTCATCTAGAATGTTGAGGATCTGCCTCAGGCACAACTTGATCTACCCTGGGTGCCAGAGCCTTCTGAATCCGGGGATAAGGTATTGTAGACGGCTGCTGTGGCAAGCAAGAGTGGATGCAGAGGAGGGGATTTCCAATCTTTTTCGCTCAAAAAAGTTTCTGTGTGTAGTTTCTAACTATTTTTCTGGTACTATAATAGAGACTCAGACCCAAGGTAAACCTGACCGGATCGGATTGTTGCATGGCACGGAAGGCCTAAAAGACTTGCTTGTTCCTACCAAGCATGATTACTATAAGCCTTGTCATACATATTTTAAATCGAAGTTTAGAAGACCACTGAAAATTAATCTTTATGATAAAACATTATCATCGTTGCTGGACGCCAGCCTTTAGAATCTGACAAATTCAAGGAATTAGCGAACAGGCACTTCCACATGAAAAGAATGTTTCTCCCATTTATTTAGCTGCAGACACGATTTATTAAACAGAGTGATACAGTTTTTCAAAAAATCCACAAATTAGGCCGAATGATGTTTATCAGATGCTGGGGGTGTGCTGGTGTGCCTTATCAGGCAGAAATGCCACAGCTTACAAAGGCTCTCTTTTTATCTTGCTACAATATTATCAGCACGAGTATTAATCGAATTTCATTAAGAATAATACATTTTGGGGATGTTTTATTCAATCTAATATACTTAGTCCGAAGAACTAACCTATTGAATTACTTTGAAACCACAGAGTTGAAATACCAAGGCAACATACTGTTATGCGTAAGAAAGAAGAAACGCAGGATATGCTGTCCGTCGGTTATGCTGTCCGCCGGATCCTGTCAATTTTGCAATGAGAAATAATACAAAAAGTAGTAGAACAAAGCAACACGGCGATGAGAATCTAATGCGATGAGATAGAATTTTAAAACAAATAAGATTTAATGAATACTAATATTTCGCCCTGGCATACAGGGTTTTACCCTGGGTAGAGTGAGTCTGGAACCCACAATCGTCCACAAAAATTGCAACTATGTCATGGTGCCTGGTTCAAGTTGACCATTGTTTATGGCCGTTATTTCCATGGTCAGTGTGGTTCATATTCGGCGATTGTGCCCGCGCGGCTAATCGTCTTAACTAACTTATCCACCCATCCCTTGCGTTAATCTAAAAAAAATTGCGTCAAACTAAAAAACTGTGTCAATTAATAAATTGCTAGGTGGTACCATGTCCCATTACATACTCTATATTCTTTGGGTCTGCTACCCCTACGTGCTGATAGATCTACGGCCCTACTTTTCGAAATTTTTTTTTTCTGTGGTACCCGTTTTCAACTTTTACTCAGGAGGTGCCTCCGCAATGCCACGCTGATTCTATGCAGCTCTTACAGAAAAGGCGGACAATAAGAAATAAAAAGACAATTAATTTTTTCAGGGAGAGCACCGCTCACGACAGAAGAAAGTTTTTCTGGAAACAAAAACTTTAGGTAGGCTCCTAACTTATTTCAGTCTTAATCTAGTTTAAATCAGTTGACAAAACTCTTTACTTCGGGTTTTCATCTTTTGTTCATCTTGCTATAAAGCCACAAAGGACGGTTAGGCCATTTGCCTGGCTTTTGACGAAATGTGACCGACGTGCCTTTGCATTGTTGCTTGTAAAATATTTGAAAGCGAGGTTGTCTCACTTTAAAGAAACTCCAACATTATAAGTTCCCAGAGACATCGTGGCTCACAGTACAATCGAGGCCGTGGGTAGCTTTGTGGACAAATGATTATCATGTACTTCGAGGGGTAAAGAAACGAAACATTTTTAATCATAGGTAAAAATTTTCAACGCTACAAATAGTGTAAACCTCGAGCAATCTTTTCCAAAAATCTTTTCGATAAAAATCGACTCGTTATTAGTAATAAACAAATTGCAACAGTAACCCCTAGGCTTCCTCTGGACAGGATGCCTCTTTCACATATTTATTTGATCTATTTGATATTTGATCTTTGATTTTTTAGCCAGAGGTGTGCAGAAAGATGCTTTCAGTAGGGGTGGGGGACAGGGTTGCCACTTGGGATTATTCAATCCGAAATTTCACGAAACTGGGACTGTGGAAATGCTGTTGGGATCAGAAATTGTTCTCTTGGAATCAAAGTGAAAATTGGGATTTTTGGATTATCAGACAAGAAAGGACAATTTGTTATAATTGGCCCATGGTTATGATATTACAATCTGAAATTGTTTATCAAATTAGATAAATGTTTTTCATAGAGAAGACTGACTGCGTTTTCATTCTCAATTTCCCTGTATTAAAGTTCATAAGAACGAAAACCAATCCTGAATTTCCGAAAAACAAGCTACAAAATTTTATAGCCCCGAGATACAGCTCGATTCCTGCTAACAGTTTATAACCATGACAGACACTAGACACACGTTATCTTTTACAAGGGCAAAAAAATTATCAAAGGTCGTGGAAAAGATGTGTTTCATCATGGGCTTTGAGATTATCTGGCGTTGACGAGCCCTGGTCATTGGGTAACACCAGCAGTTTTGATAATTAAGTTTTCTCACAAAATTTCACGTGGAGGGGAGGAAGTTGGGGCGTTTTCTGTCCCCAGCCACCCTGCTCCGCGGTGCTTGATAAATGCAAATGAATGTGCAATCATTTGTAGTTGGATATAAATAGCAATGTAATTAAGATAAACATAAATCCTTATAATGAAAACAATGAAACATATCATGGCTCCCTCAAAAGGTAGATTGTTCGAGGAGAGAACATCCCCCCCCCCACACACACACACACCAACACACACACCCCTTGACGTTTCTGATTTTGTGCTAAATTATTCTATAAACATAGCGCCAGTTAAATTTCTGAAGGTTAATTGCGAGGTGTTAGATATCGGGATGGCCTACATCTTTTCTTCCTGTTCCAGGGCCCACGCCACGAATTTGAAAGTAGGGGGGCAGAAGTAGGGGGCCAAGACTTTTTCCCCTTTTACTGCAGCTTTAAAACTCCAGGCTTTGTAAAAAAGTGTGGGGAGGACATGGCCATCCCGGCCCCCGATGGCGTGGTCCCTGTGCTCGCCGTCCGCCTGCGTTTCTGTATGTTCTTCAGTCTGTCTGTTGCATCTTCTAGAGACGCCAGTACATTTTAAAGTTGAAGGACCACAATGTATCTAACTTAGGCAGTAGGATTCTCTTTAAGAAACGTGGCTTTTCCCATAATTTTGGGTTGTTAGCGCCGGTGCGCTCCTGTTCCAACGTCTTGCACTATTTTCCTTCCAGGTGCATGTTATTAGCTATTTTCATGTAGAGCTATTAGCACTCAATTTACAGCGGGATGATTTCCATGTATTATATCCGAATCAAAATACTCTTTATCCTTACCCAAACATGGTTGGAAAACCCTCACAGAGAGCTTCCTTAAGCCTGAACAGTGTATGGATTTTTCAAAAGCAATTAAATATCACTAAGTTTTAATATTATAATTTCAAACGCAGAAAGGTGTTGCCTCATGTTCGCGAGATTTTTGAATATGTCTTTACCTTTGCTATTCGCAGGCGGGCACACATGTAGACGCAGGCACAAAAACACGCAACAACCGTGTAACACGGACACACACTATGACTGACATCTGCCTTCAACTTTGCTTTCCGGGATGTAACTGTTAGATTAATGGCGACCGCTTGAGCTAAACTGCGCGATTGTGGTTGTCATGTCACTAGTGTAAAATATGAATTCTTACCTGTTTGACAATTCTTTTTGATAATTGGACGGAATTTTTATGCGAAATTAGTGGTTCGCTTAACAATACGTGGGAAGAGGTACACTAAGCCATCTGTCGATTGAAGTATGACTCCGGTCAGGTTCAAAGTAATTTAATCATACATAAACAGCCTGTGATACAGAGTCACTGAAAAGCTATTAAAGGGCAAAATCCTGTTAAGAAAATCATAGTAGGTACCTTTCGCTGGGGTTTTCTTTCAATAAACGTGAATTCTCCTTAGAGAAATATAAATTCATCCACAGTATCTATAGTATGAAAAATCTTCAGTTGCGTTTTTTTAAAACCAATATACATAGATAGAATTAGAAATGGTAATCAGTACCAGACCTGATGGTCTTCTATTCGGTGATTCATTGCTAAAACTACGAAAATAAAACCAAACTCACGTCTCGTCTGGCATTGACTTTTTTCAATGACCCTTAAAATCGTCGGCTTCTTGAACCTTAAGTTTTCTGGTGCGCACATTGTTTCCACGTTTGTCCGCAGTGAGTTTAGCTGGCTCTGTAGTTTCACCAGCCGACCCAACACAAGATCCAATTTTGAATCATTTTCTTCCTCATCTTTTGTATAATTTTCAAGTACATAGCCTTTCGCAAATGTCGTCTTTATATCTCGATTTTCACTAGGCAACTTTTTATCTGAATTATCGCTGGTTTGCTCCACATCACACCACACGGTCGACAATACAGCTAAACTATAAACAGCAAGCCATAGTGTAGACATCGTGAACCACTCCGAGTAAACCAGCGCTTTGGATGTTTTCGGCTTTCATAGCCCTAAGCCAGCTGAATTTGTATCATGATTATCTTCGATGGGCCAAACCGAAATCAATTGTTAAAGCGATAAGAGACCAATTTGAGGGTTATTGTGTCATAGAAACCAATCTAGCCTCCAACTGTGCAGTTATCAACCTAGAAATTTCTTTTAACTATTTATTAAATCTACGAATAATTTTTCCAGGATCATCTGTTTTGAACATCTTGGGATGTTTCATATCAAGAGCTATGGATAGGCATGAAAAAGAAAACCAAAGTGTTAAATTGCAAAACAAATAACAGTCATTGTGACCATGTTTGTGCTCTTTTGATTAACTTGAATTACAACAATAGTAGGGTTGAGAGAAAAGGAAAACAAGCCGTGAAATAAAAGAAAATTTGCTTGCGCTTGAAATAATTAAAAATCAAGCATAACAGAAAGGACAGTTGATCACAAAAGAAAACATACCACTGAATGCCGACTTAGTCGCTTTTCGCTCCTATGCTGAATGTTCTGACATACTTGGGTGCTTGCATCTTTCCGCAGTAATCGAGTAGAAAAGAAAGGAGAGAGGGTTATCAAAAGATTATCAAAATCGGTCAAATTTAAGAAAGCTACTCACTCCAAGATATTCATTTAAGTTATTCAAGCAAACGTTTGCAATTGGTGTGATTATATTCTTCCACTGGTATTTATAATAATTTGACAAGCATACAAAATGCCAACACTGCTTGTCAATAATGTAAATATTTTTGACAAAGAGTTTTGTACAATAATACTAGTAAGATTACTTAAAAGCGATTCTTAATAAGATTTGAGTTGCAGCCAGTGGAATTAAAGGATTTGGTAGAATTTAGGATCCACCCACGAGCAATGATCCATTGGATACCATTTATTATGGAGCAAATAGTTCAAAAATAGAAATTAAATCGAAACTTAATTATTGAAGCATTGAAAAACACAAATATTAACAAAAACGACATTTAAAAGCAAGATATTATCAAAGTTAATTAAAAAAAATTCACATTGACTGTTCTGAGACAGCAGAAAGCATTCTCACTTCTAAGTTATGTTTTGCATATTTAACTTTTTTTCTGTAGTTTATTACAAGTAAAATTGTTAATAGTACAGGCTTTCGTTTTGATTATGTGACGTCATAACGCTTTTTATCTTCTTTTGCTCTTTCGTCGTTTTAGAACAAAAACTCTCAGCCTTTTACATTTGTTTGTTGTTCTCACTGTCTACTGTATGGAAATAGGACGCATTGAAATAGTTAAAGATAGTTAGATTACTGTAAACCAAGTGAGGATTGAATACCTTGCCCTTTCACCGTAGCTTTTGTTCTTTGGTATAACGCATAAGGCTATATATATTTCCAAAATATGAAAAATACACCACAATGTTTGAAGAGAGCTGTCAAAAAATTCCATGATGATTGTTATTATGACTGTAATTTGTAAGTTGGGAAGCCTTAAAACATGATCGCAAAATACATTCTGCAAATGCCTCTGCAAATTTCTTAAAGAGTCTAAGCTAATTCTTGACTTTAACAAACACATTGCTTGAAATTGCAATAACCATATGGATGTGGATGCTGGCATTAATTTTCAGGCCTACAGCAAGCATCGAAAACAAGCACCTATACCAGACTGGATATAAGGTGTCTAGTGACACGGAATAAAATGTCTAGCTCATTAAATTCATTTTAGAACTATCCAAAAATATATTATCTTGATCTCTTTTTAATAAGAACAATTCTATAAGAACACGAGTATCAAAATTAGTAAAATGTTCTGATAGACGACAGGGGGCTCCCATCTCGTTAGTTTTGCAGCAGGACCTACTCTCGCATGTTTCAAAACGAATTACTAATATACCGTTCAGAGTTTTGGAATATCTCTATTCAAGTAGTTTGTTGTTAGGCTTTCATTTCCATGTTGTTTTTAGACGTAATGTTATCAAATTGTAATAAGAATCTGACAGAGCTCATGATGGCAAAGCTGGCTTATTTAAATTTCCCAATTTTGAGATGGGCGTGGTCGATACGTCATTGAATTCCTGCGCAGACGAATGTCCATTATTGTTGCTTTTCTTGCTGAAAGTTGATTTTCTTTTACCTTGATTGCAGAAGTTTCAAAAAATTAAATAAAAGTGAAAAACATTTCTTTGTTTACCATAAGAATCATTTTATCAGAAAGCATATGTTTCAACTTTTCAAAGAAAACCTATATGGTATGGTTATCATAATTACAGTGTTATCTCAAATGATAAATATTTACTACAGCTCATGATAGGGGTCTGGCGCTTTAGCCTTCAGGTATAAAACGAATGAACTGATAAAGACTTGTTTTATTGGATAGTCGATGGATAATATATTTTGCTTATAAATATATTATGCATTGAGTGTTATCGGCTTGTTCGAATTTGTTTGTAAGGTGACTGCTAACAGTAAAGAGTGCCGAAAGATTGTTTAGGCTCTGTCGCAAAAATGAAACGTTCAATCAATCCTTTTTCTTCTCACTCTTTTAACGTTAGACAATTTTTCATTTAATCTAGTACATTGCATTTCCATCGCCAAATTGTATTACCAAACATCGGATTGCTGTCAATCTACACATAACATTTGTTTTTGTTACATTATTGACTCTTAATCGTCGTTTTCTAAACGTCGCATTACAGTAATAAATACAATGACGTCAAATTCATATTTTCATGAAGGTAAAACGTGCATCTGTTAACAGTATACAATGAGCACAACTTAGGCAGAAAATTAGGACAAATGGGGTTTGCATGACGAAGTAAGAGCAAAGAGTACACCCCAGAGATTAGACAATTTGTGGCTACGAGAACCTAAAACATCAGTAAGCCAATTCAGGCTTTCCTTATGAAGTGAAAATAATTTCCTGAGGAAAACCTTCTGACTCGGGTAAACGTGTGTTCATCACCTTTGCATTACCCCTCCAAAATCTACCAAATTTTGTTACCCTATTAAAAGCAGGGAATGATACCATCTTATCAAAAGATTCATCAAAAGAAGAAGCCTTTAGTATCCTTTTTATTGTTACTCTATGACAATCCATTTGAAACCAAAGTCTTTGCTACCCAATAAAGCCGCAAAAGCTTTCATCTGTTGCTGTGTCGCTTGCTGCAAGTATAAATACAAACCTTTATTTTTTTCTTTTTTTCTTTGTTTAAAGTTGGTACATTTTCTAGCTATGCATACTCAAGCTAATTAAAACCAACTTATTTAAGTTGCCAACGCTAAATATAATGTAAACCAACTGTAACCGATGTTGGTAACGTATTCCTTGCAAAAATAACAAGTACTATTAAACGATGTAAATTCTGAGATTTTTTTCTCGAATATTTGCAAAGTACTTTATGTCGTTTGGAGCTGAGTTACAGATATGGCTACATCTGCATGATACGGTATTAAATCCATTTATTTTGTAATGTGGCTCTGCTGTTTTGAATTGGGAGTTTCTTAAGAAATATAGGCATTCATTTATGGAAAATGTTTCATCCATAAAAGGTGTTATTCAAACCGTTAGATGTTTTGTAAATTTATATCGCAAGATGTTGTAAATTTTTCTTATGAGGAGTTATTGTTTCATTTTTTATTAAAAGTTGTTCAAAAGTTGATTCATAATCATCATGAGCTATTCTCATTGCTCTTTAATGAATCCGGTTTATCCTGCTATTACTTTTCCTACTGCAAAACATCCAAATAAGAGGACAATTATTAAAATATGATGATGTGAACGTTTTCATTAAAAGAATTTGCTTAGATTTGTCTATATAAGAAATAATCCTGGCTAGAGCGTTTACCTTTTTCCCGGCTTCTTTACAAAAAACTTTAATATGTTCTACTTTAGAACTTTAATATTGCAAAGTCTGTGGCTAGAAACCCTCATTAAAACACTGAAAAGATTAGTAAAAGAGCGATTCTGCGACTGGAATATAAAAAACAACTATACCAGTTATAGAACTGGATTTTTCGTTACTTGATTTAACGACGTATAAATTTTGAAATACTTTTATACATCGCTTTTAAATGCTTAAATAATCAAATCAAATAACAAGAATCACGTTGAAAACATCATCATCATAATTGAATGATTATTTCATTTATTCTAAAAGGCCATACTTCACCAGCTGAAGATTGTCTATTTGAAATTACAGTTTGTGATTGAACACATTTAAAATTTACGAATAGTAACCTTCGAGAATGTTATTTATAGCAAGGCACGGTTGTAATCACTTATGGTGTACTTGTCTTATCAGGTGCGTGACAGACTTGATGGACATATAGAGAGGCTATTAACTGATAACGAGGTTTCATCACCATTGTACTGCGAAAGTCAATTCTCATTACCTACTGTTTGTTGGGCAAGAATGCATTGTAAATCTGGGTAGAGGACGGTTTGTGGTTGAGTGAACAATTGTGGCATGTTCTTACAGTTAAATATAAGCGCCTAGATGTACAAAATAATTAAAAATAGTGATGTTTCTTTAAAAACTAATTTTTGTTATGAGCTTCCACAAATGGAATTGTTTTGAAAGAACATGTTGAAAGAAGCTTGGGTTTTCATTCGAAGATGCTTATCAATGATGCTTGATTGATGATTAATCCTTCAGCAGGTCTTATTTGTTAAATTTATAAGCTGTTAATAACAGATGTCTTACATTTGGCATGAATCAATTTGATACTTGCGAAGTGAACATGCCTGGCAATCATTTTAGGTACCAACCAATTTTTCAGCCAGTTTTATTACTATAAAACACATCATCTTCTAAAGATAAAATTGCGTGTAATAACCGGTTCTTTAAAGGATTAGCTATGGATCAAGGATCCAATCACTTATAATCATCAATACAACTTGAAGATTTCAATTTATTTACAGTTTTTCTTTACTTGAATAAAGTAAAGTTTTTACAAAAGTCAATTTGCGCTAACTCAGACTTATACAAAGCATTTTCATAGATCGCACAGGGCAGATCGCTCACGACAAAAATGACATAGGCATTTCTTTTAAAGGAACAAAGCTTGAATAAAATTCTTTAATGTTTTGGCATTTGGGGTTTTACGAATTCATCAGGAAGTGAGTTCCAGGTTTACGCTCCAACTGATCCCATAATTTGTAGTTCTGAACTTCTGAACTGCAATGGTTAATTCAAGTAGATTTCGCTTGAGAAGAGGGGCGATTCAAGGATTAACGACAATTGCTTTTTATCTTCGTGAATACTATAAAGGATCTGATGCCTATAAAGGAAAACATTACAACATTCATTCTAGTGTTTTCTAAAGAAGATTGAATTGAAATCCAAAAGAAAACTCGAAATCAGCTACATTTGGTTAGAGAATTATCACCGTCTGCATAATCTGTTTCATACTCGTTAGAAACTGTATTTATCTTTAAAAAAACACGACCCTGTATTCATGATCCATGTACAAAATATAACTACCTAATTTTTATAAGGTTGAACTTTTGAAAGCTTTACCATGTTTTTCTCAGGCAACATTTGTTGGGCAGTTTTTAGACCCATCCTCTGATGGCACACGAAAAAAGGAGGCTTCAAAAGTTTTCTTTAAATCTAAATGGCAAAATCCTGCTATGATTTTGTTTCCTTTTAAATTGAGCTCTTAAATTGAGCTTTTAAAATGAGCTTTTTGATTGAGCATTGGCATTCAAAGTCTTTTTATGTGTTAATGATAATGTGTTTCATGTGTCAGTCTCTGTTTTAGAGACTTTGTGAAATCTTTTTTAATTTTTTAATTTTTAATTAATTCTCTTTTCTACAGATTACGATTATGTTTGCTAATTTAGAGAACTGTGGAGCAATGTCAGGCCCTTTTGTAGCCAATTAGCTGAAGGGGTAGTTTGGAACATTAATTATTTATACTTTTAACAGTTGTTTTCTAGTTTGTCAATTTTTACAGTTATTGTGAAAAGATTTAAAGGATTGTTATATTTCTTATTGCGTTGCGATTGTTTTTCTTTGAATATATGACCGAATTGGTACCAAAAAATAGAGTATTAAGGCACATGTCGCTTTAGGGCAAGGATAGTAAAAATAGCAGACTAATTAATCTGGTCACCCTTAATTCTTTCAGGTGAAATTGTAGAGAAAACACGAAAAATCAATGAGGAAACCTGGCCTGTGTTGAAGGTTTGAGAAATTCTTAGATTTTAATTAGTGTCAATGCTATATCTTAATCTTGAAACGACATTTCTAAACCTGTCTATATCCAATTGACCGCTCGAAATCCTCGCCTACGCAGATTGAAAGGGAATTTTGTTGTTTGGTCAGCTATTGACTATAGAAACGGCCAAAAGAAAGGTTCGAAACTCAGTGTCATTTCAAATGACTAAAGAGCTTGGCTTTTGCCTTATTAAAAGGGTATGCTAAAAACTTCTTTTCAGCTGAAGGAAATCTTTAACAATTTTTAATCCAAGGCCCAGTGCTAAAAACATAATATACTCATTTCATTCACGGCAGATAAGAACCTTTTATTGATTGACAAATGTTCAAGAATTCATTTTAGCTTTGAAAATTGTCTACCATTAGATTGTGACGACGGGAGAAGTCTTCTAAACCCTTGCTACTTCAAATAGATCAAGTACGGCATATAACACGTGAACCTTGTTTTTTTGTACCCCTCGTCTTATGAACAAGCAACTTCTCAAGCAGCATTTTTCGTAACGGTGGGGCATTTTTGCAAGTGCGAATATCGAAATCTATCTGATCGTCCCCCCCCCCAAAGATTTTCAACGGATTTCGAGAAATTAGAAAATCGACTTCTGAGAAAACTGGGGACACGTCCACCCCTGTCCACCCCGTGGTGACGCTACTAAGTGGCACCAATAGACATTATTAGCCGCCATTTTTCTACCATATTTCCGCACATTCTTTTTATTACTAGTATCTAAATGTCAGAAACAAAAGAAACATCGGTTTTGCTTTCCTCCTATGAATCCTTGATAAACCGGACACCAGCTAAGCGAGATGCACTGTCATATATAAGGAGGTTTTGTTTTCTGTGTGATGCCTAAACAAGCTTTTGACTGCAAGAAACATTTAATTTTCAGGCCAATATGGCATGGCAGGAAAATCTTGACTGGTCATTGACGATACAGTAAAAACCCGCGTGTAAGAACCGAGAGATTTAAGAACCTTCTGGCAGAAATTTGCTTTTTTAGTATTCTAAAATATAAGAATCTGTTAAGCCAAACAATTACTAACAGGTTCTTATATGTAGGGTTTCACCATTAAATTTATTCACTTTTTTACAAAAAACCACAATGTTGACATAAAATTGAATAGTTAAAATAAGATTTCAAATGAAACAATGTATGTTGAATTTTATCTGTTGTCTTGAAACAATTATTGCCTTTTTGTATACAGTATTGCAACATTGATAAATTATTAGTGGACGTTTGGCAACATTGGTACACTATTGAATGTTTGAAATGAAGAACAGACCAGATTTTCTGATAATCAACATTAATGTCTACTCTGTAGAAATTAAGAACCTACAAGAACCATTTTAGCCTAAACTGTCAATAAGTACCCCCATAATTCAAGAACCTGTCTTGCCAAGCTTTGCAAAAGTAGGTTTTTACACGGGGATTTTTACTGTATCATCTCGTGAGAATTTAGGGAATCGTAACTTGTCCATCATACTTGACAACTTTAGTTCTTGGTTACTCGAAGGTCTCCTTGTATTTGATAGTTTAGTTTCTATGTATTGGCCTAGATTTATCTCTTCTTAACTGACTGCTTACAGCAACTAATAGGCTTATCGTAATTGCTGTGTTAAAATGCCATTTTAAATCTTTGTAGCGTTAAATCATGATTTCCCTCTTCCTCCTTAATAATCCTACAGTTACATTTTTATGGACGTCAATTTAATATCGCCCCAATTTCAGAAAAAGAAAAGGCACTTAATCGCAAGCGTACAACTAGATTATATTTTATACTTTTTAAACTGCCAAGAGCAACAGCTGGCTTTGTTTGGGGCAAAGATATTCACTAAGCCTCTTTCTTTTTATTTTTCTTTTGACAGCCGGAAAGTAGATAAGAGATGGCATACAAAGTTGTGATGAGATTAGCCAAAATAGTTGTAAATTTCAAACGTTTAATATTATTTGACCAATATGAAATCACTTGCAACAAAGAAAGATAATGGCTCGGGCTCATAAGGAAAAATTCAAGAAACTTCGGTTTGCCTGTGATTAGGCTAGCAACGTCATAAAAAGGTCCACCAGATTACATTTGTCAATTGACAAAAATTCTTCGTACTTTTAAAGATTAGAACTGTTTACTAAAGAAGGAAATTCGCTTAACTTCCAAAAAATTCCTAGAAATGGCAAAAATCACGAGGGGCAAATCACTCCAAGAAAATCTTGTACACTTTTTGTGAAAATCCTAAAGTTTTATCTGGAAATCCCTAGAAATCCTTTTGTTTTAGGCAAAATCTCGTAATATATTTGCAAGAGTGAATTGCCCATCGAAACATCAGACATAACAAGCATCTCTAATTTTGATTTGGATCTACTTTCAAGGCCAAACAAGCCATGTTTTGTTTTCAATCGCGGCAAGACTGCTCTAAGCAGTATGAGGTAAACAGGAAGGAGGAGGCAATAACAAATATTTTTTCTGGTCCTAACAAAAATATTGATAGCAAGTTTAAATTCTCCGACTGTACTAACTCTTTTACCCAGGGTGTATAGTGCAAATAATTACTGAAAATTTCAGAACAAGAACAGGGCGATTCCTCAAGATTCTTTTTTGGGATTTTGACGCAACGTAAAGTTCTCGAAGTTATCTTAGCTCGAGGTATCGCTTTTCTTAAAACAGTGCTACTTTGTAAATTTCTACAGTGTAATTAAGGACCATATTATAGAAGGTAGCTGCTAAGTTGTTAATGGTCAACCACAGAACTGGAAAGCTGATGTTTACCGAAATTGGTTCATAAAGAGAAATTCTTTACCACAGACAGACAGTGTGGATAGAATCTTTTAAAAAATTAGTTCAGTGACAACAAGAAGTTCGGAAAACATTCTCTTTTAAAGGCTCTTGCGCAACCGGCATGCTTAGTGGCAGCTTTCTTGAAAAATTCTTGTTTTTTGTATTTTCATGTAGTACAATGTTAGGCCAGTTTTGAATATGAAATTAGTTGCGTAAGAGCCTTTAAAGTTCCAGAATCTCATTTTCATGGCTGTTTTGTGTATAAGACTGTAAAACATTTTATAGGTATTTAGATAACTATCTCTAACTGGCTATCGCTAATTTATAACGAAAAATTACAAGTTTTGGTAGTTTAAATATGCAATACAGCATGTAGTTGCAAACAACTTTTTTATTTAGCTTACAGCAAAATCCTGTTATTATACTATATTCGTTTGGTTCAGAGCTTTTAAATCATTTTATTAGCTTTTAAACTACTTTCTTGGACATGAAGACTACTTGTACTCCGACTCAGTTACCGCAGAGCTGGGAGGGGGCTTGGGGCTAGAGACTCTCGCCAAAATTTTAATTTGACCATTAATTTGAAAATTAAAGAATTAGGAAATTGACTGTCAGCAATTCTCTTTCGATTCTGTTTTAGCCCCTCCTCCTTATTTTGAATGCCCCTTGATACCAGTACTTGCAAAGTTTTTGTGCAAAACTTCACACTCTAGATTGGTTTGTAGGACAGGGCATTCGCTTAAGAGTTGTATTTGGGGTTGCGGAGCAGTGTCCAACTTTCCACTTGGCTATGATTCGATGAAATACGAAATGCCTTTAAGCCTTTTCTTACAAACATTTCCTTTTATATTTATATTTCCTATCATTATAATTTCTTATAATGCCAATTTACTTCGATACCTGTACATAAAGAATTCGAAAGATTTACGTGCTTTTATTTTGAGGGGAGAATTTGCATGTGAAGCCTTTTTCTCATATGTAAATTATCAGAAAACCGTTAATAATACCCCGTTTACGCTACAGAAAGAAGAACGGAACTCCTTGGTTCCGTTTTTGTATGGGCACTACACCTCTTTTTTCATCGCGTTTACACTGAAGCAAAAAGGATCGGATCCAAATTTGAGCCAGTTTACACTGAAGTAAAAGGAGTGGAACTTTTATGTGAATCATGCGCAGTGGCGCGGCAAAGACGTCTGACATTTTCATTAAGCCTCGCCCTAACCCTAGATTAAGCCACGTTTCCAATCGTAATTAAAAAGTTCCGTTCCTTACCGTTCACACTGAATAAACAAACAGGATTTGGGAACGGAATCAAAGAGTTTCGCATTTTAGCGAAACCAAACAAGAACGGAACTGTTCCAAAACTAGCACGGAACAAAGATGTCTAGTGCAAACGCGAGGCCTATCGTCGCTCTCTCGAGCACGGAACCAAAGAGTTCCATTCTTTTTTCTGTAGTGTACACGGAGTCCAAGACTATGTGTCTATCAGCTATATAAGCTAGAACATATTAACAATTGTTCCATAATTACCAGTGATTGTATTGGCTAAGATTCACATTGATCCAATAACTCTATAGGTGGATAAATTACTTTTCAGCGCAGCAGACATTGAGTTGTGAAATTCTCTCGTTGAATCTTGTACATTTTGAAGTCAATAGAGTCCTTTTAATCAAATTCATGACATCAACAAAAATAAAATTTAAACGATCATCAAAAGAAAACTTTTGATGAAAACATTTGTTTTAACATTCTTGAAAAACTGTTCCTTGGTATGGATGTATTTTAGTAGGAAAAACAATAAACTTGTTAACAACATTAATGAAAGAGCATTGCGAATAGCCTGTAAAGATTTTCATCTGGTTTTGAACAACTACTGCTCAAAGACATTACGAGAAATTTAGAGCAACTTGCAACAGAAACTTACAAAAATTATTCATCACGAAAATCCAAGTTTCATGGAAGATACTTTAGCATAACTGTGTCACCTTAACCTCAGGAGGCTCACTTTCACTAGAAATTATAACCAAACACTATAGCATACGGATTAGACACTGTATCATACTGATGTCAAAGAGTATGGGATTCAATTCCCACAGAAACAACCTCAAGCTTAAATATAAAAACCTTTAAGCAAGAATCAAAACTATGTCTGCGATTTCTTGCTCATGTTTAAACCATTTATAGGACAAGTAGGCTATATAAAATGACAGGAAACCTACTTTACATTGATGTATCTTGTTAGTCATTCATCTATTTTTGTTGCGTTGTTAAACATGATTATTGTTAATATATTTAGTTGGTTTTAATTAGCTTTAGTATAGCTAGTAGAATACGTTTACCAACTCAAAAGAAAGTGAAGGAAAAAAACGAAAAGTCTAGGGTTACATATTAGAAACTGCTCCTGCATAATTCTTCGTTTTAAACAAGGCAATGTTTTGCCATCTTCGATCTTTTCCAAAGATATCTAAACTATAGGGACAATCGGACGATCGATCTCTCACATATTCAAAGAAGGCAGAAGGCAGCATACGCACTATTTAATCATAACATTTGGTTCCTGTAAAGAGAGACCATCAAGAAGCCTGAGATACCAACCAAAGGTTGCAGGAAAAACTTTTCATCGCCTTTCAGATTCTACTTTCGACGAAAATGGTTAGCCTCCCTACCTTGAGGTGTCTACAAGTTACTTTTTGTCCTATGGGCGTACGAAAGTCTGGTCATTTTTCTACTAAATGTGTTGTCGTGGTCCTCTCGAGATCATTGCACAAGTAAGCTTATTCGAAACCACACTGTTGTTCCAAATGCTGTATCTGGCTCACTAGGACAAAGGCAAAATTGAGCCTTTTCCTGGTTGGCTTATATCCTGACTGCGCTAGCTTTATTTCATTTATCAATTATTTTCAACAAACCACTTTTAAATGAATTGGACTTTAAGTTATCAAGACTCTGAACTACATTTCTAATGTCTTGCTTTGTTGAAAATATCAAATCTGCAACCCAAAAAAGCTTGAAACTTTTATGCCAAATTAAATCAACCACTTTGTCTGTGGAGTCTTTAGACTCTATTTTTCGGTGGGATTGTAATTGGATTGGATCAAGTCAATGAAACCTTGAGATTGTATTTTCTATTCCGGTTATGTCTAGTCTTTTTACACTCGTCTGGAGAATTGAATAAACGACTTGCATCTTAAGGGATGATGCATCTACCGTGAAATTCAATACTAAAAATATTATCAACTTTATTAGATTTTAACTAGTTGTCTAATCCGACAGCTAAAAAGTTTATTTTAGTACTGTTTCGTCTTGCCGTGAGGTTTGGGGGAGCAGAATGTAATTCGTCATGGTGAACCATGAAAACATGCCAGCTACTAATTACCATATAATCCTATTGCCAGATCTGAAAGGGGCAGTATAGAGGCAGATAAGGGATAAAGTGTGAAATATTTTTAGATATCAGTGAATAAAGTCACCAAGCACTGTTTCAGCGAAAAAGTAATTTCTGATACCCACAACCTGGTTTGCATCGAGAGTAGCATAGCGGTCAAATCTTTGATTGGCTGAGAGCTCTGTTCGCTGCAACGCATGATGATGAACTGGACAAAAAATAAGGTGGAAATTCGCTCTGTAGAGGCGTGCAATGTTTTTTGTAGACAATGTGGTAAAAACACGCTGAAATGGTGAAAATGGGCCTAATTCTAGCTCCCAAGCGATTTTGTTGTGAGAATCCTGTGTGCTGATAGGCTTAGAACATGGTAGCGAACAGAGCTCTCAGCCAATCAAAGATTTGACCGCTATGCTATCGAGAGTAGGGACTCTGGCTCGCATACAAACACCTCAAACCAGCCTCCAACCCAAGAGAATGTTCAAATAGAAACATTTCATCCATATTGCATCCTTTTCCACAGAACATTTGAATAAAAATTATTACACATTTCTTCTTGGGGCACAAAGTAATCTATTCTAAACTTTTGACTTTTACTTGCTTTACATTAACCCGCTTTAATATAGATGAATTTTCTTCTTCAAAGTGGCAAAATAAAAATAAAAACAGAAAGTTAATTTTGTCTTTTATTGATAAAAATGAACTAGTGATTAACAATTGATGCTTATTACATATAAAATAAACATATTGTCACAATAACTCTTATTCATATATTTATGCTTGCAAATTATTCGTATCTTCGATCTATTCAAGCAGCAAGATTTATCCTCCGGCTGTTTTCTAAATTCGACTAGACTGGAACTAGATTTCAAAGAATAAAATCTTCACGTTGATATTTGTTATTGATGTATCAGAAGTAGCAAACCAATTTGTGCTTATATTGTTAAACCGAATATCTGGTTTCGGGAGGAAGTGGCTTACTTGTCAGGTCATTATTAAACATAAACCTAGAAGATCTGAGATTGAATCTTACACCTGTTATAAAGACGGCTTTTTACATCAAATGAACAATCGGTGACATTTGTTCCTGAAAATCTCAATAATTTGACCCCCGAACTAAGTTGCATAGTCCGGTACCGTTTCTTGATTATCGACAATAAAGCCAGGAACCTGAATGAAGATTCCTCCAATACTCAAGACTATGGCTGCAATATACAGCCACAGAAAAAATCGATTAATAACTTTAGCAGCTAGTTTCCATTCATCACTCACTGCCTCAGACTCAGCATCTTCAATCAACTGCTCTGCCATCAAAACGAGGCCACTATCCTCTCCATGAAATGGAACTGTGCGACCTTTCATTTTATACTGGTTGAAGTCTTCTAAGAAGGAAGATTAGGTTTTCAGAATAAAGCTATCAAAATTATGCTATCGAAATCAGGCTATCAAAAGAAAGGCAATTGAAATCAGGCTTTTGATATCAAGTTTTTAAATCAGGCTTTCAAAATTATCAATATGTCAGAATTTCAAAATCAAAATTAGGCTTTCGATATCAGGTTTACAAATCTGGCTATCAAAATTAGACAATCGAAATCGGTTTTCAAAATGTCTATTAAAATCAGGCTATCAAAATTAGGTTTTCCAATCAAGCAATCAAATTCAGGTTATGAAATCAGATTTTCAAAATCAGGTTATTCCAAAAAGAATATACCCATTCAAATAAGCAAACAGTTGTAGGTATGTATGTATGAATTCAAGAGAAAAGTAATGACAATTCAATGTACAATATGACGGAACAACATTAAGCAGTTATTGTTTATCTTCTTGATTAGTGAGTCTTACGCGAAGGACCTCTGAATAGAGAAGCAACAGACAAAATTTGAAAAGCATAGAGGCTACAGTATTGAGGCTTACTTTACAGTGAATGCTTTATTAAGCCCTTGGGGGTAATTCATTTTTTCAGACCTAGAGGGGGGCTTGAAAGAAGGGGCTAATTAGATGAAAGGGTTATTGATAATTCAAAGTAAAAAGTTTTAAAAATGTTCTTATCCAACATTTGTTATAAAAATAGCACACAATTGTTCGCATAAAACTTTGCTAGCAGCTTCGAAGGTCTACTACAGTAAATCAATTATAATGTCCACATTTTCATCAAAACCATCAGGATCAATTTATAACCCTGAGAAATCTTCCAAACAAATTTCGTCCGCTGGGATTCCATCGAAAGGATCAACATTAGTATCCTCTTGACTTCCAAAGCTCATAAGTGAATCCTTACATGGACCGTATTTAATGCACATAATCTTATCATCACCCAGCAGTCAAGAGACCTATTCAACGCACATGTTTTCATTATTTGACTTCAGTGGCTAAAGAGGGGTTTTTAATAGAGAGGGAGGCTTACTTTAAAGCTTTGCTTCATAAAAGGGGCTTAATAAAGGGGGCTTAAAAGAGGGGAGGTTTGAAAGAGAGAAGGCTTTTACTTAACTATTATAGGAAAGCGTCAAATGTCATAGTTAGTTTATAAAAGGGCTTTGTCGTCTTGTGCTTGACTAGTTTTACTACTTCGTATTGTCAATAATGATTGGACAGATAGACTGAAAGTTTTTGTTATGAATGCGTAAGGTAAAATAATGTCAGGTAGAGTCATGAAAGACGATCGACAGACACTAAAGTGATCTAAGCCATATGTCAATCAAATTTAGCCAACCAATAAGCGCAATATCATCCTCACATTAGCTGATCGGCCTACGTTTGATTGACAGGTGGCTAAAGCCACTTAATTATCTGTCGATTGCCTTAAGTACTACGTGCAAGATACTGAGGTTCGTGCAGATTTTAATGAAAAAGGCGAAGATACACTTTGCATAAACTTTTTGTCAACTCAAAACTAGTGAATTAGAGAATCGATTCTTTTTAAATTAAAACCCAAATAGTTCCATTCATCAAATAATGTTATACAGTATAATTTTTTCATGTATGAAGAAACATAGCAAGCAGAGACCTAATCACAAACCTTTATCGTCGTTCATCGATGGCTTCGAGTTTTGAGGGGTTTTAATTCTCACAAGATAGGCTAAACGCCGCAGGATATAAACCTGTAAAATGAATAGCAATGTATTTCTATAGAATTAGCCTTCAAGTTTATAAAGTTTACAACAAATTTGATTGTCAAAAATTTAGCTTTTATTGAGTTTGAACCGGCAAAAAATTATAAATGAAAAACTTCACGTAGAATGTCAGTTATATATAACTTTATACTGCTATTTACAAGAAAGCTACAGAATTTCAAAGCACGCTAATTTCAAAACGAAAAATGTCTTTATCATCCTGACAGCTTATTACAAAAGTGCAGTTCCGTATTCATTTTTTCTTCAAGTTCAGTTTTATCGTTTTACTGAAATCACGCTCCAGTTTCAAATCAGAAGTTCCTATATTGAAATGAAATTTCCAAATCTTTTTTATTGTGAAATTCCTGGTTTAATTACTCCATAGGTATTTCGTGTTGATAACTTTAAAGGTTTTGGTGTAGCAAAATGGCTTTGTCTGATACTGACATTGTCTGAAAGCTTGTGACATTGCCTAACAGATGAAGAAACCCACATTCATAGACATCTTAAATGGATTAAAAATTTTCAGATATCGAATATGTCAAAACTTTATGAAAATACAGAAAAATATGTCGACTACAAAATAGGATTATGATTAAGTTGCGTGACCAAGGACTGCTTCCCTGCCTTCCGTCAGAATCAGACAGTCCTTGTCTGTAATCCAGGTGTTCAGTATAAAAGTGACTTGTGATAAACAATTTTTGAAAAAAATAGCAATTTACAATATGAACTGTAAGATTAGAGCGTTAAAGAAAGCCAATTTGAACCTTTTGATGATAAAAGCATTCAATTTATCTTTTGCTGTACATCTTCACAGAAGTGCGTATGAAAAAGAGGGCTAATGGTGGGTTGCTCGGGAGACTCAGTCCACTTTGTTAAATTTAAGAGAGATTTCATGGGGTTCAGCTCCTTCCTTACAGACCAGTTTATTTTTGTTGGGCAAATTCCTTACTTGGCAATGTGAATTATTTTTGGGAAGAGGAAGTCTAAAAACCTTTGTTTTGAAACAAAAGAATCTTGGCCTATCAACGACGAGCTAAAAAGTTGTCGATACTGCGCATGAGAAGTAGGCTTTGGTATTGCTGGCTATCAGCCAGTCAAATCGTCGGATTTGCCTCCTGTGCAAAGGAGAATTTGGAGCTGCACCATTCGCGCTAAAATATTTCAGGGATTGAGCTTCACTTCAAATGTAACATTCGTTCTTCTTTATCTTTCTGTGGGCTGGCAAGTTAGACTGCAACAGAGACACACGTTGCGGCAAATCATTCAACAATATCCGTTTGCCAGTCTGCTTGGTTTCTACTCCATAATAGCATAGCCATTGAAATATGAAGAGCCACTTTCAAGAAAGATATCTTCTGATTTGAAGTAGTGTCAACAATCAATAAACTGTGTTGGCACGCCACTACTCCTAAATTCGTCCGCACTTTCATCTTGATGGACACATCAAAGACACTTTGGCCAAACAATATGCGTTTCCATAGACATTGATATTTTATTCCCTGACATTTTATGGTTGAAATCTGTTTTTGCAAAGAGGAATTAGGCTCAATCGGTGTATTGGATAGCAACACAACAACAAAAATCATGGCCGTCAACTAAATTCCTAGTGCGGCTGCGCTGGTCGACAAATTTTTGCCAATCCAGGCTCCTTGACAAACACGGTCAAGATTCTAGTCGACAGATCTCCCCAACAAATTAGCCCTGTTTAGCCTAATTTGTAGGGCCAAAAGTAAGAAATTGCCTGTATTGTGTTTTTAGTCATCTACAGAAAAATACCAACTATGTATGGACTAAGCTGAAAAATCATCATTGATTATTATGTTGTTTTGTAAAAATATTTCAAGATTTTACTTAAAGAATGTCTTGAAGGAGAGTTTCTAATTTCTACTTGTTGGCGATTCTACATTTTTGCCTCCAAATATCTAATAGACTTCAAGCCATATTGAAAACTGTTTCTATGAGTCAAAAACAAATCACCGCGAATAGATTGTCTAGCAGAGTGTTGGTGAATATTTGCATTGAAAGAAAGTAATCATGAAAGCAATAAGGAGTTTTCTTGCTAATAGATTCAAAAACAAATGTTTATAGTCTCAGCTGAAAAATTTCTTGAAGTCTGAGAGGTTTGAGCTTTTTAAAAATGGGAAGAGTGGGAGAGCGATGGGTTGGTGTGAAAGCAGGGGTTCTTCACCTGTACAGATTCTATTGAAAATTCGAAATGAAATTGGAAGCATCATTGCCTTTTTCTTTAAGATATACCCATTAAAATACCCCAAACGAGCTGTATAGAATCGTGACAAAGGGACTCAGTTGGATCCTTGAAATTTAATCAAGAGAAGACTAAAGAATGAAGAGCAAAAATAACTATTTAGAGTGTTAACTGAAATATTAGGTGATCATGAGTAAATTGTTCTGGCTATGTAGAGTGCAAAAATCATAAAAGTAACCTGTGAATTATGAGACATCAATGAAAGCAAGAACTTAGAGGCTAGAGAAGCCTTAGCTCGAGGGGTATGACATTTGGAGAGAAGATGCAAGTTTCAAGATATACGGTGAAAGAAGATCCGAAGAGACGACCCTTGCTGGTTGGAAGATATTCGAATATGTATCGATGTATGCTATTTGAACTATTTCTAGAATACAAGAATGGAAAGAAAAATACATAAGAAGAAGTGGCAATGCCACAACGAACAAATAGTTTTCAGGGCTAGTTACTGCCAATTCCATCTACTGATTAGGCCCAAAGATCAGTTTGTTTCGTTAATCAACCAAGTGGGGAGATCCGCTTGTTTTTCGCCTGGGTTCCGTTACGAGAGATCCAGAGAAGAGTTTAACTGTTGTTGACTTTGGAATTGAGAGTTTGCATAACGAATAAGTAAAGAGATATTGGTATGCGGGCTGACGTTGAGATATCTGTTAAGCCAGATGTGATTCTTTGGGTTTAACTTGGCTTACCAAGCTAGACACCAGTCACTGGATAATAATGCTTATATACAGCTTCTGTACATAGGTGAATGAAAACTGACCTTTTAATTTTAGCAACAATTTCAGTGATAGCGAGCTCTCTATTACAAACCTGAATTGTAAGAAACGTAACGGAAAAGTACACGGTGTCTTCTCAACTACCTAGCTTTGTGATGACTTTTTTTCAACCACACAGTTTCGTTTTTGAAGTTGACCCTAATAGAACTGAGACAGAATCTGACTTGCCTTTATCCATTTTGGTACCTTTGAAGACGAATGGTGGAAACGAAGAACAATGGATGTGCAGAAAAGAGATATCGACATCGTAACCAAAGTTATTGAATAGTATCTAGAAAAGAACAAAAGAAAAATTGTAGGCGGTATACATAGGCTATTTTACATTTCCCGTGTCCTATTACGCAACAACAGAGAAAAAACGACAAAAATTCCATCTTGTTGAAATGAATACTCGTGCAAGAAAATCCACAATTACCCTTTTTAATTTCTGTAAGTGCAAAGTAAATATTATATTTGCTGATTGCTTCTTCAGCCATTACAAAAAGAAATCTGGTTGATGTGTTAAAATCATAACCACTTCAAATGCTGCGAAGCAAAATCTGAGCAATGCGTTTTATGAAAGCGGCGCAACTAAATCAGATGGGTTATCGTTAATTATGTGCAACTACACATGGTGATACTTCAGGGTTGTTAAAGATGCTAGTGGCCGCCGGAAGTTCTAAATGTCGATGAAATGAATATTTGACAGATAGATTTCTCGCCCGTCTACTTAAGGAATATCCATGAAGCACACCTTTTACTGAGCAAATGATATATAATAGCATAGGTGACCGAGAATGCATCATCTCTTTGATGTTTTTATCGTTCAATTTAATTAGAACTGACAAAAAGAACTCTTGATTTAACAGGGCCGTTGGTGATAGCAGTAAACCTTTACTAAAAAGGTTATCCTGTAAATATATGCATATATAGATATATACAGGATAACCATATGGTATATTATCATTATTCATCAGGCATTTTTTATTCTTTTTCTCTTGGTAAAGAAAGGTTTCTTCAGAATAGGAAGTCCTATGAGAGCTTTTAGAGGCCAGACAATTCGCAACCCCTTACTTCGAACTGAATTAGGTTTTCTCCTTTTTTATTTCTTTGTTGAATTGCAAGCTCCTGACACGTTTTCATGATACAATAATTGAACGGTGCACATAGTGCTCAAAGCTATTCTTTAACTTTTTATAAAACAGCCCGTTAAGTGCCGTTCGTAGCCAGAAAAATATGACGTCACTTTTATTTCTGCAACGCAGGATAAAAATTGCTGCACTGTGTTGTTACTTATATCGATAACAGTGACTTATAGAAAGCATTAAACATACTTACCGCCCCATTAGTGGGACATCCTCAGATGTTTCTGGAATATTCTTAGCAGCAAGTAAAAAGAAAACGGTGAGAGCAAGCATCGATGTTATTCCGACAACCATTCTCTCACCACAGTCTGGTGGTAGTACAAAGATCATGATCATGAGTATAGAGGAAAGGAGACAAGGAGAAAACAGATAGACAAAGTAATAGAAAGACTTGCGCCTTAGTTTGATGATATAATTCAGCAACGTTTTAGGGGTTCTTGGATTAATGAAGGCCAATGAAGTATTCTCCTGTCTTAAGAAGATCTTGTCGAGAGACCAGGCGCTATTTTCTGAAAAAGAAAAGGAGAATATTACCAAAAATACTTTTGGTAGGTACCACAAAGTTAGAACTGATTGCTATCAATCAAACGTGCCATTCTTCCTCTCGCGATAATATCGATCCGCATTTGGATCACCTTAAGTAACAATACGACATTTATACTCTGTGAAGTGTCGGAAGACAATTACTTTATTATGCTATGTGTCAGCATGTGCTATCTTTGTGCTATCTTTAAATTTGTCATAAAACATATTTTGGTAAATTCAATATGAAATAACAAACAGATATCAATGTGACTTTACTGGCTACTGTAATGATGGCCGATTCGATATCGTACGCCGCCCGAAAGAGCTACGTACGTTCGGAAAACTATGAAAATTTCGAACCTTAAAAAACCATAGACTACCTAAGCATGCCATCATAAAAATTTTGATTTTAGAGCTTCCTTATTTTGACCACGTCATCAGAAGGATTGGCATAAATTATTACTCAATATTAAAATCAGTTATGTGTGTTGAACATTTGGTTTGATACAGCTAAAGAAATGTAAGGCCAATGTTGCTTACTGTTAATTTGGAAGCTCCATAAACTTAATTACAGTGGTTTGTTGGGGAAAGAGCCTCCGCTAATGTGGCCATATCTCAGACAATTTGTAACACCTTTAACTTACTTTGCACATTTAGAGGTTTTTCAAAATGTTTTTGGGTTAATGATCAAAATTGAGAAAATTCTAAAAATAGTTTTTGTGACGTCGACATTGCGGAACTCTATACCTTTGGACTTGGAGGTTATAAAACTACCTTTAAACATGTTAAATTGTTAAGATGCCGTCTTTGTCGTCGAAATTTTGCAAGCCTAAATGTTTTCTCAGTGGATAAAATTTTGAGTTTTTACCCGTAATACTATTTGCTTTCGTCAAACATATTTTAGTCGTTTAGTAAAAACTTTTTTCAAAACTTAGAAAAAATTATCTACATCAAGTTTTCATAATTTAGATGCTTTTTTGCTAAAATTGAGATGGTTCAGAAATTACCATTAGCAGTAATTTATTGTCGGCATAAATACTGTAAGTATTTTATAACCAAAAATCATGGTAGGGTGGGTCATAGGAGTAGTAGGGTCGGTTTTTACCAGAATATTTTTTGCAGTTTGCAATTTTTTAAGGGCTGCTGAAAAGCACGCGGAGTGGAAACACATTGTTTCTTCAGATAACTGGGTATTTTTTTCGGGCTTCTATCGTTTGATTGTATTGCCGATTTCTTTTTTGAAGGCTTTACCGTACGTAGTTTTAATTGCAGCTGTATTTTCACGTACGACAGCTTCATCTTCGATGTGATAATACACCCGTTCCTCTACTTCATTAGCCAAGTTAGGGCTCATCCAACCTCTATGTCTGAATGATTTGGTAGATTGGAGGTATTCCAGTAACAAATGGAAGACGTTTGTGAATAAGTAGTTTCTCAATATTGTTATTAAATACCAAGTCAGGTATTTCAAGCACTCTAAATTCGTTAACAGCCTACTGTAATAAGACAAATCTTCATAGGTCATCTAGATTGTTGAAATGTCGAAATCTTTACAAAACTTTTGATTACATCGCAAACCATTACTTGCAATCATTTGCTGTCGTTAAAAATTTTGCGTTAAAAAAAATCAAGTACTATTTGTACAAAACTACAAACCAGAATAATTCTGCAATAAATTGGAGACTCCTTCATCATATCTTAGAACAACCTCGGTTTCGTTGTGAGACCAAGAGGAGAGCTTGATGGGGCAAAACTGTTCATCAAATGGAAAGTATCTGACTTTCATTTTGCAATAAGTCTTTATGATAAAGTTGCTGTACCATATGATTTCCCCATCAGGACTAACATGAACTGGTGCAGACATTCCGACTCTCCTTCCACTGTACTCACTTACAGCACTAAGATACAAATCAATATTATCGTTGAAAGAAGAGGTTGGGATAATGAATATTTTCGCGTTTCCGTTAAGCCTGTAAAATGACAACGCGAAAGAAGACATTGTGTCAACTTGATATTTAAGCCTCATATAGTACCAAGAATAAAGCACAGATTGAGTCAAGGGGCAATTCACTCTTGCAAATAGCGTACGAGATTTTCCCTAAAACAAAAGGATTTCTGGGGCTTTTTAGATAAAACAATAGGATTTTCACAAAAGGTGTACGAGATTTTCTTGGAGTGATTTGTCACTCGGATTGAATCAAAATTGTTTTCCTTATGAAGAGCCCTTTTTTGAATGACTGTCACAGATTCTGACAAACTCGAAATTAATCTCAGTTTATCACACAAAAATCCGATTATCTTTAGGAAGTTTGGAAAAATGTCAAGTTCCATCTTATAAATAAATCATTATCATCATTTATACCACACATCAGCAAAGCCGTATAGCATTAGGCATATCCATCAAGATATGCAGACCAACTTTCTATCTTTCTCCTTCACAATATTTGCGATGATCAACATGAAAATTATCATTAAAATCGTGACTACTTTATGTATGGATAATTCATTGTTTGGAGTAGGCACAAAGTAGCGGAGTTATAGCATACTGCAGTACTATTCGTCCAACACTATCCAAAGAATAAACATCCACACCTGGATATGAATTTTCTGTTTACTGTTAGTCACTATCCAACATGTGTAATCTCGGGAATACTTGACGAGAAGTGCTTTAGTATGTTTCCGATATTTCGTGCCATCTTCAAATATTTGCGGTGCCAAAAATTGATCTGGTAAAATCTATATCGATTTTGCTAATTGATCCTTCAGTGAAAGTCTTTTTCCTATGAAGATAACAATACGCGAAGAGCGTTTTGATGTCAAAAATGAACGCATATTCTTAGAAAGACTCACTTATTCATAACAACTATATCTGGTGTCCATATTTTTGATGGGCTCAGCAAAATCTGTGAAACATTTCCAACTTGTGTCATGTTCCATTTCAGGCGATGGTCCTTCCATTTCTACAAAAATCAGCGAAGTTTTCATTTAGAGGAAGTAAAATTATCCCAATTTATGTAAAGAAATTTTAATAACCCAAAAAGCCGAAGATGTAATCTGCAATGGTCTAGGGAAAAAGGAGGAGATTTTGCAAGTTCGGATGGTTCTTTTTTAGGGTCAAATGCTGCTTAGAGATCGATAAGAACTGCCTCAGAGTTTAAAGCTACAGCAGGGAGATCAAAACCAAAGCCCAGCAAAAAATTCATCTATTTTCAGGATAATTTACTCGAAACCATCCGCTAGACACAAATTAAGCGAAGCAAGGTATTGGCGTTGAATGCTCAGCTTTTAGTTTTCAGTGGCCTTTCTTCCCTGTCTTCGACGCATGATCCCCGTGTTCTCTTGGCTCAGAGTTCTACAGAAACAGCAGTGAGTATATGTGATGGTAGCACATTAACGGAGGCGCTCTGTTTTGGGTAAAAATATGGGACGTCAATCGCTAGAAACGTGTTAAAATATTAGATATAAGAATACCAGATCCTAGCAACATATTATTTATTTGTTCAACGATACCACGACAGTTCCTAGATTTCTTCAATAAGACGGTATGGCTTTACTATTGCAATAACGTGTGGATGGTTGTCTAAACATTTTTTCAAGGATATTGTTCATAAGAATGCTCAAGCTCAGAATCTTCAATTTTTTAAGGATATTTTAAAAATATTGCTCAGCCTTAGTTCTCATATTTGTGTCTCAATTTTCAGCAGTTGCCTGTTTTGCTTTGTTCACAAAAAACCTTTATAGCTTGTATGTGAATGATTTTTCAAACAGTGTAGTAAACGGTGAACTTTATATGTTCGCTGATGACAAACTGATTTTTACGCTGGGATCTAGTGTTGATGCAGTGTGCATCGCACTACAAGATGTCATGAGCGAAGTTTACAAGTGTTGCTATTTTAAACAAATTACAGTTCATGAGGGCAAAACAGAAGCAGTGATATCAAATGGAAAGAATTTCATGGGTCCACTTCAGCCAATGACTTTTGGAAATAAAGGAATAGATTACAAAAAATTCTCAGACTGTCTCGGTGTAAGGATAGATAGTAAGCTATCTTGGAAACCACAAATTAAAGAAAGTTGCAAGCGACAAATAAAAGATAAAAAGGCTTAGACATTTGAAATTCTTGTCTAAGGAAGCCTTGGAAACCATCCACTTTAAGACAGTAATACCGTGTGCAACATATGGTATTGCTACCTGGGAATCACTTGGAGACAATTTACATTAGAGCCGCTACAATGATCCATAACATTCCAAAAAGAGTAAAGAAACATGACATTCTAAGTTATGTCGGTTGGCAATCATTGAAATATATGTATACTAAAAGACTACTCATTCTGTCCCATATTACATTTTACGATTTGGGAATTCCCGAAATAAATACTCCTATTGAAAAGGAACAACCGAATTGCAATCTGAGAAACTCGCTCCGATTGCTGGTAGGTCGTCCTAAAACAGAAATTGGTGGGAAGTAATTTCCATACAGAGCTGCTATTGCATGGAATTTGATACCGGAAAAAGTAAAAGTTAATCAAAGTGTGACCAAATTCAAAATGGAACTAAAGTCAATTAAAGAGACTGTACAATCAATAACATACAAAAAGGAACATTGATGCTTGTCAGCGTCAAGTAGAAAGAGTGACTATATTTACTTTTAGATTATGTTTATTTTAACTGACAGAAAGAACCCAAATACCTGAAGTAAAAACACGCTTGAAGTGAGAATCTGACTCTTCTCTTCCTAAAAGACGAAGAAGAAACGATCCATGAATAAGCTATTAGATTCAACAATAGTTGGTAGCCTGCAGGTAATGCATTGAAAGGAATTCGCACAAAGCTTTATCGACGAAACAGGAAAGCATTAACATCCCTTATCAACGCAGAAATAACTAAGTTCAACAAAATTTATCAACAGGTCTTTTCGAGGTAGCATGCTAAAGGGCTTAGCGAAGTTAAAACTCTTCCTCGCTTTTGTCACTGGGAAATCTTTTGGGATTGCTTCTTGTGCGGCAGGATGTTCTGGAGCTCTTTAGGGATTTACGTTTATCATATTATGCTATAGCAGACAGTTTTTAATAAAAGAAAACGTGTTAACTGTTTTTGAAATTTTTTAAGCACTTCTCAGCAAAAGAAGATTATTCCCATTGAAGTTAAGTATACATTGCCTCAAGCGCTTTGCTATTAGAATATAGATTTCTGAACCAGACATACACAACTCAGTAATGCCCTTAAAGATCTTATCTGGATTTACACGGCCACAACGCTGAGATGGCAAGTGAAGAGGAAGCATTGATACCAATAGAAGCTTTTTCTAGGCTTTGAGCAGTCATGAACAGGCTACTTCTAAGGAAACATCATGCCACGTTCACCTGAACCGACGACGAGTTAAAGTTATTCAATGATACTTCATGGAAAACTTTTGAAAATAAAAATATTTTTATTTCACTGAAAAGAATGACTATTGTTGCAAAACATTAATGATACAATGTGGCTCAGACTGAAGCCTTATCAGCCAAGCTAGTGCTGTGATAAAATTAGCACTTTTTTTATGAAAAATGTTAAATTTCAGATGGTCAAACAAGTGGTGGTACGGTGCTTAAAGGCGCACCTAAAAGAAGGATTAGATTTTCCAGAAAAAGGGGAGTAGTAAAATAAAAAAAGAAAAGCGAAGAGTTAAAAAGAAATAAAAATTTCATATTTGAAGAGAGATGTTGAGATTTGCTCTTACCAGCTGACCAAAGCAAATCGCAACAAACATTTCAACAAACATAAATCTTATTCAGTCACCAAAATGCTGCTTAAATGACTTAAATGACGTAACTCTTATTACTCACCAGTTCAAAAATCTGTAAAAGCCTGATTGTTACCGCGATCTTTGTTGGTTTCTTCGTACTTTCATGCTCTACAGGACGCACATGATTTGAATAGTTTGTCAGCAAAGTCTCAAGAAGGTGCTTTTCGTCTTGAAGTGAATAGGCCAGATCTAAAATTGGTTGAATACCAACACTATATTAGTGTTATTACATAACAATAATTAATGAACTATTAAGTGTTCATCCAATGTAATATCTGTTATTGTCAGACTGTCCTTACTGTATACAGCATACAATTAAGTTGAATAGGTTTGAAACACTGAGGCAATCTTGAAAGGATTTTGGCAGAGAGCAGAACCAACGCAAAAGACAACGAACAAGCCAATAATATGGAAACTCGTCCAATGATATCGAAATGAAAAGCAAATGAAATTAATTTTTTATTTTGATTATCATGCTTTGATTAAACTGTTTGTTTACATGACATTGGATTGATTTTTGTTCTTTTGTTTAGGATCTGCCTACCATGTTTATTCACATTCTTTATCTCGAGATTGTAATGACACTCTTTTTAAAGTGTGTCTTTCCCTTAGCAAATTAAAAAATAAGATGATTTCGAGAAAGCGGACATCTTGCCTTGAAGATGCTTTCAAGACCCATTATATCAAGCTCTTGCTGCTGAAAATGGAAACAAAACTTTTCAGGGGAAAAACTCCATTCTTTCTGGAACTATTTGTGATTGGTTGCACCACTCTTTTTCCAGTGGGTCGAATAAGGATCGTTAAACCATTTACTAAAGTAGACTTGGAAGCATGCAGTTGCAGAAGCGCTGATATTTGGAATCTACAGCTATAAATTACTTTTAAAATTTACGATTTATTTTGTGTTAAAATCAAAACATGAGTGGTTTATACACCATTATGAAAGTTGAAATGTTTTATGACAGCACTTGAAAAATATTCAATCAACGAGAACAGTAATGAATAGCAGAAGAGCTCATTGCTGCAGAGAGTTTAATTCTTCAAAGTGGCAGGAAAGGCAGGAGAAACATTATAAAGCAGTTTATCATTTGAAAACTTGTTTTACATGTAGCATGGCAACCTAACATTGAAAACTAACAGAGTTTAATGTACGGCCTAACCTTCCATCTTCAACGATTTCTGATTGCGGTAGTAACACTAAGATATTGTGATTGTGAAATAGATGCTAGATATAAAGGCTAGGTATAAAGACTGTATGTGCAGTGCAATCGTAACTAGAAGTTAACTCACTTGATAAATAGAATATCGTAGTAAATCTCAGTAAACACTGTATACTCAGTTCCATGATGTGCAGTTTACAGTTGTCTTCTGCGGTATAAAAATGTAGTGGCGGATGAAATCAACGAGAACGTGACGGATTTTATCTTTAATACCTTTATGTTTTTGATACCAGACTGCTACTTGGCAGACTATGACGGAAAGAATAAGAACATGCCGGGGGGATGCTTGTGGGAAGTTATAACAAGGCAGGAGATGTGGATGAGGGACTTTCGCTTGTACTTGATATTACCTGCTAGCATTTCTATCGTAATAAAATTCCTAAGGACAATTAGGACAGGAGTTTTTGATTGAAGCAATCATGCCATCTCGTGTTAGTTTGCTGAAAGTAAATTCTCTTATGGTTGAGTCAACATATATTTCTGCGAAGATTTACGATAAAATAAAAATAGTGTAAAATCCAATCTCACCTTTTTTCATATAACAGACGCTTGTGTATGAGAACTGTTTTGCTGCGAAAAGTATAAGGATGCTACCCCCTGGAACAAAACGAGTACCGATTAATAATGAATGTATAGAGGTTGGTTGTTGCCTTCTATATCACTCCGATTGAGAGTTGTAAATACAGCACCTGCTTCAATCATTTAAGAAATGTTTATAGAACGAATGATTTAGGAAATTTGAGAACAATCTTTGAGTGTACTTCTATTGCAGGTATTATGTCGAAGACCGTTCGGTGTTGTTTGCAGGAGTTTTTAGTACTATGATGACACGATTATGCGTAAACCAACACCGTTCGTGTAATAGGAGATGTTTCTGACTTTTCGTGCGATCTTGAGATATTTTAGAAGGCATTTTCTGAATTTGTAAATTTGTAAAAAGCATCATAGTTACACGATTTATTTTACAAAATAAATGAAAGTTAAAATCTACGAGAAATTATCAATACAACAACACGACCTAGCATTGCACGCACATGCAGCTACATACACAACGAGTGCACGCACACGATCACAGGATCCTAATGGCACAAAATCTGTTGCTAATCCGGTCTCGATAGGCGAAACTTTTACTGGACTATTTAGAATACATTTTCACATATTTTCTAGTTCTACAGATATATTGAGTGATTAGATTATTGGTTGATTGAAGTGATCGATTTATTGAAGTGATTGGTTGGTTGGTTGATTGGTTGGTTGGTTGGTTGGTTGGTTGGTTGTTGTGGTTGGTTGGTTGGTTGGTTGGTTGACGCACTGAGCTTTCACGATTTCACGTAGGAATCACGGGGATTTTATGTAGACGACTTCTTCTACAGGAGCACAGCGTAGATGTGTATGATTATCAATATTCTTGAAAGTGTCTAGCCAGCATGAATAGAAAAGATCTGCATTATTAGGTTGTTCATATCTAATTAAAAACAGTTGGTACAACTTAGTGAAATTATACATTTAGGGAGAAGGGATACTGTTGGTTCAACTTGTGTAACATAATTGATGCATCCTGTCCTCAATAATTCCGAAGGCTGAAAGCAACAGAAAAAGGAACGCGAAATAGGCAAACGAATTAATAACAGCAGCATCAATATGAACTGAACATACAATATATTATAAAGTTGAATTCATTATTACTTAAAATTGAGAATAAAATTACCATTCAGTATTACAAACGACAATAATATTCTGATGAATCTATCTCATTCAAGAAATTCTGATGAATGTATCTCATTAAATGTACATTTACTTTTACAATTTAAAATGCTCGCAACAGTAACAATATAAAATTATATTAACAAAAAAGAAAAGTGATTCTAGGTAGTTTGCGTCTTAAATCAGCATACAATAAACTGAGAAATTCTCTTTTTACTAGTAAATTGATTAACTGCTAAAATAATTTTTTAGAAATTGGTGTCGCAGAAAAACATTGCCAAAAAGATCAACGGGAATTCGAAAATGGCCATTTTCATACTCTAGCTGAAATCATGGGGGAAACTCTGTTTATACCTAGTCAAATACACTACTTTAATGTTCCTTTAGTATGATTTTAAAATTTTCATTCCTCGATAAGTAGAATGTATGAAAGCTATTACGGTGACTCTGAAATTAAGGAATTTTCTGCTAATCTTTCCGCTGAACAGTAGAATAAAATCTTCTCATAATGATACTACAGTAAGCAAAGGCAATGTGTCTTTTCTTAACATAATAGTTCTGTAACAATATTACGATTCTTAATCTTTCAGTTAGAAGGTCTCTTGATAACAGGCAGAATACAGTTAATGACTCCACAATAGACAATTTTTTGCGTGTATGTTAAAGTAATTTCTTAACATTGCATACTGAATCTCCTTATTGCGCTGAAACACATCTTGATCACGTGCAGAAGATAACTTCCTCGTAATGACTCAACGATGAGCGATGAAAGCGTGTTTCCACGGCACTGAAAGAATCGAATCTTCCCATTAAGATGTCCATTGATAGCAGACATTACCAAATATGTTTAGAATCATTTCTTCGTATGGTTTCTGTTCTCAGCTGACTTTGCAATCAGAGCTGCAATCTTTTCGTCTGATTTCTTCATTTCTTCTTCCGTCACTTCTATGAAAGATTTCTTTGTTCCTTTGGCACTTTTGTAAACAGGTGATCTTTCACAATTAGCAGTACAGGCCTTTGCTTGTTTTGCCTTTTTAGGCACTTCATTATCATTGGGAAGTACAGGTTCAGATAGGTTTTTGTTTACATTTGTTCGACGACCAGGTAACTCATTCCCCTCATTTTTCGATCTGATATTACTTCCCGGTAGATTCATCTTTTCACGTGATGTTAAGGTGTTCTTTTCGTTGTCATACGATGTCAGTGTGAACGTTTCTTTCAATGTTTTACTTGAGCAAGCAACGTCTATCGGATTTTTCCGTACAGCTGGTTTAGTGGTTACAGTTCTAGTCAAGCTTTTTACAGCGTGACTGATATTCACCGAAGAAACTTCTGGTTGTCGCTTTAATGAAATGATGGGTTTTCCAGTCCCCCCAATGACAGTTAAGGATGCTGAGGCGTGTTGATGTGATTCAGTGTGTTGCTTAACATTCATTGATCTTAGAAAGTTAGGTCCTGCGTATATTTCATTCTGTTGTTCATCAGATTTGATCACCTTCTGGGATACATTGCCCAATGCCTTCGCTGTAGATGCTAGCCCTTTGAGAGATGTTTTTGTATTTGTTGCAAATACTTCCATACACTGTGATTCGTTCGGTGATAGTGACCCATTTGCATTAGCGCTAGGTTTTCTGGCTGTTGGCTCCAAGGTTCCAGTACCGGGACAGTCCTTTGAATCATGCGTCTTTGTTTCTGCAGAACAAAGAGTTCAGTAAGTAAAAATGCATAGAAAGAATCAGGCAAGGAATACTTCTTTCTTTAAGAACCGTAAATAAAAGAAAGGATTTACAAGGACCAATTGCGTCAGATAGACACGATGACCAGTATACATATAGTGTTAAGGATCAATCCCCTTTCCTTGTATTCAAAGTTAGAATGTATTCAGTTTTAAAGCGGGAACATCGACGTTAAACTTGGCAGACAAAGAGGGTCCAAAATCTTAACAGTGCTTATCCAGATTGGTAGATATCGGCTGAAACTGATTAAAAGTTAAATATTCGTCAATATACACCCCGCAATACAATTTATAGGGTTTTAAACATGGTATTCATAGTAAAAATACCGCAAATCGTTAACAGTTTTTACGCCAAGTTGCTGGTTAGTGACTGGCAGTCACATGCTTCGATTGGTTAAAATCATTTTTGATGGACAGATTCACATTGAAAAATCAGATACATTACATACGGACATAGTGAATTTCGATTTCATTGTCTGTGATATCGATTAGACTTTGAATACCTTTGCGCGAACGGGAACCTGGATTTGAGCTGGCAAAGTATCCTCCAATATCCGCGATCCCTTCTGCTTTAGATTTATCAATCTTTCTTTTATGACGCAATCTTTTATGTAGGTCCTTGGTGACATCCCGATGACAAGGGATGCAAAGTGTTCTGTAATTCTCTAGGCCGCATTCACCTCCACCTTCGCTAACAGCATTTATATGATCGGCTTCCCAAAACTAAAGGACAAGAAGATAAAAAAAAATCGAAAACATAAGCTTTAGTTTAGATATCTGTCTTGATCTCACTCGACCTGGGTTCGACTTTCGATGCAAGAGAAATTGAAAAATAACATATGAAGAAAGAGATGTCTCGTTGCCAGACTGTTAATACAGTTCACTTTTAATGAGCATCTAAATCAATAACTTGTGTAAAAAACAGTTTTGAGATGAACTATTGCGAAAAGCCAAAAGCGAAAAGCTAATTGTATACAGGTTTAGAACTGAATCGCTTGTCTTTAGAAATGAATCGTTTATCCTTTACCTTTTTCCACCAGTTTGACAAAAAGAAATAGACATGTTTAAAGCAAGATCCAGGGGAAGCTGACAACAAACCTTGCCTTCCTTCGGATCAGCAATTATTTTGTTGAGCGATGCTGCTGGTAAATTTACAAAGTGCGTTGCTTCTAATGCAGCTTTCCTATCTTTTTTTCGAAGGGCTGCTATTCTTGCAAATAATTGGTGTGCATCAAATTGACAAAGCTGGCAGACTCCATGCTCTGAGCTAAATAAACGCTCCCGTACGATCCGGCTTTTGCTGGTGCGAAACTGCATTAAAAAGTCCCAGATGAGAGGAATAAGGTGTGACGTACAAATAATGAGAAGAAAATCAGGACAGTCAAGTATGTTGAGTTGTTTATTCATCGCTTATATATTGCATCTCAAGAACGAAACGTAAATCGATCGATAAATTGGATAGGGACAGACACTTGAGAACCATTTGTTTTCAAACAAATAGGAGCAATGTATTAAACTTTATACAATTCATAACCGAAAAACTCACGACGAAAATTTTTCTTTATTTAAAGGCCTATCCGATATTCAAATGAAATTCTGTTACTTATATTATGTTTTGATACATTTTTCATATAGAGAAAATTAGACATATTTCCCGATAATTTACACCTGTTTGGAACTAGCATACAGTGACAAACATCAGTACTCCTCTGAGTGTCAAACGAAATGTGACTCAGTTCTAAGATTACCATAATATAATGGTTTTCAAAATTAAACGTGCATTACCCAGGTTCAAGGCTTTGGGGTAAAATAAAGCATGAATCTCATACTCACCAAGTATTCTTCTTGACAATTATACGAGCAAAACCTTGCCTGTCGAGTTCCCGCTTTGAATCCATTTTGAACTTTGCTATTACAAAAAAGGCAAAGCGGATCTCCTTCTGAATCGACAGCTTGTAATAAGGTCTGGGGATCAGTTTCGTTAGGGTCGTGGCTAGATGCGTCAGTCTGGCTTGATTTGCCTGTTGAAAGAGTGCAAGAAATAATTTGCCTTCAAGAGGATATCTATTCTAGTTACGCTTGGCATTTTATCGGTATCAAGTCACCTGTTTTGCTCCTACACATTTGGCACAATTTTTGCGCTGCCATCTTTTCTGTCTTAAATCAATCCACAAAATTCAATAATTATACTGTCCATAGTATATTAAAAAAGGTTTCTGAGTTAAGTAATCCCTTCAATGAACCATTAACACAAGCAATATTTCATGAACCGTTATTTCTTCCTTTTGACTCAGATGTTTGTTGTGTAGAGAGCAAGACCATGTTAAATTCTTTACACAAACTCTACCCTATGATAAATAAGTGGTATAACAACCCATGTTATGGCATATCATAATTAATAAAAACTGGAAATCGATATTCTGTTCACTCAGCAATGTGTCTTGAAAAAAAACCTACCTGCTTCCGGTTGATTCCTATTGCCATATCTTTGGTGCTTTGAATCTTTTATTTCTGCAACGGTGCCACCAATAATACTTGCTATTGTCTTTATGTTTTTGTTTCTTTTTTCCTAGAATACAAAGTCAACTACATCTTAGAGTCTTAGAAAGTTCTTGTTAAAACTCTCATATATGCTTGTTAAAACTCTCATATATGCAAGATAGCACAACATGTCATATATGCAGCAAAACTCGAAGGCTAATTACATATCTTAGTTTAGATACCACGGGCTCCGACACAGGTTGGAAAGTGGGGAGGGGGCCAAGAAATTTTAGTACCTACAACAAAAGATTTGGGAAAAAAGCTCTAATGTTTTGCAAAAAAGTGGCCCCTGGCCCTCTTTCGTCGGAGGCCCTGGATACAGCCCTTTTGTGCTCCACCAAATCATCTACGGAAAATGCAGTGGCAATCATATCAGTTTCAAGCGATGTACCTCGTTTAAAAAAACAATATAAACTAAGTTTCGATAAAATATCTATACTTAGTCGAATTAGAAAACTTATAGAAGTATAGCTTATACTTATAACTTATAAAACCTATAAAACTTAAAACTCAATTTTTTGGCAAACTCCTGCCTGCAAAATCAAACAAGAAATGATTGGCTGGAGATAATAACAGTTAAATATAGTAACACACTCCTAGTTTCGATACAGAGAGATACAATGCCCAAGCCACTATCTTTAGAAACTAGGCGGAGTCAGACAGTACCGTGGTCACAGAGAAAGCCGCCAAGCGCCATTATTTGAATCAAATCAGTGTACTACATTCATTGACTAAACATGCAGTGAACAATTAACAAAATAACATTGAATAAGATTACATAACTTGCCAGCATGGGCCACAAGGTTATTTGGGCCAGAGGGTACATTTGTTGTCCAAAACGAATAACGTTTGTTCTGCAATGTCTAGGGATGCCTAGCAACTTTGATAGTGAAAAGCTTTCTAACTGAATTAATAACCACCGAGTCCATTATCGTTAACTGGTGGTCAGAAATGGGTTTTAACAGAGACAAGAGAGGCAATACAGCACGACACCATGTCACCCGAAGGGACAACGATTCTGTTGATTTAAGTAGTACTTAGTTTATCCCTGATTCAACCATAACCCGAGAAATAAGATTTTGACCCACAACGACGGCTGGGACTATGAAGATAATTACTTCTATTGATCCGTTCTTCTTTGCTTTTTTTCAAACTTCATGCAGAACATGCAACAATATTGAGTAGATAAGTTTTTACCTGATGGGTTCTTTTAAACATAACTCTTTGACCCAAGTCACTCTTAAAAACCAGAGACTCAAAGCAAGAACGAATTGTGTAAGAGGCTAGAAACGCAGGATAGGCTGTCCGCCGGATTCTGTGAGTCTTGCAATGAGTAATCAGATGAAGGTAATAGTCAGGAACAAGGCAAAACGACGACGAGATTCCAATGCTATGGAATAGATTTCACCCCAGCATACAGGGTTTCATCAGAGTAAATGATTACTAAGATTTGATTACCTTTGAGGAAAATCTCTCATTGCTAGGACTTCCGTAACGAGCCTATGGAGAGACGATGAAAATTCCCATTAAAACGGGAAGATGCTACAAACCTGGCAATAATGTTACATACATTTCTTAATCCTCCCTCCCCCCGATTAACAAATCCTCCCCTAAATCCAACTGTATTAAACATTTCAAGACAGGCGGGGAAAATCAACAGATATTAGAAAAACATCTAATATAGTTAGCTTAGCAACATTCGTCATCCTTGTATAAGGAAGACTTTAGGCTATATTTTCCCCATTTTCAAAACATTTCATTCTTATCACCTCTTTAAGCCTGTTGTAAGCATCCAGAGGGCTTTTGAAGACAAGTCCACTTTTTCTTATCATTCTTTGCTTGGTGTTCGTTAACCTACGATAGAACGATTATGTCATAATTCATGAAGATTTAATCATGACGGTTTCCAATAAAGACATTTGTATTGTTCTCTATTAACCAAGGGCAAATAAACAATGGAATAGCTTAATATAGAGCAAAACCATCTCTTTGACTATCAAATTTAAGCACTTTATCAAACAAATTCTCTCATGATACTGAAGCCTCTTTGAGTTTCGTGTGTTATCACTATGTTAGAAATATATTTCCGGTCTCCTTATTTACAAACACAAAATAACGCTTCCAGTTTGCCAAAATTTTTATCAAGAGATTGAAAACGGCTTTCATCTATCAAAAAGTCAATTTGAAAAGCTGCTTCTCAAAGCCATAAGATTTATACGAAATATTAATAATGCTTGCGACAAAGAATGTTGTCAAACAAAGAATCAGACAGCGTTTCAATATTCAGGAAGCGAAAAGAAAATGGAAAGGTGGAGATTGTAACTGCAGGTTGTGTAAAAATTAAGTCACAAAAAGTTATATCGTTGTATAAAAAATATATAAAATGTTGACATATATGACTTTCGTTAAAAAACTATTATGTGTTAATCTAACTTTATGTGTTAATTTCACTTTTATATATACATTTAACTTTACTTTTGTAGTAGGCCTTGATTAGATGTAAATAAGCTACTTTTATCAACTCACTGTAAATAAAATGATAATAATTATAATTAGCATTTGCTGGATAGCAGGTAAAGAGAATACAACATTGCAACGCTATTCCTATCTCCATTGAAGATAAAAAGCTTCAAAAATCTAATATCGCGAAAAAAGATTTAAAATACATACAAGCTCCATTCTCTAGCCAGTTTCTTCAGCTGTTTTAAATTGAAAGGATGACTAAAAATTCTAGGTAAATCATCATTGCTTAGAAATCCAAGATCAGGAATGCGAAGATTAACACTCAAGGGTTCTTCATTCTAGAAAGAACATTGATCAAAATGTACTTAAGAATATGTTCCTTATACGAACATCAAGTTTTAATAAAGTGTTTATTTAGTTAAAAAGAGAGAAAATTTCATCCTTGGCACTTCATCCTTGAATCGAAAAAAATATAGACACAACTATTATTGAAAAGAAACGTTTTCTTAGGGAAATGTTCAACAATGCATTTGTCTTAAGCAAAGTTTGACAGAAAACATCATGTCATGGGAGAAAAAATATAGCTCCACAAAGCATTTTTTAAATATCACGAACTTATGTTTTGCAAGTCGAATAAAAGAAGCGATTGTAATTGCAAATTTTGTGCCATGAAAAGCCACTCAGAGGATATCTTTGCTATGAAAAACCAAGATTCACAAAAAGGTTTCAAGATTCCAGCCTTTGAAGCAAATTTGCTTTAGTCTTTCAAAGGGATACTTTTATTCACATCTGACTGTAAGCTGTAAACTGTTAGTTAAAATCTTCTTCAAAGCTTTAACATTAAGGCCGATTGGAAGTTGACTCGTTCTGGAATGAACGGACGTGTGCAATATTAACCTTTCTCTGCTAGGGCACAAATATTAACTCCGTTGAGCGACTGACCGACTTGCTACACTCGCTGATTTGTCGATTTTCTTCGTCAAAATCAAGCAAAATCTGAGAGAAAATCAGCCTTCCGTATTCATCAAAAATTGTTAAGTAGTCTTTCCTCTATTAGAAAATTTATCATGAACTGAACTCTGCCGCGATCTGTTGTTCAATTTGGTCTCCTTGACAAGATCGAGAATGCAACATCTCCCTGTGTTTTGAATGATTGCTTATTGCGTTATACCTAGGAACTGAATTAAATGAAACCCCTGACTGCACTTAAGCTTGATAAATTTAGTGAGATAGAAAGAGATTGTAAATAAAGTACAAATAGCCCTATTACTAGTTTGCAGGTGCATTCTCTGTGATTCGGAGACGACAAACCAATAGTTGATAAATATTTACATTTGGATATGTCACTTACTGCATTATACAGATAAACTCTGTCACTTTCAAAACTCATTTTGAACATCAGCTCAACAGGTTGAACTTCCTCTTCGCTCTCTGCTTCACTCTCACTTTTCTCAGATGACACTAGTGAGATTTCGTCATCAAAGTCACCATCAAGAAGAAATTCCGTGTCATCTTTGCATGCACCATTGCCTTTCTCTTTCTCACTTATTCTCGAATCAAGTGCAGGGCTTTTTCCAATCCGATGTGGCAATGCTTCGTGCAATCCTGAATTAGGATACAGTTTTTACAATTAGAGGTCTGTTGCCAGTTTTATAAAGATAATGCATTCCTTATTACTGTATCTAATTGAAAGGCTTAAGAATTACTTTATACGCTTTGAAAATTGCAACAGAATATCTTAGATTTATTGGATAAAATAAAGTATTAAGGAGATGTTTCGAAAACACACCTTTAGCAAGCGCACATAATATAAACATACAGTGAAAAAAGTAGATTCAAAAGCAATCTTTGTCGAACTTTGATCTTGAAATGTCACTTGATGAAAGACAATAATAAAAAGATAAACTCCGGGAGAAAGATCGACTTCATTTCTAGTGAATAGTTTGATGTCTTAAGATGGTCATTCACTGTATCAGGACTTCGAAAGAACTCCAAAATTTCAAGTGCACAATATTGGTTATTGTTATTTTGTGTAACAATGCAGCATTGTGCAGATGTACCAATAAAAAAGATGCTACAATCATTACAAAAGGTCTTGCAGAGTCCAATTCCATGCCTACTCACTGGCCAATCGGTTATAGAAGAAGGAAATATGTTTTGGCATCGGATTTGTGAAATATTTATCTAAACTATCAATATTCTTCTCGCGGTTAGAGAAAGATGAAATTTAGCATTGGGAAAAATAAATGACAATATGAACTTTGGCTGTGCGAAGTCTTTTTGGTATGCACTTTAAGATTTTTTGTAAACATCTGAAACGAGTTACCCCAGCAACTTATGTTGGCTTAAAAAACAGATACCAATCTATTTCAAACACAACAAAACACACTATGTTTCATACACAGCCAAGCAAAACTAGGCTGATAACCTCAATTTATTCGAATGCAGTTTGCAGTGCCCAACACACTATCCGGCCTCGCATAAATTCGTTAATTGGACACATAACCAACCTACCTCAACACACTTCCTTAATATTTCAATCAAGATTATTTAGGAGGAAGCTATAAAACAATTTGAGGTTTACGGTGATCAGTGATAATAAAGTGTTTATTGGTTGCCAGTCTCCTAATGAAACCATAAAGGAAGAAGAATACCTTTAGCTGACGGATTCAAATACACTGCGGCATCACTATCTTCGTCCGACAATGAGCTCAAATTAACGACATTTGAATCAGCAGTTCCTCCTGATGCAGATAATAGAGCACAACCTTCACCATCATATTTTCGGTCTCTTTCTAATTGTTCTTGTTGTAACAAACCCGATGCCTTTTTAAATCCCGCAATAGCAATAGATTCAATTATCTCTGGGCCATTGCTACTATCTTCTGATGAGCTGAACATTAAAGGACTGTCTACAAAGCATTCATTGAACTTCTTCGACGTAGACATTGGATTTACTTCGGTATCTAAAGAAGAATAATACCTGCATGTGACATCGTTTGTCATTGTTAAGACTCGCTCTACACTAAAAGGTTTCTTAGGAGCTTCTTTCCTTTTACTTGGTTTCAAGTCAGATCGTTTATTACATGGGCCAATATTCACCCTATCAAACCAATCATTTTCCGCTTCAGAACTTGAATCAGTAATTGTTGACACTTCGCTATCAGAGGCATCATGTTTACTAGTATTTTGCATCCCAGGTTTCTTTGCCAATGATTCGCTACTCGAAACGGCCGGTTCAGTCGCAATCCCTTGATTTCTCATTCCAGTAAATGAATTTGATGAAGCCAGCTTATCGTCTGTATCAACTGCAAGTTTATTTGTTTCATTTACAGTATTTGAAAGACCAGAGACCTTGTACATACTTCTGTCGACATATTGGTCTGGTTGTGTGATGTCATTTTTCAGCCCTGTTGTACAAGTACTAAGTTTTTCAAAATCAGAACACGTGATGTCAGGGAAGTGCTCCTTACTTGGGCTGGGCACTTCTATTACGCTGGCTGTGTTATTCTCAAGTGTAACAGCTGCTTCAGTTGAGGGCAGAGCCTCGGATTGCGAGTCATGATCGCCATTTCCTACAATTTCGATTGATGCAGATTCATTTTCAAGAACTCTGGTTTTAGCTGAGTTGTTTCTAGCTTTACTTTTCGTTGGTTTTCTTGAATTTGTTACTTCAGATGCAGCTGCAACTAAATCTGATGCAAGAACGCGTGACCTTGTCTGCACAAATGATTTGGGTCTCTCACTGTCGCACATCTCACATGTATTCAAATCTTCGTGATTAAGAAACGTACAGGCTACGCAGTTCCAAGAGTTTTTCTTATTACATTCACCTGTTACAGTTTCTTTACGATAAATAGTTTCTGCATTTTGACTTCCCGCATCACATTCAAGCAATATTTCACTTCCAAAGCTCTCTTTATTGGAGGACGAAATTTTCTTCATTTCATCAGTTTTATGTTTTTCATTTTTATTTAAAGCACAAAGATCCATTGCTACATCCTTTTCTTTAGTACTTTTAGAAACGGTACATTGTAAAAGAGTGTTTCCTTTTGATCTCCCAACGATGAATTTCTCTTTCTCTAAGTCTTGCTCGACCATTCCCTCTTTGCAACAGGTAGATTCTGTGTGTATCGATTCAATTTCACCATGGACCTTGCGGCTAGGCAACTCTGTTGCTTCTAGGTTTTCTTCAAGAAATTCCTCATTTCCAGAACCTGAAGTGGTATCACATCGAATTTCTAATTCCTTCGGCCTCCCGTCTACCAACTGAATCCTTTCGGCAACAGATGCAGCTTCTTCAAGATGTTCCAGCTTTGTATCATTGAATTGAAGAGGTTTTGTCGCTAATGCTGGGAAATCTTTCTTTCTAATCTCATTAGAATCTCCCTTTCCATCCTGATGATGCAATGGGCCTTGAAGATCCTCCGTGGTATCTTTTTCGTCACAACTGCTATCTAGAATCACCATTTGATGCACTTTATGATCGACTGGTTCACTTCCCTTCAAGACTTTTCTTCTTTTGCCTCGTTTATGCTGGGGTTTGAATTCCTGATTATCATCACTGGAGTCTGAAATATCCATCAAACCTTTTTCGTAGTACGATCGCATTTTTCTTTTCTTGTTCTCTGCACTTTTCACAAAGCAAGCTCTAATATCTCGCTGGTTCTCGTCTCTTTTCTTAACTTTCTGCAAACAATAACATTTGTAAAATTAAATCAATGTTATTAAGCTTCTTATACTAAAATGAATTATAGATGTGAGGCTTCCACTAAAAATCACCACTAAACGAAGGTCTTTAAACTCTATAGACAAACATTCCCTTAGTAAAGTCATTCGGGTGCGAAAATGTGCAAAATAACCTAACTATCAAATTTAACCATTAAACACGGGGTTGTTCCTATGATTGTTTATTCGCTTTCAATTTCATTTTTTTCAAATTTTAATTTGTAAATCGAATAGACAGACACAACTGCCATAAGTATTAAAGTGAAGGTTAATCTCAAAAGGGGTCACTAATAAAACTCAATATGCATGTTCACCCCTCAAGTCCCTACCTTTCGCCCAAACACCCAAAGACTCTGATTTCAAGGATTACTGTTTGCTTCCCTACAGTGAATTAAAACATTTATGAGGTCACTAGAATAAAAAATTGGGTTTTATATCGAACAGTATGGAAAAGCTAGAACTCTTACTGGGGTAAATAGATCTGCGTCATCTTCTTCGTCTTCGTCAGGAAACCAAGCTTGGCATATAGAAAGCAGCTGAGATTTACCTTCGTCGCCGTCATCAGCTGTTAATAACTGTGCTTCTCCGTCAAGTGTTTCACTGGTCACTGTTAGCTATTTGGAAAAAGGATTGACAAAATTAAAGAGTGACGAAATAATTGTCAAGTAGCAAATGCCCAGTTGGTATTATGTTATTTATTAATTTAAAAATTAATATTACATAATCATTTCATTCCTGCTCTGTTAGTTGGTATTAATTAGCTTATTGTAACTATTTATAATTAAGCTATAACATGTTAAAATGTTAAATAAAGTACTGACAAAAAGAGTTCTAATAGCAGACGTTCAAGTAGGAAACATAGGTAATCTAATAGCAGAGAAATTACTATTGATATTAAGGGAAATTTTTATTGGAAAACTGCGGTGACAAATCTTGATAGCCTTAATCCAAGATTGCAGGAGCACAGTGAAATTACACGTCTGACTCTAGATGTTATCTTGGAACCTTTCGTATAGAAGACCACGACAGTCACCATGGGCCATCATTCGACCGCAAATAAGGAGGATAAAATATTTCTTAAAGGCAATCGAAAAAAAAAACCAAAAACAAAAAGTCTGAAGTCTGTCAATCAACAATTGGCCAATAGGTTAGCGTGACAAAACTCACGTTCTTATTGATTGGTTAATATTGATAGATGGTTCGAGCCACTGAACTATCAGTCGACTGCCTTCAAGATGAAAAGCACAGAAGACAGAATACTATAACCCATCAAGATACAAACTGACTCCTAAATAAAATTAAATAATGTTAAAAGGCTCCAAGACGTCAACCAACCTTACGTGATAACATGGACCATAGAACATCATCGATAGTACCTTTGGCTGTTAAGAAATGAATCTGAACAGCATTTTTCTGTCCTATTCTGTGACATCTATCTTCTGCCTGCTTTATTACACCCGGTGTCCAGTGAAGTTCTGCGAAAACTACATGATCAGCAGCTGTTAAAGTTATGCCCTAAAAGCCAACAAACTAAATTTAAGTTTTAGGTTAGCTGTAAACAGATTAACTTTTCAATAAAACAATCCGAATAAATTATTTACTATCTTATCACTTTTTAGTATTACGTCTTACAACTATAACATCAAAAACGAAATATCAAGGTGCTTCAAGAAATAAAGAAATATAAAAATCAACATCATTTTCAGGATTTGATTGTAACAAATGAAAGCATAACGAAAAGGACAGAAAAAGGTAGCTTTTATTTTTTTGAAGGTTGAAGTTTTTATTTTTAGTGTTTCTGAATTATATAATTCTCATTACAAGTAAAATACACTCCAAAAGGTAAGGATAAATAAATCTGGTCCCTGAATTGAGTTACTTATTGCTTGTCAGAAAATAATTTAAAGGTCTTGTAACGGTAGAGAGTTCTTTTGATTTATCATTATTAGATAGAAATTTGACAAATATGATAAGAAAAGAAATCCGAACTATTTCATCTTTATCTGTTCTTAACATTAGGTTTTAAAACTATAACATTAAAAATGAAATAACAATATCCATTCAAAAATGTAAAACTCAATTCAAACGAAAAAAATAAACATCTTTTCAGGACTTGATTTCAACAAATGAAAGTATAACAAGAAAAGTCAGACAAAAGTTGGCTGTTTTTTGTGAAGGCTAAAACTCTTATTGTTTGTAAATGCAATCCAAAAGGTAGGAAAGTTATTATCTACGTATACTTGTAACCATACTTAGAGCAAAAAAATTCAGGACAAATAATATGGTCGCTGCCTTTGTTTACTTATTGCTTAACTGAAAATAATTTGAAGGTCTTGTAACGATGACAAGAGTGTTAAGGAAAGAAGTGCAATATTTTATCCAAGGGTTTTTCAAAGGGTACAATTTTCAAAGAGGATACATTTTTTTAAGGTAATTATCCCCGTTTAAACATTCAAGGCTAATTATGTAAATTTTTTCAAAAGAAACTTTGCAGAAAAAATAGCTGGTTTCTTGGAAAGGCGATTGGTAATCTTGAATGCTTTTAAAGCAACAAATGTACAAAAATTGAAAAACAGATATTTCGAGCTTTTACCTCTTGAAAGATTTCTGGTTTTTATATATGAACACAACTTTCTTGAAAAAATATACTATTCATGTCCGCTGAAAATTTATGGAAAAAAACTTTCATATTAATATGTTAGATATTAAAATGAACAAAATTTTGTACCATTGACGCAGCAGTGATGCTAAGTACAGCAACGCGGCAGTAAGGTTGAGTTTGAAATTCTCGCACATAATTCTATGGCAAAAATGAAAAAACATGTTTTTGATATTGAAAACATCTTTATTTACAAAGAATGTCTCCTTTTTAAAAATAGCAATGATAAGGACGTTATGCTTATAAATTCAAGTAATATTTATGATAATATATGTATATATCTGATTACATTCAATGAATATATCTGTAATACATTTACCAATAAACTTTACAAAGGTGTTGTGCATATGGAAGTCCGCCTAGTATTTAGATGCTGGGAAGAGACACGGAGACCAGCTTGCGATTGCATCGAAATCAGTAGTACAACATTGGGGATTTTGGGGATGAAGGCAAGGCAAAGCTTTTTATCGCCCTCACGTCTCTAGATACGTCTCAAGTCTGAGTAAAACATTTTTATTAAAATCATCCATTTATAAATCACATCAGGTATCAATGACAAATCCATCCTAAATCTGTGGAAACAACCAAAATATATGATTTGGGCGATAATGTCTTAGTTTCGCGAAATTTTAGCTTTCATTGGAAAAAAGTTAATTCTATCAACGATTTGATCCTGTTTGCAAGCTTTTCATCAAGTGCTTGGTTATACTTACGTTAAAGAATGTCAACAGACGCTTTGAAACTATGTGACATAAAATTGCTTAGTTAGACGTCAGTTTTTTTGTAATAAAAAACTGAACAATTCTGGACTGGATCTCAATGTCGCTTGACATATTACACATTATAGTTAGATGAATTTTCATGACATAGATTACAAACATTGAAATGAAAAAACGACATTATGATCACGAATAATAGACCACACATTAGCAAAAAACTAGGGTGGTTGTTTTTCAGCTTGGTAAAGTGCTCGACTTGGAACCGGGCGATTCGGAGCTCGAGTCTTATACTCACCTGAGCCGTTGATAGTTTCTAGAAGGGGCATGCGACTTTCAAATGCTCAACTGCTATACTAAAAGACTTATCAACGCCAGAACCTGCTGAAGAAATACATGCCGAGTTTGAGAAGAAAACTAGCAAATGAACTCACTGCCCTGATTTCTGGTGGAACATCGCCTGCAATACGAATGTACCTTGTGCCACGCTTGGCCAACACTTCTGTTACTGCATCAATGACTGCCAGATGGTAACAAAACACGACGAATTTGTTTGGCATTGCATCTAAAAGATCTGATATATATTCCTGAATGGGGCCGGCCTACAGGAAAAACAATATTAAGCTGCAAACATAGCTTAAGTTGGACAAAGTAATACCATAACGGGAACGAATAGCAAAATATAAAAATACGTAGACAGACACAGTATACTAAACCTTTTTTGGGTATAAGTGCTGACAGATTTCCATTTTTATAGTTCACTTGCTCGTAGCACAAATAGCCTTTATCAAAAAGCAAAAAGCAAGCCACACGATAAACTAAATTAGTCAGCAATTATCAATCTCTTCTCAAGATAATAGGTTGAGAAATCACCAATAGCTAGAAAAACTAGTCATCGTCCTAGTAGTTTTATGTTTATCGAAGGACTTTGCATTACAAAACTGTAAATAAAAATTACTGTTTTCCGGTCTGCCGTATTGTGCTAAATGCCGTATAGGCAGCGCTATATACGAATTGATGAGCAAATTTGTTGAAAACCTTTGATGAAATCTCTCTATATGAAATCAATTTTCTATCAAGCCGGATGTATCAATCGATACTTCTCTCTTTTCCTTCATATTTTTAATATGCAATTTTTCTTTCATTTTGCATAATTTATATACAAGCCAGCAAGCTTTCTTTGTTTTCAACAAACTGTCATGCACATTTATTGATGTAATTGCGGTAAACTATAATTTGGTTTCACTTTACCTCTTGTACATTAATTTATGGCAATCATCGCATGCTGTAATTTGGTTTCACCTTACCACATGTCAACAAATTAATGTAAATCGTGGTATACTATAATATGGCTTCACCTTATATTGATTGATAGTAATCGTGATATACTATAATTTGATTTCACCTTTGCTAGGCCTGTGCTCTTATATAGGCTTGTAAGTGCTGAGTTGACATCTGACATTGTCAACAGCCTTGCATCATCAAGAACATTAAGCTGGTCCTTGAATTGTGAAACAGTCTTCTTGAAATGCTTCAAGCTTGCCTCCAGGTTCTATTAAAATATTAGTGCATCAAAAACAACAAATAATGATCGCATACGTTAAAAATCGCTCTGGAATTTTCATGAAGTCTCGACATGTAAAGATAAAAACCTTCATGGAATATATCATTGAATAGATAAGGTGTTCATTAGACCAAAAGTAGCTTGCATTGCATCAATTTAGAATATTTATTTTAAACTATGAAAGGAAAAATAAGAAGAGAAAAGCACAAAATATTCAGTATATCATACACGACGATACTAAACAGACTTTCAGAACACAATGGTTTAGCAATTTTGGCAATTAAGAGTTTTGGGCCTAAACCTAGATTCACTTTTGGGCATAGTATTTTGAGGCACAATATGTGATAGTCTCATTCTTTTCAGTCTAGCTATGACTGTCAAACACTGTAAATTAAAAATCGTCACATTACAGTCCTTATCATTTAGAATACCTTCTTTCGATCTGAATCTGTGACAATGTCAAAACGGATTCTTTGCCGTCGCTTAGCTGGAAGTTCTGTTAGCACCTGACAGGACAAATATCATGTCATGAAAATGATTAACAAGATCTTAAAGTAGTAGCAATGTAAAAATACTATCACAGTGCAGTAAATTGTTCATCAGGTGGGGTAGGGGTCCAAATTAATAAAATAAACCAACCAATTGCTGACGCACGCAGGAATTCAACAAATAGGGAATGTATCATACATGTGTATGCTAAAAACAGGTGCATAGCATATATGAAAAGTTGATTACTCATTTTGATCATTTTAAAATAGGAGAATTGTTGTTATAAAGTTGGGTCACAACTAATAGAAAAGCTAATAGAAAAGTCTAAAACGTGAAACTCACATCACACTTGAGCCTTCTAATCATAAGAGATTTAGTCAAAATCTCATGAAGCTCCTTTAAATTTGATGCCCCTCTGGTGAAGAAAAAAGTCAGATCAGAGAATAGAATTATACTGCATATTTTTCTTTTTAGCATTACCTGTATGTTAAAATAGAGAGAAGTTTTAAAGACAAGGGCAAGGCAGGTGAGGCGCATTTTGAGTTTTGTAGTAATGGGTTTAAGTAGCAATACAATTACAGTACACTATAAAATAGAGAATCCTCTCCACCTTCATAAGAATAACTAAATATGGAACAAAAGAGCAAGATTGTGGAAGGATTTGTACCTTGTATCATACTTCCGCAACACTTTTCCACCTCTCATGGTTTGTAGAATATAATGACCATCACAATATCTTTCTCCAAAGTTATGCCAATTCCCAACAAGGCCTGGTCTTACTATGTTTATCTGAACAAATAGCTAAAAGATAATTAGAAACATGAAAAAGTTTCACGATGGAAAATAAGAAAAAGATTTAAAAGGCTGTTATGATTTTGATTTGGCTACATAACATTGCAAAATTATTTCAACAAACATTTTATTGCATTATTCCAATTCACTTACAAAATTTGTGAAAAATATTGAAAAACAGTCATAATGTCTAGTGACTGTTTATCTCTTTGGAAAAGCAATGAAACATAATCAAAGAAAGTATAAGTACCCCTTACAACCCCCCCCCCCACCACTTTGCTCAAAATCTCCATAAAAATATTTAATGTAATAGAATTTCAATAAACTGAGCAGACCTCTTCAGGTCTTGCAAGAGAAGGAGTACCAGTAAGCAGAATGACCCTTTTCATCTGCTTCAATAACTGCATAATCCTTTGTGTCCTTGATGTCTGCCGGTTCTTGACATAATGAGACTCGTCAACGATGGCTACGCCAATATTTGCTTTCTTTACTGCTTCAATCAGCATAGAATTTAAACCACTTCTCAAACTAACAAGCCCATAGCTTAGTATGTTGATTTTTGCTTTGGATAGGGCCCTGCTTGAAAAAATACATCTTTTAGACTTGAAGAATAGAAATAGAAAGTGATACATTAATGCAATACATAGATAAAGTTCATCCAATCAAAAAATATATCTGAAAGATTTGATAATCTTGTTTCACTGCTGTGTCTGCTTCACTTTTGTGTCATGCTTGCTCAATAAACTTTACAGTGTGAACATTGCATGCAGCTCATACACTGGGAAAAGAATACAGAGTCTCCTGAAAAAAGATATAATTTGCATGTAACAAATACAAAATGGCAGAAAAATAACATGCAAAAGCTTTTAAGAAAACACCTTGTTTTTTTGTGAGTCCAACACGTTTTTCAAAACAGGATCCTAAAAAATTACTTTTGAAACCAAGAGCTGCTTTCGCTTGTAGTTGCTTTTGTCTATATATATTCAGACGCTTTAGCATCAAGGATCCTAATAAAAGTAAAACTTCTTTCTCCAATTTTGTTTATATCATAGACAACCATGTTGTTCATGTATCATTCCTCTGAAGCTGATCAAGAAAAACTGGGGGGAAACTAAACTATTACTATACATCAGATTTGATTAATATGCTTGCATGTGTGTGAACAGCTTACTGCACCTTTTGTTTCATCTTGTGCTTCAAATCCAAAAAAGTTTTAACTGTGCATGCATACTTTGTTAGCGCCAGCTCTTGCTTCACATGTGTGAACCAGGCTTTACATACGTGGGTTGTGCAGGTTAAAGTGTCTAGGTAAAAACTATTGGCCATTGGTTTAAAGCTTTATGCTAACAGCTGTTTGCATAAAAATCAGAAATAATTGGCATATCATTGAAGGAGAAAAGGGGTCAAAAACAGAAACAACTGACCCATAGCAGTTCCAGTTGCAAAAAATTGTGACTGTGGCTTGAATTTGTTTGTAATAGCATACAAACAAGTCAGGAACATCTATGGGATATAAGCCTAAAACATAAGGTCCATGGCCACTAGTTTTGACCCACACAATTTAGCCAGCAAGAACTGAACTGTATGCAGTTGCTTCTTACACTTGTTGCAGTTAAGGCTTTTTTACTTGTTTTCAAAGGTGGAAAACTGATAGTGGTAATTAACCAAATTTTTTATCATTTAGATTATACACTGAATAACTAAGCCTCAAGTCTATTTTGGCAATAGAAAAAGCAGCCTTTGTTGAAGATGGGAAGAAGAACATTATTTAACATAAAAAACATAAACTTACGTAAGATCTGAGCAATTTTTGATAAGGTTTATATGTTCAGGTGGAATCTCTGGTAACCATTTTTCTATTTCATCTACCCAAGGATACTTCATTGAAGAAGGAACAATTATAAGAAGTGGCCAATCATCCTTAAAATAGTAAGCAACTGACAATGCTTGTAGGGTCTTGCCTAAACCCATCTGTGAAAAAAGTGAAAACAACGTTCAGTTCTGATGACAAAACTTTTTGCAACAGAATCAGATGTAAGCATATGTTAGTGGCTGCACATAATGTGTGGTTGATAGCTGCACATAAACAAATGTGTGCACATAAATTGAATTATCTATGGATTGAGGAAATTTCCAGCTAAAAGTGATCAATCAATAATCTTATCACTGCAATAAAATCATAATTTGAATCAGCAAACAAAAATTATTATACCCACAAAAACTTCACAGAGTAAATGAAGATGGAAAAAGATAGAACTCTGTTTCAATTCTACTTGATGCTTAGTTACGACTTTCTCTGTTTCGTTAAAAGAAACTAATGCACTAATGTCTTTTTTATCTAGAGGTAAAGTTCAAAATATGTATAAACAAATAACCTCATTCATTTAAAAAAGATTTACAAGGCACCATACAGAATTACTTTTAAATGAGAGAGCAAAGAGAACTGAAAAATAATTTAGATACAGAAAAATTGTGCAACATGTGGTGCAATACATACCTCATCACCAATCAAACACCTGAAACAAAGAGAGTCACTTAAATTTGACTTCAATAGCACAGTCAGAAACAGAGCAGAGCTGGGAATTCGATTTAGAAGAAGGAAGAGGCATTTTACAAGCCAATTTGTTAACCACTTACAAATTTTACTGACAAAAGCACTAAAAGCTGTGTTTTATCTGACAATTTAACCAAATCTGGAGGCCCTTGTCCCTCCAACCCCCAAAATTTCTGTCCCTGGTCAGAAAAAGTTGGACTGTATAAGCAGGTAGTATGATCTAAATAAAGTGTAAAGGTCTTATTATCCACCATATGCAGTGAGAAGCGTTTAAAGTTATCAGTGACAAGACAAAAAGCTGGTTAATAAGGGGCATTTGTTTGTTGTTCTTTATCATTATATTTTGTAAAACTACATATCAGATTTTCATATTATTCTACCCTTTAAGTCAATTCATCCTTTTTTGGTTTATTGGCTTCATTTGGTTTTCAAATTTTGTATATTAAACCAGGGGTTTTGGAAACATGGGGCAGCCGATTCAGCAGCACTTCTCCCCCTTCCCCCCCAATACCATATTTCCTTTAAAGAATCATGCCCTCTTATAAACTCCACCCTCTTTTAAATGCTGCATCTTGAAAAGTTGTGTTTGTTAGAAAACACACCAAACAAGAAGTAACAAATAGTTTATACACTTACTGTTTGAAAACCATGAAAATTGTTATGTCATAGAGACAAGGACTCTGACAGAGACAGGGATATTGACATTCCTTGACATTTCCACAACATGAAGACATCTTTTCTGAACTTTTAGAAAAATTTCACACAATCTTTATTACATGTTTTTGGGAAAAAGAAAATATTGCTTAAGTCTGTATTTATCTCTTTTCATTACACTTTTCTTGTCATTTTTCATTTGACAAACTTGTCACTTTGTATTAATGGCTGCCCTCTGATAAAAGCCGCCTTCTATTAAAGGCAGTTTGGTCCTTCCGTGATTGGCTAATTCTATCTTGAAAGCCTTAGCCTCTCGTTTCTCATTATCAGACATTAGTTTTATTGGGTGAACACAACAAAATGCGTAAATCTTTATATCATCGAAACTGACCTTTGACACCAAATCAAAACTCACAGCACCTCGCTCAGGGAAGTACGCTATTGTGGTTCTTCATTCTGATTGGTTACTTCTGCATTAAACTAATGATGCATGAATATCATGGCCATGAAAAGAGATTTTGAGAACAATAGGGGACATACTGTCTTTTAAACGGTGCATCCAAAGGTTGGATTCTGTAATAAACGCTGCAGCACTCTTTAAAGGAAGTACAGTAATCTTAAAAAGGCTGTTAGATTATTATATTACAAGTAAAGCATTTGAGACTTTATTTATTAAAAATCTTTCCAATCATTTGAGCACTGACATTCTTAGTGGCCTTCGTTTGGTAGCCAATGAAAACTCAGTGTTATCGGTACTTGTAGAATCCAAAATGAAAACCAATCAAAACAGTTCTTACAAAAGGGGATCCACTACTCCATTTATGTGATGTGACTCTCAGCTCAGTTCAGCAATCAAAATTATAAACGGTTATACTACCCACACTTCTTTGACACAAAGCTTTCTAACCACACAATGATCAACGATACAATAGCGATAATGATTTTATAAAGAGAGGAAGGACCACCTTCCATTCTTCTCGATTCCGTAGCGGATGCCATCTTTCTGGAAAGGCATCAAAGCTTTCCTCAGGTCCCGGGGGAGAAAATTCAAAGATACTGCCATACTTCCTGGATGCGAGAACTGGTCAGATGATTTCACTGTAGTACTATTGTGTTGAAAATATCAAACTCCATGTTATATTCCATGAAAATATCACTTCATAATCAATGGTTCGTGCATGAAAACATTGCTCAGTATTATCAACGGCCACCCTGGATGTGAAAGCGCGGGAAGCCTCGAATGAGTTACAAAGCTAGAACGAGTCAGCAGTTGTTATGACAACAGTTTGCCTTATCAATATTGTTTTTGTGATACATGATCTCAAAAAGTGCAACGAGTTTAGAGCTTTGATAATCGATTCAGATCAAACCCACAAAGTCCAGATACTAAAAATGGCATCAGAAGATAATTCTGCAGAGATTGTAAACGAGGTAATCTTTATTCTGCATTTCTCAATTAATTATTCGCCATTATTAAATGGAATTAAACGGGTTGTTGCTTGCCCATTTGGTCTTCCTCTTTGAAGTCTCGGGCCAAAATCTTAGCTTCTTCAGAGTAATCTGAGTCACTCAATACTTTTTCCTTTGCGCTAGCTCTTTAACTTTTGCTGTATTCTGTTTCAGTTGCAATAGTAAGATGCTTAAGGTCCATTTTTATTATTGACTTAAGGAATTTTTATCCGTGTTTGGGAAATCATATTGTTATAAGGTATTTGATTTTGAATCGTCCAGCTTTTCTTATCGTTTAAAACAATAGGCCTAGATACAAAATTCTCTGTCTGAACTCACTCTCCAGTTTTGTTATCGAATGTTCCTTTAGGCTCATTAATTCTATTTTAATAGGTTTGGACGAATATACTTTGGATAATATAATTTTTGTAAATGAAGGACCTAAACGCGGCCGAAAATACCAGTTAATTTGTTGCAATGAACCTTGAAGAAATGCAATCTCTATTTGGTTTAGTTGTTAAAAATATTTGATATCTTCTGGACCAAACCAAAATTTAAGATTTCAGTTAAAAACTTAATGATGAAATCTCCAACTGCCAGCCAGAATATTTACGACCTGGTAATTTTTTTCCCGTTTAGTAAGTAGATGAAAAGTTTCTTGTTCTTTGCAGGCTACAATCTATGAATAGGAATTCAAACAACTGCATTGTTTCATATGCATATTTATTCATTGTATCCTATGTATAACAATGTGATTGGAATTTGATTTTTTTTAATTAACTCGCTGAATTAACTATCTTCCTAATGGAACTGTAAAAGATAATAATGAAATACCTCATCTTCTACTAAAATATATGGAATAATTGTCAGTTTTCAATCACTTTTTACCTCTGAGAATTCAGCTCTGCTCTATTTCAAAGGGTGAATTAGAAAAACCAAAAGAGGAGAGGGCAAATGAAGAATCTAATCAAGACATAAACAGAGAGGAACCTGAGAACAAAAATGAAGCAGAATTAGAAGAAAACAGAAATGAAGCAAATGAGAATATAACACCAAGGAGCACAAGTACAAGTGACAGTAAAATGAAAAATCAGATGATGGCAGAGCTGGAAAGAGTGAAGAAGGAAATGATTTATTCTGCCTCTCTGATAAAAAGACCAAAAGCGTAAGTTAAACTTGAAAATTTTTATCGTTTTGGTGATGGGAATATTGATTTATCTTCCGTTTTTTATATCCTTGACATACCTTACTGATAAACAATCATTATCGTGCACAAAATAATGACCTCATTAATAATTCATGGACTCTTTGCAATAAGAAATCAATTCTTATTAATTTGCATTCATGGCACCTGCACCATTCAATGTTAAGTGAATATGATTTGGTTATCTGAAACACAACTTTTTATACTCCCTGCCTTGCATTGTTCATCTTGCTTTCAAACTTTGAAATAACTATCATTTTCAAAGTAAATTGGAGTTCTGCATGAACTTGTTGTATTTTGCTTTTGATATAAATTGCAGAAACTATACAGCATTAATATTTAAAAAGAAAGAACAACATAATCTGATGACAGGTTTTTTATTATTTTGTCTGCTTTTCACTTCTGTGTTTTCAAATGAAAGTGTTTTAACCTTATTTTGAACATTCTATCAACATTTCTTTGTAAAAGTTAGTCTTTACTTTGCTCATAGAAAACCATACACACCTGACATATTCAATGACCTTGGACCCTACTATAATAAATATTTGATTGATTACATCACAAGAGATCAGGTAAGGGTATTATTCATACAGTGTGTCCTGTACTTATCTGAATTTTTCTAATTTTTCTATTTATCAAATGGTTTTATTATGGATTAATGCTTGGTTACTAAAAATTCTTGTAGTCAACTGAACTGAAATTTCAGTCATTGTGAATCATAATGATTCATTGATTAGAAAATATGTAGACCCTTTTGAAACTTAAGAATTATTTTATGACACTTTGAATTGAAATTTTCAAGTATTGAAGTAGATACCTTGTTTTCTGTTCAAAGCTGTTGAAGCCTTTGATGGTTGCTGGTACTTAAAACTGTGGAAATCTTTCTTCAATGAGGTCCTGAAATATTCAAAAAAAATTTTGCATAATCTTTTTATACAGGACCCACTTTACAAATCTTGGGGAACATATGGTCAACGTGAGACAGCACTGCAAATTGTTGGTATGTTTATTCCAAAGTTCTTTCACCATCTTCTACAATATACTTATACCTTTCACATAGGTCTAGATTCTCGAAGTAATTTATCAGAATAGAAATTGGATAATAATGGCATTGATGGTTCCTCCTAATAAGGGTTTATTTTTTGGTTGTTGAAGCTCTTGAACTAATAGCAGTAAGCTCTGGTCACTTTTATAATGTTTTAGGGAAAATAATTTTTTTTAAATACTTTTCATAATAGATATAATGTTTATAAGGTATGGAAACTCAGTCAATTTATTTTTTGAGTAACTGACTGTCGAGTCTATTTGTTCTAGAGTAAAAATTTTTGGTTCAAGTAACAGATGAACCTTCACAGGGGGTGTTGACATGCTTATTTCTGCCCATTTCTCTAGCTGTTGTCAGTGGCGGTTTTAGGGATTGTGGGGCCCAGATCTTTTTTCTTAGGTATGGGGCCCCTTTTGGCTATCATAAGCGCAGGGTCTGGGGCCATGGCCTCACTGAACGCCCTTATAACCGCCACTGCTGGTACTTGGGTATTTTCCAAAAAAACCAACATTGCTGCAAGGATGGGGGTTTTGATAACATTTCCGTGGTGAAATTGCAAGCCTAACATTGTTTGCCTTTTGCGGCATCGCTTGCATTTTCTGACTTGATTGCTCCCTTGTTTGCTGATATGTAAAACGTCCTTATTCATAATTCATCTATCTATTAAGGCAATCTCTATGTGGTTTCATCATATTCTGATTTAAACACGGTGGTTATTCTAGATTTATAAGTAGGAAGTTATGCTAATAAACATATAAATAATCTTTTCCCGAGATCCGTTTCCCTTTCTTTCTTTGCCCCTCAAAATTTTTAATTTGCTGGCCTCTCTGTTCTCACCATTTTGACTTTATCATTGAAACGCAGACAGATGGATTACCAATTGTGTACCCGTGAAGTCCAAGAAGACAACAATATCCATCTTTTAAAACTCTCTTGATCCTCGCCAATCATCTCCAAAAGAACTACTCTATTATGTGCCCTTATATTAATCCAATTATGTTTGTCTTTTAGATCCAGAAATGTCTTTAAAGATGGACACGTGAGTCTTGTTTTATTACCATCATGCTTAATCTTGATATTTTTATATATTATTACCATTATTACCGTATTTTCTCAAAAAGAATCCGCGATCGAATAGACGCTTCTTCAAAATAGAAGCCGGAGTTTTAATGAAAATAGAAGCCGCACTCGCATAGAGGCCGCATTTATTGGATACCTATCGATAACAGGTTTTGTAAAGAAAAGTAATAGCAGAAAGATTCTATGTTATTATGGACCTCAACGAAGATATTTGATTCTATTTATACAACGGAGATATCTATTATAGAAGTGTTAACTCTTTTTGGTACGTTAACATTGTCAATAGTACAGTCAACGCTGTTTTGTTCATTGATTCCGCTCGTAATCAAATAATCGCAAGCAGCTTTGCAATGTCAATGGTGTCTTCTCTGAATTTGAGGCCAAAGAAATCGGAGTACCGCAGGGCTCGTGTCTTGGACCACTCCTTTTTTATTTTATGTCAACGATCTGTCTTTTGCACTGAAAAAGCCCATGCTACTTTGTATGCAAATAATGCAATCATCTGTTACTCCTCTGATAAGAAATCATGGTATGAGTATGACTCACATATTTCACATATGGCACGAATTTGGAGGAATTGAATGCCATAGTCATCGCAGAATATATTAGTCTTAATGAATTGGCTTCGCATAAACACTTACGTGACAAATGTATTAGGACGATGAATAACAAAATGGCGTCTCCAAAACTAGCACTCTAACATTGATTGAACAAATCTTGCTGTTTTGGCTGGATTCTAGAAATGGCGTCAGCAAATATGCAAAACCTAGCAAATTCAATTTATTTCCTACCTTTCTATGATAGAAAGGTATCAAAATGTCAAAAAAAATGGAAAATATCAATGTTTTAGTTTCAATGCCGAGAACACAAGAATGGTAGGTCAGGGCAGGCCGACAATTGGTTGGGCCTAATGGCGTCAGCAAGCGAATATTGGCGTTGTGTGCGAAGTCAATCAATGCTGAATATTTTGTCCAATTATTTGTGAAAAGCCCCCAGGCAAGTACAGAAACAAGTCATGATTCTTTGCAAAGACCATTTATTTTCAAGCAAGACATTAAACCTAGTTATGTTGCTTTTGTTACAAATTTCCAAAAACAATAACACAATGGCCTTTCAATAACCCCGGCAAAGCCAAAGTCTTGATACAAAAATACAAGAAATAGAATCTTCTAAGACCAAAAATAAGCTCTTTTATAATTTTGTTGAGATTTTCTCTTGTATCTGAAAATAGTTCGTTAGAAAATTATTTCAGTGAGTTTCAATGCAAACCGTGGCTGCCTTGTTTCTTGGAGGTCGTCCGACAAAATATAAAAAAAGCAAATGTTACTTGTCTAAAAAGTTTCCTTTTTTACAATCTATTAAATTTATGTTTATTTTTACAATTGGGTAAAATTTTAATTGAAAATCTCAACCAGCAATCGTGTTATGTTCTACCGATTTTCTATGTTCTTTGAGCAAAGGATTAACCACATTTGCTTCGAAGCGATCGTCCTAATACATTTGTCACGCAAGTGTATAAGTTCTTATTAAACATTATTAAAACTCAAGGTATGCTTATTGGCTCTGAGCAAAAAATTTAAGCCACACGAGGACGACATCTTCTATCAGTTCAATCTTCTATCTTTCTTTTAATCAAATTTTTGCTTTGAAGGTTTCCTCTGCCCCCTGTCCACAGCAAAGTTCCGGGACAAGTCTACAAAATCAAAGTCTGGTAAGTTTTTTTTGAATTAAGTATTACGTTTATGACCTATCGTTCGACCGGAATTATTTAACACTGGCTGTAAAGCAGTATCCTATGACCAGGAGATTTCTGAAAAGGCAAAGGAGACGGGTGGAGCCCTATCAATACCATATGATAATTTCTGGCGTCTCAAGTGATTTGGAAAGTGGTTTTTAGAACGTTTTAAAACCCTTCTTTCTTGTCACATAAAAAATTTATTAATTGGCCAAATTTCATAATAAATAAGTATTACTTCTAAAATGATGGTGTAATTGCAATTGAATGCAAGCAATGTTATCTCTGCGATGGAGTGCGTTTACAATAACTTAAGTTTCAAGTTATTGTTGCCACCAGCCATATGTATCCTCACTTGTCATACGATCAATTCCAAAAAGCCCTTTAAAAAATCTGTTACAGGTTCCTTATTCCCCGTACCGTTAATCTCTCCGTCTTTCCATCAATTTAGCAAGTACATTGCTATACTTTGGTGGGCTTTTTCCTTTTTAAATAGTCTTTCCTTGCATCTTTTTCTGTAGGAGTAAAAATCTTTCTGGAAAGGACCAAGAACTTGGTAGTACCCGCCTGCCACCTGTGCCTTCTTTGGGCGTGAAAAAGCTTGCGAATCCTGAATATCAACATTTCAAAATGACATTTGACGAGGTTCCTAAATTCAGGTAACGTGAATATCTTCATATTTATTCTTACCAGTATTTTTCGTTGGTTATCACAAACAGGAAGCCAAGGAGCAGCGTCATAGCTAAATATTTTAGGAGAGTATAAAAAGTTGTTTGATGTAGAAATCATTTGAATCTACCCATGCTGTAAAGAGACCTTGGCTCTAAATCAAAAACAATTGTAATCTTTTGTCAACAGTCATGTCTTCACTGACCATGTTTCTGCCAATTCGTAATAAAGTTAACTGAATTTTCATAATGCGATGCAATACCTTTTTTATATTACATTGTCCCAATCGGAATTTGATAATTTTAGAAAATTGATACATTTTAGAAAGCCTTTCTTTTTTGTTATCTTATCAACTATCACAGTTGCTCTCTCAGAAAGAAATCCAAATTGAGGTCATTTGTTGGAAAAAAGGCAATAAGCCATGATGAGTTGATTGTATTTGTTAAACTTACAAACTTTAGCTTTTAGACGCAGGAAAAATTTCTCGGAAGGTCGATGAAGCAGTATTCTTTTTTAACATATTCAGTGACAGATTTTTAACACCTGTTTTTCTTTATCAAATGCTCTTGTTTAGGTCTTTCACATAGCTAGTAGTTTTCTTAAAGGTTTCTGTTCCATCCTTTGATAGACAAGATGTGAAGAAGATGTATAGTGCTATTGAACTGAAACGTGAGAAGTCGGATTACCAGAGGGTGCAAAAGGACTGGAAACGAATGAACTTAGATGAGCTTAAAGAACTTCCGGAAAGATCTCGTGTTCATTATGGAAAGGCAGTTTCGACTTATTTAGGAACCAGTAAAGGCTCATCGAAAGCTGTGCATCAACTAGGATCTAGCATGAGCACTCCCGAACAAACATGAGTTTTTTAATCTGTCTTCTGTCTTCATAATGACACTGTATACTCTAAGGGCCTTCAGGTGATGTCCTGAACATCTTGAGCTCATATTTGTACACTCATTTTTTTATAAGAAACATTCCACATAGAAAAGGTACCTGCAATTATCAGGAATTCCAAAATCTTAGCGCCCTCTTGAACTGTTTCTCAAAGAGGCATTATTTGGTTTTTTACCGTTCTATATTAGGTAAATATTGCCAGACTTTTCATGGTTAACCTTGCTAGTTTACATCTCACCCAAGAGACATGAGTAATACGCATATAAGATGTGCATTTTTGTTCACTTTTCAAAGCAAATCCTATATGTTTCTGGTTCAAATTAATGTCAGCTGCATGAATAAGATTATGGAGAGAAAACGAAATCATAAAGTATTCTGTAATCAAAACAGTACAGAAATCTACTATCGTTGCTTATAGAAAAATGGGTGTACATGAGCATACGTCAGTATAACCATGATGGATGTAACTAATTGATGACTTGAAAGTGCATGCTAACAAAAGAGACATTTTGTACGACGATTAAGGGTGCATGTCTTTATTATTCTATTCATTCTCTCTGTAATTTTGACGCTACAGTCTTCATTGTGCAGTCTTTTAATTTCCCTGTAAATTATTTTAATTTTTCTAACTTAATATACCATATATCGACATTGTTCAGCACTTATCCATATTCCATTATAAAGTGGGATCCTCTCGCACTTTTTACAGAAAAATCAAGTCGACCTTCTAGGATCAATGGGATAATGCTGAAATGCAAACAAAGTTACTTTTTGTTTCAAGAACACTTGTAAATGCCAAATGTACAGGGATTACACTTAAAGTATAAGCCTAGTTCCCATAGGCTGTAATAGTCCAACCAGACTCAATGTAATCTGCATAGGGCACCTCTCAATGACAAAATCTCCCAACAACAGACACTACTTAAGAGTGGGAAAATATGTTCGAAAATTATTTTCTGCATTCAAATACTTGTACAGCTAACCCCAAGATAACGCGCACTTCGAATATCATAGATTCATATCGAGGTCTCGCAGTACTTCCAAATACCGTTAACAAGAACAGAGTTTCTAGCTCTACCAACAAATTACAAATGTATAAACACTGCTCATGTAGAAACAAGATCTTATCTCCTTCTATTTTTTTACTTGTATGCTAATGCTTTGTTGTACCCATTTTATGATAAAATGTCACGTTCGCTGTTTCTTCGCTGTTTGTTGTGTGTTTTCTACACCTATTATTTACGGTTTTTTTAATCTGCCCCCCCCCCCATTTTATTTCAATGAAAAACTATTCCAGATTTTTTTAAAAAGGAATGTCCAAGAAAATGAAGTTTTTTATTTTGTCCTTAAAAATTTTAGCGTTCCAAACAATCGAACAGATAGTTTCAGAGCTAATAGTTTCTTATAATTTTCTTATTTCAAAATGCCTTAGTTTGCCCCAAACATCATAACCACAATAATAACATGTTATTACTGCTGTAGTGTAGCAGATTATTGATACTTCTACATTTTGCTATCTATGTTTTATATTTTAATAATAAAATGTTGTATTTTGCTTACCTTAATATGGACTGATAAAAATCTATTATTCTTTCGAGACCATATTCTTTGGTTAAATATACTAAAATGCGTGCGGTACAATTTGATGAATTTAAATAACGATCAATGTAAGTAAATTGTACCAGAAAATTTTTCTAAAATAATTAACAACGTTTCGAGCATAGCCCGTTATCAAGTGAGATAGAAAAGCGATGATAGAACTAAAAAACGTTAAAAGAATATGGAATTCGACGAATGGAATAGGAGGACGGATGTAAGAGCATGGAAAAGAAATATATGGAAAAAGCTAATAAAAATGAATATATATATACATTTACGCAAATACAGAATTTATGTATATGTATATATATATATATGCACACTAATATGAAGAAAAGAAAAAACAAAGAGAAAGGAGGGGGGGGGGGGTTATTGAAGATACGTAAACTGTTTATTAAGTCCAGAAGGATATAAAGTTCCAGGTTTAAAAATTATCCGTTTTTCCAGTGACTTTCTCTTTGCACTGTCCGTTGGGGCAAACAAAAGGCCAAGAACTACCATGTCATCTTCTGTGTGATTCGCCAGGTTAAAATGTTTGGAAATGTTGCTATCAGGATTACTGTCGTGTTTATTGTTAAGGTGGATTTTGTTCCTGACATTACGTAAATGCTCACCAAACCTGTTGTTAATCTGGTGTAATGTTTCACCAATATACAGAACATTAAATTTGGTGCAAGAGATGCAGTATATGACACATGAGGTTGCAGGTTTGACAGAGGTGGTGGTGGCAAGGTGAGGCACCAGGAGATTCAGGTGAACGAAGGCTGCTGCGTACAAGGTAGTCTTTGATGTTTTTATCCTTTTTGTAGGCCAACAGAGGTGGAGCTTTGAATATTATCTTTGTAATTGAGTCGTTGTGTAGAATGGAGAGGTTGTTGTATACAATATCTTTAATTTGTTTGTTGAGTGGGTGGTAGGTGAGAGCAAAAGCTATACGGTTATCAGCATTTGTTCTGTCGACCGGTTTAAGGGCTTCATCCTGAGTGATGTTGTTGACTTTAGCGATAGCAGACATAGTTATCTTTTCAGGGTAGTGATTGTGATGGAAAAAGGATGTCATTTATTTTGCTTTTTCTTGAAAATCATCGTTGCTGGAGCAGATGCGACGGAGACGACGTAGCTGGGAGTATGGAATGGAATTTCTGCATTTTTGAGAATGGGATGAAAAGTAGTCAAGAAAGCTGTGTGAATCTGTTACCTTATAGAAGATAGAGGTAGTAATAGAGTTGTTTTGGATGGTGAGCACGATGTCAAGAAAGGGTAAACTGTATTCGGAGATGTTGTGTGTGAATTGAAGCGCTGGATGAAAATTGTTAGTGTAGTTGATGAAATTTTGTAGAGATGCAAGTGGTAATGATGTAGCTCCGACAATGTCATCAATGTATCTCTTGATTAGGCAAGGGAAAGGACCATCATATGATACCACTTTTCTATCTCACTTGATAACGGGCTATGCTCGAAACGTCGTTAATTATTTTAAAAAAATTTCCTGGTACAATTTACCTACATTGATTGTTATTCATATTCTTTGGTGTTCTACATGAAATTTATAAAATATTTTTTTATATATTAACTCTATTTGCTTGAAATGATCTTGAACACATGGTAAACCAAGAAGAGTGCAAAACCATTTGGGTGCAACCTTCGTGCGATGAAATAGTAACAAAAATAAATGCATTATGCTACTCATATTTGTACAAATCTTTCATGGAGATTTGACTGTCTGATTTCTCGAAGCCACTTGATATCCTTTTTTTATTTCAAAAATTGTGCAGTCTCGTTTTACTAAAAATTTAGCATTGTAGGATTTCATCTGGGACAAAGCAAATTCTTTTACAACTACACATTTTATAAATATTTTTACAACTGCGCATTTTACCACTGCACGTACTTCCTTGTTGCTTTCTAAGAAATTCCATTTAAGGTCAAAGGTCTCATGAGATCCGCTTTGAACAACGGTTGGCAGCAACAGCAACAAGAGATTAACAGTAGATTGTATATTGAAAGCATGTAGGCATCAGCCATAGAATGGCTCGGCAAGAGGATCTAGAGCTAGGGAATACAGATCAACCTAGGAAAGTAAAGCTGAAACGTAGAAACCAGAGTTTTGGATTCAAAGTACGTGGTCAAACAGTTCGAGGAGGCCCAAGATGGTTGATTAACGGCCACGAGTACCGTAACTTACAAACCGTGAGTGATGTCCTACCGGAGTCCCCAGCTGAAGAATGTGGTGTGTTGCCTGGAGATAGAATATTGTCAATGTAAAAGTGATTTATTTACTTTATTAGCATTTGCTTGTTTAAAACTCTTTCCAAGCAGTTTCTTCCTTAATGTAAATCCGACGTCAAACGCAACATAACTATTTACAATTTATCATAAAATCCTGTTTCTCTTGGCATTTGATTGCACATCCAGTTTTTAATCCAGTTTTTAATACAGCAAGTTTATATAGCCAAGAATTGTTCGTCCAAGTTTCTCAAATTTAAAACCTGCCCCAAATATTTGACTGGGTAATCAGTTTGCCTGCTTCTTCAATTCCTATGTTGATCTTCTACTTTTTAAGAGTTGTCATCATCCAGTTTGCAGAGTAGGACCAATCTTAACAAGATGTTGGGTGTGCAGAAAGCCTGCACCTCATGTGCAGTTGTTGAAAGTTCAGCCTACAATACCAGATGTGCCAGAACTATCATTGTTTCCAAATTTAAATCGAATATATTTAGTTTTTAGGTTTGCGCTCAATGATACCTTGTCTGGATACTGAGTTAACATAACACCACTCTCCTACCTTTGCCTTACTTTGCCTAATATTCTCAAATTAACCAGGGGCTGGGCCACGGGGTGGACTGGGGTGCACATGTCCAACCCATTTTTTTAAAATCGATTTTATTATTCTTCAATATCTGGATTAAAAACAAAAGGGGGGTGTTAGTTTTCTTCTCTGAAATCGGAACCTTTTTCATTTTTATGGTCAGTTACAGTTCTTTTCGGATCTTAGCTGACATATAAAGTATGGTGTGTTGGATCATCAGTTCCGTAAATAGTGAGAGAATAAAATGAAAATGGTAAATAAAACACAGCTTTATTGTGCTAAACCGTTAGTTCTTAGAGTGTGGTCCATGCCTTCCTTTCTTGTCAAAGGTTTCTGGCAATAATTAACTTTAAAACTTGTACCCAAACTTTTTTAAGCTGTGAAGGTAGTATAGTTGCAGCCCAGGAGTGTCACCAGCAGAGGGTGTGGGGGTGTCACACCCTAAGTAGTATCTCAATAGGAAATTTCAGGTCAAATCTGCTCTATGGAAGAAATGCTATAGGTATTTCAGAGACCCTCATGTCATAAAATCAACAAAGGATCAAGCAAAGGTAGTTGCTCTATTGGTTGAATATGATATTCCTTGATATGAATAAAGGTAAAAAACTAATGATTTGAAGATTTCTTGTTGGCACTAAATCTAAAAAACCAGGCCCTCTTTAGGTAAAATTGTGCCTTGTGTTCATTTTCCCAAAAGTTTCTCGGTAAAAGCATCAACTGGAATTCACTATGAGCTCCAGAATTTTTAACATTCAAAAGGCATGATAAGATAGAAAGAGGGATCTAAATCAACAACCAGTTCTGCTTGTTACCTAACTTTAGAAGTAACTGACAACATAATATTTTTTAAGACCACGGCAAATTTGTACCAGTTGTTTTTATCTCCTGTTCAATTCTTTTGCAAGAAAATAATTTTCAATAGGACTAAGAGGATTGCTTCAGTGATATGTGCTTAAAAGAGTACATTTTTCAGGGAACTAGAAGCATTAAAACCCGAAAATTTCCTTTCCTTCAGCGGCAACCATGGTGCCCCCTTGGGTGGTAATTGTATCCTTTGCCTATGTCAATATAGAAATTTGAGAAAACTCTCTGGAAAGTCTGTTATTATCATATAAAAATGAAATTTGCAAATTGTATAGAGTTAGATTGACAAAATTTATTGCAGAGGTTTGTGTCAGCAACTAAAGAATTTCAGGCAAAATTTGTTTAACCAGGTAAATTTGTAGTGCACAACCCCCCCCCCCCCAACAAGACTTGCCTCGTGATGGCCCTGTTGCAGCCCCACCTGTTACAATTGCACTACCTTTGAGCCACAATGTCAGATGAAAGGTTGGAAAACCTTGTTCAAATTAGCATCAATCGATATGGCAGATAACATGGACAAAGGGAGCCTTGTTAATAAATTTAAAGCCATTGTTAGCTAAAAAATGTCACTCTAAAATTAGCTTTGCCTGTGAAACTTACCTCTTCTATTGAGGGTTTCAAATATGTCAAACTTGGTTGTCAATAACAAGCACAATTTCTTGTACCATGTTGCACCAGTTTCTCACCAAGACCCCTTTATCATCTCAACCGTCTACCCCACTATTTTGGGGCTGGCTCTGCCCCTGAAATTAACTACCACTTTCCTGTAACTTTTATTTATTTTTTCAGAAATAGCATTGAAATGGAAGATGTTGATCATGATGAGTTCAGGGAAGTAATGAAAACTGCTGGAGAAGAAGTAGAACTAGTGATTGTGACTCCATCAGAGGTCAAGATGCTGGATATCCCATCATCAGTTGTTATTCACAAGACGGATGGGAGTGTTTTAACCATTAATGACACAGAACTTCTACGGACACATACCATAGATGAAGCACTTCATTCTGAAATTGACAATGTGAGGTTAAGCCTGACTTTTCTGTTAAATTGTTAACATGTTAGTCTTCAAAATTTTATCCTGGTAATTGAAAAGGTTCCACATACTCAAAAGATATTTCCACTGTTAATGCAATTTGTAATATAAACAGACATCTCTTCAAGCTAATTTTAATATTAAAAGGGCCTGCATCAAAGTCATTTAAACTTTGCCCCAATAACATTCCATCTATTCCTGGAAATTTTTGGACATTTTGTGAAAAGTATGATCCCTCCTTGTAAAAGCTTATTTTGAATAATGTGTTCATCATTATTTTAATGAAATATTCTCTAAATCCTGTCAGAATTATAATCTCTTTTCCAAGCAGCTTTCACAACCACATAATTTCTGACTCCACCCACTGTGATAACTTAGAAAGACTTCTAAATAAGATGACTATTGGCCAGCTCAAGAATGCCTATTATGTTGATTATAATGACATGTTGTGTAAAATGTTAAACCCATGTCATGTTACAACATGGATTGACTTGTATAATTTTGAACTAGAGCAGCCAGATATTTTACATAGCCAGATGGAGGCAATTTATTTATATATATAGCAATATCCTCCTTTGTTCTCTAGACTGGAAAACTGGAGGTTCAAGTGCATAAGCCCCAAGAGCAAGAAAGTGAGAAAGTAGATCAAAATTTGATTGATAGTATCAGTGACAATCTGCCTCAAGCTGACAGTTCTGTAGATGAAAATGACACCCGTTGTGACAGCTTGTCAGATAAAGAGTCTTTATCAATTAGTGAAGCATCTGGAAATCTCATAGTGAATGAGCTCCAAGATGAAAATCCTTCAGAGGAAAATTGCCACAAAGGTAGTGGGGCCATGTCTACTAATGTTCTTAATTTTCTGCAAAACTTTCTTTTTTACCATATATTTATAATGTTGGTCTTATCACTATTATGTCTATTTTTTGTACCCCTCAATGCTGGATACCCCAAGCTCAATATGAGGGACTTGGCTATCAATTTTGCTATAAAGTTTGGTCATCTATTGTTCAGCTGCATTTCTTTGGTTGTGAATTTGAGATGAAGTCAATTTTGTAACAATCTTTCACATATCTTTTAGATGAGGTGATTATTCAACAAGAGGATAGCGAAAATGAGTCTGTAAAAATCTCTAATGGAGAAGATAAAATTGATGAAAGTGTAAAAGAAGATGCCAAAGATTGTGAAAATGCAGATGTCCCCATGTTTGAACAAAATGATGAGATTATTGACTGCTTCAGTGCAGAAGCAGTAAGTAACACAAGTTTTGATATAATAGAGGCTAGCAGTGATGACGAGGTTGGTCCAAACGATCATGGAGATTGTATTTCTTTTGTTGAAAGTTTTACTTCAAATGATGGTTTCAAAGGTGTAAATGACTGGGAACATACAAGAGAAGGTTCATCTATAACCAATGAGGCAGAAAATTTCACAAGAGATTGTAGTGCTGTCACTTTGAAAAGGAAAGGTATTATCAAGTCACCTGAAAGGGAGGTAGAGGATATTCAAAATCAAATGAAGTTAATGTTATCTACAATGAGGCACCAAAAGGTGTAAGTCAGTCTTTGATATACTATAATCTCAGAAGTAGACCTACGCTCAATTTGAAGCTAGATTCTGTTTTTGAAAACTGTTTTGGATTATTGATGATATGAAAATGTTATATATTCAAATGACAACTGATATGTTCTGATGCTGTAAAGAGGGTAGGACACAAACCAGCATAATTGTTCTACAAACTTAGCTTTTGACTGATGTTTTCAAATCCAGTTTTTTTATTTACTCTCATGTTCTCCCAATGTATCCTTGCAAATCCTATTCTACCTAATTTGTTTTACCTCAACCTATCAAGTAATGGTGGCTGTGAAGGCTGTAATGGTGTGGTAAGTCATCTCTCATAGCAGGTACAGTGTACATTGTAATGAATGCTGTTAGTGATTGGCAATTGGTATTGAAGGGGTGATGTTGGTGACTGGCATGGCTTTAGACTTTGATTAGTAGTGTCAAATCTTTGTTATATTCTACGTTTATTGTCTCATGTATTTATTACAATTGTTGTAAGTAGTTTAATATTAGAGTATCTGCATGTAGTGGAATTTAAAATGAATGAATGAATGAACAAAACTGATTTAAAAACATTGGTAGCTCAGTTGGTGGAGCAATGACATACACTATTGCAGGTTTGAGTCTGTCCTGGAAATGTATCTCACTCGTCCCCCAAGCTTTTGAAGCAATTTGTTAATATAAGCTATCATGCTATCATATTTGTTCAATATTTTTATTCCACAGGAGACCTTTCTCACCAGATATCATCTCCAACCTCTCACCTTACCACAACAACAAATGTATCAGGGATGGAAAACACACGGTAAGAAGAATGCTAAAAGTTGAGATCTTACCATTAAATCTTGATTTTTTCCTGATTTAAGACCATATTATTGTTTTTGATTTAAGACTATATCGCGGACTAATGTCTCACACCCTATCATGAAATTTTGTGCTCTTTAATATTTCAGACAGATTAATCGGTTCTTATTCTGTCATTATTTGATCACAATGGCTTTTCATCTTGTATACCATCTTACTCAGTGATTTATCAATGGAACTGCATTTCGCTTCCAAAATTTGAAATGTTCCTATTTCATCGAATCACAAAGATACTTGTTCTAAATATATCTTGAAGGAAATGTTATTTCTTTCTTAACCTTGTAATCATTATGTAATCTATGTAAGGCAATACGTAATAGAAAAAATGTGATTATTTCAGCGAGGTAGGCTTATGTCTTCATATCGTATGTAGTTAATTTTTTGATCCTGATGTTCTGCTGCTAAACATTCATTTCTCTTGTAGCGGCGATCTTGGAGTTTTTCTCAGCGCCCGACTTCTTTGTCAGTTTTGCGTAAGTACCTTTTCTTTATTAAAACTTCTTATGATTTTAATTCACTGATGATTCAGACGCGCTCTTCAATTCTAACGAATTAACACCCGAAACTGCCGTGACAATATGTTTCATTTTTATTTGAAGAGAATGAAAATTACTGAGCACCAGTCATTTGTAAAGTGCTCAGTTCCGTATTGTCAGAGCTGGACACGCTGTTGGTTTAACACGGTTAAAAGTTCCTACTATGCGTTTCACGCTTTGTGAGATGATCTGTCATCTTATCTGAAACTGTCGCCATTATAGTCTTTCGTTTTTGCCGCTTATGCAATGTCCCTTCTGTTTCATTTATTAAAGACATTATCATAATCAATTGCTTCTTATCCACAAAGCACTTGGATGTATACTTTTTTCTTCCGACCAGGGACGTCGCCAAGGAAGGGGGGGGGGGGGTGTACGGTACCCCCAACACTTTGTTCGTCGGAAAATTAAGGCTTTTTTGCCGGATAGAAGAAACAATTTTTGCACTCACCCTGTAACCTTTTTGCAACAATTTTAACGTATTAAAATCTCTGTAGTAGTTGAACTTTCAAAATATAGCATTAAATAAGAAATTTGAAGCAGAAACGCATAAAAGCAGTATATACGAGTATTTATCTTAAGATCACATCCATAAAGAGTGAGACACGCCCTTTTTGTCGGCAAAAATTACTTTTTTACCCTCGAAATACTTCTTTTAGCTTCGCCCTTGCTTCCAGCTTCAATCCAAGTTTATCAAGTGGTTTGTCCAGAGATATGCCCTGCACGTTTTTTAATATTATTGTATTGCTCAATATATGATTTGTTTTATTGTAACCTATTTTCTGTATTGTTCAGATCCATCAGAAGCGTTACGCTTGGAAAGGTTAGTATATATTCTCTCACATGTTATAGAGTACTGTATGACCCTGAAAATAAGAATCTTTTATTAAGGCTTAAAGTCCCTTAAATTTCCACAACTTGGTACCGTGTATTCTTAAAACTAAGTACTGCACTGATTGATGTACCATGCAAATTGCAATCAAGCTAATTCGTATGGTACTGATGAAATTCGGCCAGATGGCTTTGAAAATTTCAAATTTTTGTTAGCCTTTTGCTTTTTATGCTGAACTCAATAAGAAATTATTGTATTTGAAATACTATAAGGACACAATATTTATTCTGACACAATTCTTGATTAGGTGAAGACATTTTGGACCCACATATAAGGAACTTTATATTACCCTCTAACTTAAAAAGTTCCTTATAAACTAGAGCCTTCAAAGAATGTCTTATTTGTGCAGCCTTTCTGTATTAAAATGATACTGAATTCCCTTCAAATGTCAAGTTCTTGTGCATGTTGCATTAGCTATTGACTGAACAATAGAAAATTTAGTAACTGCTATGAAAGTCGTAGAAGAGTTCAGAGATATCAATGATTTTCTTCTTTCGTTCTTTCCGTTCGATTTGATCTAAAAGTAATTTAATTTTTGTAAGTTATTGCATGTTTTTCAATCATTACAATTATATCATCACAAGTTTTTCTTGTAGTCCACATTTTGAAAATGGTATTTCAGTATGGTGGGTTTTAATTTCATTGTTTTGATATTGTAGTTATAGATGCTTTATTTTGCTTGTTTCCCAAAAATTTTCTCTTCTCGGCATTATATTCTGACTTTGCAGACAGTTTTTGATCCGTACATACTTCTTACAGTAGCTGGTTCAATTCTAAATTTTCTTATCGCTAGATTGTGATAATTTATAGCTACTTATATGAATAGCTTCCGTGTAGTTTAGGTTAATCTCGACTTTTTGACTTCATTAAAGACTCGTTGCTAACACTGAGCCATTGCGCTACGCAAGCATCCCATAATGCATTTCAAGACAAACCGAAATTAATTTTGGTTAATCCGTAGAAGTTTACTGCCGTTGTTTGGATCGTCGCCATGCTCGCAAAGGCCCATTGTTAGCAATGAGTCTTAAATAATGAACTATCTAAAATCAACGAAATACATATCAAGTAATGAAATTTACGCAGTAGATCTTGCGACTGAAATGTACAGGCTTTTTTGCTTTGATGACATTCTTCAAGATAAAAACTCTCATTTCTCAGTCTGTCGCGTTAGCAAACACACTTTAACAACCCCCCACCATTGTACCGCCTTTGCTCTAAAGTTGTTTAAGAGACTTTTTGCACAGTTACTCAATAATCTGTTTTTCCAAAATTCTGACCCCATTGAAATTTTGGTTCGTAAAATGAGGCATTATATTATCACTCACAAGATTTTGGTACTTTTTATTAAACGGCTTCAAATCTTTCAAGTATATTGAACATTGCATAAAGGAAATATTGCAATAATATTTTCAACCATATTTTTTCATTTTCTTTAAGGAGCTCCAATCTTGCCAAAAAGCGAAAGGCAGGGTCTGTCCCATCCGAGTGTCTGCCCGGCTCACTCAGGTTTGTTGGATTTTTTCAGATCTTGTGCCAATCTTTTTCATATCAATCCATGATTGTTATTCAATGTTTCTTCATAGAAAACAGCCATTTGATTATTGTATAATGCATGATTGTCTTTTACAAATGCACACTTCCACATTTTAATATTGAATATAATTTCTTATAATCATAACAAGTTATAAATAAACAAGTTATAATCATATTGTGCTATTTTGCATATGTTGTGAATAATTTCCATAGCAAAGTGTTGCAAGGCATTATAAACTAGTTTGTCTATGTTTATTGTAATTGATTTTAAAATATCATATTATGTTAGATTCTAAAGCACTCTTAGGCATTGCCTTCTTAGTTTATAATTCCTATTAATCACATATGTTACTCTTTCAAAGAATAATACGTATATGTATATCTTATTACTCTTATTGTTTCCATACATATAAAATATCATATTCAAAATATAATTATTAATTATATTCTTATATTCAACACATTTGCCATTATTGATACGTATGATTTTGTTTTTTCTACAATTTACATTGCGTGTACTTCAGAGTCCCTTTACTCTTATGCAACATGATTTCAGATATTTGTTTAATTCTGCTCTCTTTCTTCTCTAAAGTATTTTTGTAAACAATTGCTATTATCAGTTGTTTGTTATTGTTACTAACGATAGATATTTACTGTACATTTTCATAGTATTTTTCTTCATATATCGAGAACAATGTTAAAAAGTGTAATACTTACAAAAAATAGTAAAAGAAAAAATAAAGTACTCATTACTCAATGCAATTCGATCCAATTCATTTCTATGCTAAACAAATTCTTTCTATGACTTGCAACTAATTTAAATTCTGCCTCCAATATTACAGAAAAGATTTTATCAACATGTACCGAGCTTATTCATCAAGGAAAACAGCAAATTCAGGACAAAGAACTCGAGAATTTTGCGATAAGAATACTCTCGATTTTCGAAAGACAAATATGCAGCATAGCCAGAGCGTTAATAGGTAACAAACTAAACATTAGTGTTGACAACTAGGATGCTGTATTACGTTGTGATGTTTGGTAGCGATATGAAACCTAGCACTGGAAATATAAATTTATTTTATGAAGGTTCATTTTCCTCTTTAGTGGGAGTTTCACTTTGGAAATTTGGCTTGAAATGAATACGTATTCAAAAATGAATATGACAGTCAAATCTTCAGCTGCCTGATTTCGAATCCTAGTCGAGGAATCACATTAGTCAATTGGATGATGTTTCGATATTTTTTGGAAGACAGCCTTAACTTCTCTAATTCTTTTGTAATATCTCCATTGATATCGAGTGATGCTCAGATAATTAATGAGTAAGACCTGAAAAATCTCTGGATTGATACTTTGATGTATTTTGACTTCTCGATAATTACCAAGCGGCATCGATTATCGTCGAGCTATGTTACAATGATGATCGAAGATATTTCTTATATCTATCAATGAATGGTTTACTGTAATACATCAACAATATTCGATAAATGCTTGAATGGTTATTGAGTAAGACTTTTATCAAATAGAACATCTTTTATGTACCGTGCTAAAAATTCTGCTATTTTTTCTGTAAACCTTGAAGTTTAAATCCATCGTATAACAAATGCAGTTTTTAACTCTCCCACACCTATTAAAATAAAGGGGACAGAACTTTAAGCAAATAAGACTTGACTTGTAAAACTTACTTATAATCCTTGGTTATTATACCTTATGTGCAGCGATACGGAACAAGGGGAAGATGGGGCAGGTGAGGGACAGAAAGTGCCTTTTTGGTCGCAGTGTCATGAAGTGCCAGGGTCTACGAAAAGATAGCTTCATGCCCACCATTCACATAGGTTTCCTACATTTTGTTCATGCCTATCAAAGCTTTCGACACAATTACATTGAGAATTGGTGAGAAATCTTCTCACAACAAGACACAACTCTAAAACAGGGCCTGGTTAACGGTGATAACAAAATTCAAGGTCCAGTCTTATTGTGGGAAATAAGACTTCAACCTTGGCACATAAAACAAGATAAGCAAATAGCAAAAATTTAATCTTGAAAATAAAAAAATACTCTGCTCCCTTCTCTTTTGTCACTTGAAAGATTTGTCTACGACTAGAAATTCTACATGAACAAATTTTCAAAAGAAAAAGTCTCAAAACAGAGAAATGTACTATACAATAGTTTCCGAAGTTAAGTGCAGCAAAACGTAATTTGATGTTCTTTGAAGCCAAACTGCATAGTGTGGTAACATAAAAAATTTTCAAGAGAGTTCCCCGAAATCCCCTCCTTTTAAATCGGCTAAAATCCCTCAACTACGTCTTCGTGCTTTTTGTAAAAGTCTGCCCCCATTTCCCTATATACTCCTGGCATCCTAGATGTGAATATTTCAAATGAAGCATTAGTATATATATGCAAACCAATAACATGCTGTTTATGTGTATTGCAATATTTTTTTCATTTTGAAGGGAATAAATTTTTTTGGTTAAAATAACTAGTTTATTTGTTTGTTTTTAAGTCAGAGGTAGCTGTGTAGTTGGTTTGTAAATTATACCTAAAGTTGTGCAAGCATTCTCTTTTTGTGTGTACCAAATGTAAAAACCTCTATGTACTTAGTCTTAGTAAACGAGGATATCTATACCTCTGAGTTTATTCTGTTTTAACTCACTGCGTGCTACTTCTGAACAACTAGTTGGAGAAGCTTAGCTTCTCTAGAGCAAAATAATACAAGAACATATTAGAAGAAAAAGTTATCAGTAGATTTATTTGTTGCAAAAATACGAAGTATGGAACGTGAATTGAAGCATTTGTTGATGCAAAAATATTAAAAGTTTCATAATCTCCCCTAATTGCTGTATCTGTTTCCCCTTTGCCTCGTGCTCCTTTACCAAATTGTGTAGAGTGTACGTCGTTGTAAATATGCACAATGCAGCGTATTTCTCAAATGAAACGAATATCAATCCTCGTTGTAAAGAATACATTTGCAAGCTAGCTTAGCATTCACGTTACTTAAAACTAAGATTCTCTACCGCCTTGAGCCGTTTCTTGCATAAGTGTATGAAAAATACTCTTCCTTATTCGTTGCTTAGAATTTTCTTTCGCCCATATACCCGTACATTTTTTACTTTCAGTTGCCGAATTCCAAATTTAAGCAGTAAGTGCAGAGACGTAGCCCTTTCCTAATGATTGTCATTAACAGCCAACCTTCGCGTTTCTACCATTCTTACGTCTCTGAACAAGTATTCTAATGTAGGTAAAACGACTATCCTTTTTCGTCCATCTTCGTTCCTATCATAAGTCTCCGAAGTTCTCTATAAATCATTCATTAGAAGCCAATCTTGAAAACCTTTACTTTAATATCAGATTTAATAAATTTGCTTGCACGTATGTTAACGGCTAATTTCACTTCACTTTCTTTCATTTTGCTTCACCTCTTGCCTTATTAGAAAATTTAACTGCGCATGCCTAGTTTGTTTGCGCCAGCTCTTGCTTCACAAATGTCAAGCAGGTTTATAGCCACCAATGATAGGCAACTGTTTAAGTGGTCGTGCAATTACACTTACACTTTTGAGAACCATTCTAGTTTAGAAGATTTCGGCGGAAAGTTAGGCTTGTATAACTACAGTGGCGGATAAAAAGGGGGTATGGGGGAGCTCAGGCCCCTCTTATCAGAGATCTTGTCGGAAAATCTCGGCTTTCGTCGGATAACTTACCAACGTTTAACGTGCCAAAATGACTGCAAGAAATCGTTCTGAAAGGTATTTTAAGGAAATATAAAGGGCGTTTTTGCCAAATTTTCCTTTCCACCCCAGGGGCCTCTATAACCTCTATGTGCTCTTGAACATACCTGATATACAATAAGCCAAAACTAAAAAAACAAACAAACAATATATGACAAAATCAACACTGCTTGCGAATTGTATATCTCATTTCAATTCCGAAAAGAGTAGCCGAACTTTCCACCGGATTCTTCAAAACAAACGTTTTTTTCAAACGTATTTCCCACTGGAGAAAACAAGATAAAATGAAGAAAATGAAGGTTACAATTACTTCGCAATAGTGTATCGGTCGACCCCTTGTATCATCACTTGCCTTAGATGAGATATCAATCGATGTATCAAAATCATTATTGGTTTTTCCTTTGGATTGGGCGTGGTCAGCAAAGAGTCCGTAAGGGTCTCGCCCCAAAAGCACCTATTTTCATCAAAACTTGCAGTGAAAAAGTTTAGTAAAAATTTGGCATGATCCAAAATGTAACTTTGTTGGAAAATTGTAGGCCTGAGCCTCCCCAAATGAAAGCCTGAATTTCCGCCACTGTATAACTAGCAAGAAGTTTTATTTCATCATCAATTGCTTGTTTGGTCATTTAGTGGTGGGATGGATTTGGAAACTATACCTACCGCCCCTCAGTCCTCAGGCTTGAGTACAACAACGACAACTTTTGAATTACCAGAGAGCACTATTTTTAACTATATACTCATCAATTCTCATAGGCTTACGTTCAGTACCATTAGCAAGAAGTGTGTGATCAGTAAGCCAAGGCCATCACACATTGACAACCTAAGGCAAGGTAGTTTTCCCGATACACATTGGATAACAGTGCATCAGGTTTTATCCTCATTGTGGGTATATCACTATACCTGTCATTGTTCATAAATTTTTAGGCTAAAACGCGCAAAATTCGCCTGCTTTTAGTATAAACGTTCTATCACTGCACAAAACAATTCTATAACTGTACAAAGTGGTCGTCACTGCACCTAAAATTTGGGTTTGATCACTGCACAAAACAATTCTATAACTGTACAAAGTGGTCGTCACTAAACTTAAAGTCTCACAACTGGCCGCAGTCAGATCAAATTTAGCAAAACTATTCAATAAAATTTAGACCCAAGTGGCTCTGTTTTCAGTGTGATACTTGGTTTACTGACACAAGTTTTCAAGCAACATTTGGTGTGACTATATCAGGAGCTTACTGTAGTTTTTCTGTTCTGACACACGCCGCTTTTATTTGGGCACACTACTTTAGCAACAAACTGGATTCCAGATCCCTCACGGCACAAGGCTGTTTGGCAAAGCCCGTTTTGGATTACACCATCTTTTTCTTAGTTTTCTGGCAAGTGCTGCGTGTCTTTTCTGTATGGTTTTTAAAATAAAACGCAAATATTGACTTAAGGTGTTACATTCCTGTCCTCAGTTAAAGGAAATCAGAATATATTTAGAAGTTTATTCCATCCAGCCCAAGCTCACGCTGGCAACTCCTATTTCGTGTCACTGGTAGTCGGTATCATTTTACTTTTGGAATAGACAAATTCAAAGCATAACCTTCTTTCTTGTTACAGTTATACGAAAAACAACAAAGCAGACCCATCGGTTGAAAACATTTGGCCTGAAAAAATTAGTTTTGCCCTACGGGACGGTAGAAGAAAACAGCAGGATTCCGAACAGGCATGATAAGCCCTACCCAAGCACTTAAATAAACCCATCTGTGTCAAGGGACCAGCTCTCGTGCAAAAACCCAAACTACAGAACTCCAACTTCTCTATCATTCCCAAAGGCATCAAAAACAGTACATTTTAGGCTTGACACAAGAATGAAGGTATGGCACTTAACGCCAAATTGTGGATAATACGTTCATGTAATATGAGAAGCCCTGATTTAATCAAATTTAATAACTTTGCAAAATTGCTTCAAATAGGTCTTTAAATTAGAAAATCTTGGGGGTTACCGGTAGGGGATGTCCCGTGCGGTCATTTGAACTCACAATGGAAGAGAGTTTTGTTAAAATTGTCTCAAGTTGGCCCAACCAAAGGTCATATTGTGGTGAAGTGAGACCGAAACAGCAAACGGAAAAGTGGCCTCGATTCGATTCACCTCGCATCAGAACTGCTTTTGGCGGGTAGTAGAATGAAGTTGGGCCACGAGGTAGGAAGTCAGCTGCTTGGAAATATTTCTTCGTAAAGGCGAGGTTTGTTGCTAATAGTTCTTATCCGTCTCTTAATGTTGCCATTTACCTTATTGCGAAGAATGCCAAGGTTATTTGACCGTGTTAGCGAGGGTCAGAACGCTCCAGCCACGAGAGTGAAATATGTTATGTTGCCTCATTGTCATCACAATGGATGCCGGCTTGACAGATTTTCATCTCGCTGGTTACTTTCAATGCAAGCCGCAGTTTCTGACATTTTTACATTCCAATAAATCAAAAAAGCCATAAGAAACTTTTGAATATTTGCAGCTTCATGTTTGCTAAAATTTATTTCTGCTCATACCATAACACGTAAAACATGCAAATGCGAGGGATGCTAGGGAGAGGAGAGCCAAAGGACTTGGTGTGGGTCGTGGCGAAAAAATATTTCTGATCATGCCTTCTTAGGATGACACTTATTTAAACTAAAATTCAGTTATTTATCACTTGATATTACTAAATTGATAAATGTTAGCTTTTGAATTTGAGAAAAAAACTTCCTTTAACATTTGAAATAGCCTAGAGCCCTGTCCAATTTTACTTGTTGTGTCTATGACCATCATTTTTGTTTTCAATTCGAAAGGCTGAAAGCTCATCCTCATTTTGCCAAAAACTGGTCATTGTGGAATTTTTGTAGGATCTGGTCTGCATCCTCTCAGTGTTTTGAGCCAATTGCCCAACTAAAAATCTGCCAGCCTTTAGGAAGCCTTCAATCTTCCTAGCTTACAGTATAAATATATGTTATGGTGTTTAATACTCTAAAGAGTGTCAGATGATCAAACTTTGGTAGGCCTTAAAATGTTTGCTTTTTCAAAGCCAGTTATAATTTGAAGTATTTATCAATGTTTAGAGGCTGAATATTTTTTTATTTGAATCAAATGCCTTGTAAGTGGAAATAATTTCCAAATACATGGGAGAGTTTAAAGGATTCAACAAAAGCTACAGATTTTTTGGTTTTTTTTATAACATTTTACATAATGAGTGAGTCGCATTTGAGCCTAGTTCATTAAATTCTGGATGGAATGGAATATTTCTTAAGTTTCGCATCAACATCTTGAAACTGAACAGATTGCGTATGAAGCTGTCATACTGTCTATTTATTAGAAAACAGTGAGACACATGCCAGGGAACCCGGCAACTCAGGTATATTACATAGGTTTACAGGGCTTTTAATGATCCGTAAAGTTACCTTGGAAATCGATTAGTTGCGCGCCCAGTGATAAATATTTCCCGTGAAGAGCGCGATTGCCGGATGCTGATAGGTCAAACCACTTGAGAAACTCTTTTTGGAAACGGAAGTTTGACATTGAATCTTTGTTTCCACAGCTCTGTTTTCGTATGTCTTCCGATCATTCAGTTTCCGTTTTTCTTGAGCCGTTCCCACACCGTTTTGGCCAAAACGAAAACGAAGGTTTTCCCATTACTCTGTTTTGTCCGTTTTCGTATCCTTTGTTTAAGCTCATCTTGAAACTGAAGATGAGCGAATTGACACCGTTTTCGGTTTTCTCATTAAAACAATTCGTTTCTAAATGATTTTGTTCTCCAATGAGTTCTTTTTCGCTGTGTTCATTAAAGTGATTCGTTTTCAAACGTTTTTGGTTGATAAATTGGAACATCATTATAGATGTCTCTGTTTTGAGCGTATTAATGGGAACTAAAATAAAAAACGATTCATTCAGCTCCGTTTTCATGTATAGCATTCAGTTCATTTCAAAAGTTTTGTCACGTTTAATGTTTCAATAGAAAATTTTTATTGTTCTGTGTTAACAAATAAATTTGATTCGCGCGCCCCGCTCTTATCACGGGAGTTTTTTACCGCGCGCGTTGATTTTTGAATGGAAAGCCCTGGGTTTAGCAACCTACAACACAAAGCTGTAAATCTATGTTTTGTATACAATCTTACAACATTTATTTTTGTTTTTTGGTTTTTTACAACATGAATGAGATAGGTATAAAGATCCTTTGGGATTTCCTCATAGTATGGCTGTCAAAGGAATCTGTTTATTCGAATTTACCCAAGCTATATCATGAAAAATACAGGCATGTTAAGTGTATTATAGACTGCACAGAAGTTTATATCAAGAGACCTTAATCTTTGTTTGCACAGGCAGAAACATGGTCTGATTATAAAAAAACATAATACTTCAAAGTTTTTAGAGTGCATTTCTTCAAATGGCGATCTTTTCAGATGGTTATTGGAGGAGGTCATCTGATCAGTATATTTGCCAGGACAGCAATTTTTATAAACTCTAAGAGTATGGTGATGTAGTTTTTGCAGATTGTGGCTTCAAAATTAAAGAGGATCTTTTGCTGTATTGCCGCATATTGTTTTTACCACCTGGAGTGCCATTGTTACTTCATGTGTTGGCCCAACTATACAACACCCCCCCCCCCCACATTTAAAATTTAAAATGTCCCCAGGGGCTTAGTAGAGCTTCTAATGTACATACAACTATATATTTAAAAACAAATGTGTGACAAATATAAATTTATGTAAAATTCAGTTAAGTCACTTTTCAGTTGCAGCCAAATATTTGGGTCAATTCAATTTGCTGTAGGACATTACTATGGGCTGTTCAAACAAAAAATTAATTTATTGTGATTTTAGTAGCAGCAATTTGCATTTGACATTCAGTAAAGTATTAGTGAGATTTTTTAGTGTGAAAACATCATTTTCTCTCTCTATATAAGGAAGATTGGCACCAGGATGGCATATTGAATATAGGCATTTGATATCCAGACATGCTTTTCCACAGCAATAGCACTCTATTATCCTGTCTCTTCAATTAATTTCATATTTTTGTGTTTTTAACAATCTCATCAAAAAAGTTTGCAGCATTGCCTTCCATGGACTTGCCATATTTCAATGCAGGCAAGTCTGATTGAAAATTTGATGTATCTGCTGAAGGTTACTTTTTTCCCGGAACATTTTTTCAAGGATGCAAGCCTTGCTTTCACGTCATGCACTTTTGAAGCTGTAATAACATGTCTCTTGTATGAAAACCATTCAGGATTCATACTATGACCCATTGTTTTCTGTCAAAAGCTTCAATTTCTTTGCTGGGTATGTTCTGTATAGATACTTTTCTGCTCCTTTTTCATTAAGCAATATCTCATTGTGTGGCATGACATTATTACAGTTGCTATTTCATCAAGGTGCAGCTTATAGTCACTTTCAATCAAAGGGCCATGCTGTCTCTTTGGTAACGGTTTCAAGTCTCTTTTAGACTTTCCTCTTCTGCCAAAGTCATCCCTAGCAAATTTTCATATCTTTATTATTCAATCATTTGGTTTCAATGTACAAGACGAGTTTGTAAGGCCCAAACAACAAAATACTTCCAAGCAGAACAAAGCAGGGGCAACATTGTTGCAGGTTTGAGCCATGCCTATCATACATGTGCAATGAGAAGAAACAATTTCCCTGATTGTTTAATAATGGAAACCCAAGGCTTGTGTGGTAAATCATTTATTCTCTGTGATTGCTGGCATGTATCTTTTAGAAAGCAATATTTGCTTTCATCACAGATGTTATGAAAGTTCAAAGTTGATACTCAACCTTGGGTGTGGTAACTATCGCAATTGATGTTTTATAGTCCCTGAGGTCTTTACTCGTAAGTTCACTAGTGTGAAAAGCCAGGAAATGAAATATATCTGCAATTTTGGAGAAAAGCTAGTAGACATTTGCTGTTATTATCATTTATTGCTGAAACACCCAACCCCCTTCCCCAAATATCAATGTTAATGTTGATTTTTTAGGTTTTCTGGCTTCCACAATCAACTGCCAATACCCACCACCAAATAGACATCAAGGGGAGGGACATACCACTGGTTTTGAGGGCAATTATGCAGAATATCACTTATGAAAGAATTGTTTCAATGTCCTTTTGTCCAGGATTCTGGGCTTAATGTAAGTGACCAATATTTAATGCCCTCTTCTTCTTTCAACCAACCTGTCTCAAGTTTGAAAGGGTCTGACGAAACAACAACCCCATCTTCAAGCTTATGTTTGTCTTCATAAGAATGAACGATCTCGATTATAACTTCTTCTGCAATTAGACTACTGGCACATCGTTTTCAAATGCAACAAAAACTCTTGCAACCAGGTCGCTTGCCAGACACTTTTAAACGGCTGAGACGAAGAGAGTTTTTGAGTTCTTCCATTTTCATCGTTGAAATCAATTAAAGATCCATCTTTTTCTTTACTTTTTCAGCTTACCAGAGCTAAGTACTTGTAAAAATTTTCAAGAAAATTGTTCCTTGAGATGATAAGGTAAGAAACAATCAACAAATAATGATTAAGGTCAAAATTGAATTGAAGATTCCACTTCACTCTCAAATAAAATATTTATTGTTATGAAATGCTGAGATCATGGCGGTGCTAGCATAAATTACGGTATTTTAGGTTCTTTCGTGTGCAAAACAATTTTTTGTAAAATTTGATGATTTTTTGAAATTTTTTTACATTTTCGGGGTCACAAATCTTTTTGGAAAAATGACCAAGATCATTTTTGAGAGACAGGGACCTGAAACTTGTCAAAAACCTTTCAAATGGTGTTGCTGACGTAAACCAGAGCATTTTAGGTTGTTTCGAGCGAAATAAATTTTTAATGAATTTTGATGATTTTTTAAACTTTTAGGCATATCTGGGGTCAGAGAGTTTTGTGAAAAATGACCTAGTTTATTTTTGAAAGATAAAGTCCTAAAACCTGTCAAAAATCTCTCAAATGATCTGGCAAAGGTAGATTGAGGCTTTTAAGGCTGAATTGAGCAGAAAACTTTTCTTGGGCAAATTGATTTTTCTTTCAATTATTTTACATATTTATACTCATAGAATTTTTAATGTTAACCTGAAATTTTTCTTTCAGACATACCCTGCAAGTTTGTTAAGAATCTTCAAATGGTTAAAGAAAGGTCTTTTCTAGCATTTTTGGTTGTGAAAGCTAAAAATATTTTCTGTGAAAGGTGACAATTTTCGTAAAAATTGACAATTTTTGCGAAGATTTGGCGAATATGGCGTCAAAGTTTTTCTTCAAAACAACTAATTCGATTTTTGAAAGATAGGTTCCTAAAACTTGTCTAAACGCTCTCAAATAGTGTTGCTGACGTAAACTAAGGCATTTTAGGTTGTTTTGAGCTGAAGAAATTTTTTGGGAATTTCGATACTTTTTTGAATTTTTTTGCATATCCAGGGTCAGAGATTTTTGTGAAAATGACTAAGTTCTTTTTTGAGAGATCTTGGCCTGAAACTTGTCCAAATCGTCTCAAATGGTGTTGCTGAGGTAAACTAAGGCATTTTAGGCTGTTTGGAACAAAAATAAATTTGTTCTATTTTTCACGATTTTTTGAGTTTTTTTGCATATCCGGGGTCAGAGGATTTTCTGAAAAATGACTAAGTTCTTTTTTGAGAGATCTTGGCCTGAAACTTGTCCAAAACGTCTCAAATGGTGTTGCTGACGTAAACTAAGGCATTTTAGGTTGTTTCGAGCAAAAATAATTTTTTTCTACTTTTCATGATTTTTTGAATTTTTTTGAATATCCGGGGTCAGAGATTTTTGTGAAAATTGACTAAGTTTTTTTTCGAGAGATCTTGGCCTGAAACTTGTCCAAAACGTCTCAAATGGTGTTGCTGACGTAAACTAAAGCATTTTAGGTTGTTTCGAGCAAAAAAAAAATTTTTCTATTTTTTCATGATTTTTTGAATTTTTTGCATATCCGGGGTCAGAGATTTTTGTGAAAAATGACTAAGTTTTTTTCGAGAGATTTTGGCCTGAAACTTGTTCAAAACACCTCAAATGGTGTTGCTGATGTAAACTAAGGCCTGTTGGGTTGTTTCGAGCAAAAATTAATTTTTTCTATTTTTCACGATTTTTTGAGTTTTTTTGCATATCCGGGGTCAGAGATTTTTCTGAAAAATGACTAAGTTCTTTTTTGAGAGATCTTGGCCTGAAACTTGTCCAAAACGTCTCAAATGGTGTTGCTGACGTAAACTAAGGCATTTTAGGTTGTTTCGAGCAAAAATAATTTTTTCCACTTTTCATGATTTTTTGAATTTTTTTGCATATCCGGGGTCAGAGATTTTTGTGAAAATTGACTAAGTTTTTTTTCGAAAGATCTTGGCCTGAAACTTGTCCAAAACATCTCAAATGGTGTTGCTGACGTAAACTAAGGCATTTTAGGTTGTTTTGAACAAAAATAATTTTTTTCTATTTTTCACGATTTTTTGAGTTTTTTTGCATATCCGGGGTCAGAGATTTTTCTGAAAAATGAATAAATTTTTTTTCGAGAGATTTTGGCCTAAAACTTGTCCAAAACACCTCAAATGGTGTTGCGGACGTAAACTAAGGCATTTTAGGCTGTTTGGAACAAAAATTTAACTTTTTCTATCTTTCACGATTTTTTGAGTTTTTTTGCATATCCGGGGTCAGAGATTTTTCTGAAAAATGACTAAGTACTTTTTTGAGAGATCTTGGCCTGAAACTTGTCCAAAACGTCTCAAATGGTGTTGCTGACGTAAACTAAGGCATTTTAGGTTGTTTCGAGCAAAAAAAATTTTTTTCTATTTTTTCATGATTTTTTGAATTTTTTGCATATCCGGGGTCAGAGTTTTTTGTGAAAAATGACTAAGTTTTTTTTCGAGAGGTTTTGGCCTGAATCTTGTCCAAAACACCTCAAATGGTGTTGCTGATGTAAACTAAGGCCTGTTGGGTTGTTTCGAGCAAAATTTAATTTTTTCTATTTTTCACGATTTTTTGAGTTTTTTTGCATATCTGGGGTCAGAGATTTTTCTGAAAAATGACTAAGTTCTTTTTTGAGAGATTTTGGCCTGAAACTTGTTCAAAACACCTCAAATGGTGTTGCTGATGTAAACTAAGGCCTGTTGGGTTGTTTCGAGCAAAAATTAATTTTTTCTATTTTTCACGATTTTTTGAGTTTTTTTGCATATCCGGAGTCAGAGATTTTTCTGAAAAATGACTAAGTTCTTTTTTGAGAGATCTTGGTTTGAAATTTGTCGAAAACGTCTCAAATGGTGTTGCTAACGTAAACTAAGGCATTTTAGGTTGTTTCGAACAAAAATAGATTTTTTTAATTTTTTATGATTTTTTGAATTTTTTCGCATATCCGGGGTCAGAGATTTTTGTGAAAAATGACTAAGTTCTTTTTTGAGAGATCTTGGCCTGAAACTTGTCCAAAACGTCTCAAATGGTGTTGCTGACGTAAACTAAGGCATTTTAGGTTGTTTGGAGCAAAAATAATTTTTTTCTACTTTTCATGATTTTTTGAATTTTTTTGCATATCCGGGGTCAGAGATTTTTCTGAAAAATGACTAAGTTTTTTTTCGAAAGATTTTGGCCTGAAACTTGTCCAAAACGTCTCAAATGGTGTTGCTAACGTAAACTAAGGCATTTTAGGTTGTTTCGAACAAAAATAGATTTTTTAATTTTTTATGATTTTTTGAATTTTTTTGCATATCCGGGGTCAGAGATTTTTGTGAAAATTGACTAAGTTTTTTTCGAGAGATCTTGGCCTGAAATTTGTCCAAAACATCTCAAATGGTGTTGCTGACGTAAGCTAAGGCATTTTAGGTTGTTTCGAACAAAAATAATTTTTTTCTATTTTTCACGATTTTTTGAGTTTTTTTGCATATCCGGGGTCAGAGATTTTTCTTAAAAATGAATAAATTTTTTTTCGAGAGATTTTGGCCTAAAACTTGTCCAAAACACCTCAAATGGTGTTGCGGACGTAAACTAAGGCATTTTAGGCTGTTTGGAACAAAAATTTAATTATTTTCTATTTTTCACGATTTTTTGAGTTTTTTTGCATATCCGGGGTCAGAGATTTTTCTGAAAAATGACTAAGTTTTTTTTCGAAAGATTTTGGCCTGAAACTAGTCCAAAACGTCTCAAATGGTGTTGCTGACGTAAACTAAGGCATTTTAGGTTGTTTGGAACAAAAATTAATTTTTTCTATTTTTCACGATTTTTTGAGTTTTTTTGCATATCCGGGGTCAGACATTTTTGTGAAAAATGACTAAGTACTTTTTTGAGAGATCTTGGCCTGAAACTTGTCCAAAGCGTCTCAAATGGTGTTGCTGACGTAAACTAAGGCATTTTGGGTTGTTTCGAGCAAAAAAAAATTGTTTCTATTTTTTCATGATTTTTTGAATTTTTTGCATATCCGGGGTCAGAGATTTTTGTGAAAAATGACTAAGTTTTTTTTCGAAAGATTTTGGCCTGAAACTTGTCCAAAACACCTCAAATGGTGTTGCTGATGTAAACTAAGGCCTGTTGGGTTGTTTCGAGCAAAAATTAATTTTTTCTATTTTTCACGATTTTTTGAGTTTTTTTGCATATCTGGGGTCAGAGATTTTTCTGAAAAATGACTAAGTTCTTTTTTCGAGAGGTTTTGGCCTGAAACTTGTTCAAATCACCTCAAATGGTGTTGCTGATGTAAACTAAGGCCTGTTGGGTTGTTTCGAGCAAAAATTAATTTTTTCTATTTTTCACGATTTTTTGAGTTTTTTTGCATATCTGGGGTCAGAGATTTTTCTGAAAAATGACTAAGTTCTTTTTTGAGAGATTTTGGCCTGAAACTTGTTCAAAACACCTCAAATGGTGTTGCTAACGTAAACTAAGGCATTTTAGGTTGTTTCGAACAAAAATAGATTTTCTTAATTTTTTATGATTTTTTGAATTTTTTTGCATATCCGGGGTCAGAGATTTTTGTGAAAAATGACTAAGTTCTTTTTTGAGAGATCTTGGCCTGAAACTTGTCCAAAACGTCTCAAATGGTGTTGCTGACGTAAACTAAGGCATTTTAGGTTGTTTCGAGCAAAAATAATTTTTTCTACTTTTCATGGCTTTTCTGAATTTTTTTGCATATCCGGGGTCAGAGATTTTTGTGAAAATTGACTCAGTTTTTTCTCGAGAGATATTGGCCTGAAACTTGTCCAAAACATCTCAAATGGTGTTGCTGACGTAAACTAAGGCATTTTAGATTGTTTCGAACAAAAATAATTTTTTTCTATTTTTCACGATTTTTTGAGTTTTTTTGCATATCCGGGGTCAGAGATTTTTCTGAAAAATGACTAAGTTTTTTTTCGAAAGATTTTGGCCTGAAACTTGTTCAAAACGTCTCAACTGGTGTTGCTGACGTAAACTAAGGCATTTTAGGTTGTTTGGAACAAAAATTAATTTTTTCTATTTTTCACGATTTTTTGAGTTTTTTTGCATATCAGGGGTCAGACATTTTTGTGAAAAATGACTAAGTACTTTTTTGAGAGATCTTGGCCTGAAACTTGTCCAAAACGTCTCAAATGGTG